GAATCAACAAAACCTTTTAGCGAATCAGATAATATTATTATATTAACAAGATTAACACTTTAGTCAAATAAATAGTAGGAGAGTACGACACTTACTTTCGCAACAAGAGTATACGATATATACTATACAGAAAAATAAGAACTACTTCTATTCCGGAACAATTATAGAAATCAATCTAATAAGACTTTATTATTAAACTCCCGCTTTCCAAAAATCTAATAACAAGAGTAATATATAACTCAATCTTAGTCATTATCGAACAACTTACGAAATATATAATCGTTATTCTATATCTAGAATCTAATATAACTGAAGAACTTATATTCGCTTTCTTGCGAGAAGTTGTAGTAAAATATAAGATATTAGAAGAAATTATATCCGATCGAGATAAATTCTTCATATCTAAATTTTAGACTACTTTAACTATTTATTTAGGAGTTAAAAGAAAGCTATTAACTACTTTCTATATATAAACAAATAGTAAAATAGAAAGAATAAATCAGATAATCGAAATATATTTACATTATTATATTAATTACAAATAGGACAATTAAGTATCGTTACTCCTACTTACTATATTTATATATAATAGTATAATTACAGATATAACGAAAATATCACTATTCTTTACTAATTACAGTTACAACGTCAGTACTTATCACGAAGCTCAGATATCAGATATCGATAACTAGTTAATATAAGTCCAAACAAACAAAATCAAAAATCTATATAAAGAACTAAATAGCGAACTTCAGTTTATTATAGAGAAAAGCGTTTTATACTACAATTCGAAATGTAGTCAGGAACTAATACTATAGGAAAAGAACAGAGTTTATTTACTCAGAAGAAATATTAAAACTAAACAACTAAATAATAAACTAGACTATAAAAAATTAGGACTATTCAAAATTAAGAAGTTTAAAAAATATCTGAATTATAAATTTACTCTATTAAAAACAATAAATATCTTTCCGGTTTTCTATATTTCTCTCTTTGAACTAATATTACTAAATGTACTACTTATACTAATAACTGAAATAGAACTAGTTAACTTAAACGCCAAATACGAAGTCGAACAGATATTAGACTATAGACGAGTTAAGAACACAGTCAAGTATTTGATCAAATAGTTAGACTATTTATATTCGGAAAATATATAAGAACTTAGAACTTATTTCAACTACTACTAAATATTTGAAGAGTTCTACTGCTAAAATCAAGAGTTATTTAGATTAAGTTATCAAGACTTAGTAGAAGACTAAAGTCGAAAGAAAAGTCGTTACTTAAACTATTAGTTGTAATAACTAGTTATCTCGACTTTATTTTACAACAAGTTTCTGTTTCCTTTTCTTCTTTTTCTTTCTTTTCTACTTTATCTAAAATATCTAAAAACTTATAGTTCCGACAAAGTATTTTAGTAATATAACTCCGAAAAGTTTCTCGTTATTTATTTAACTAGAATAACTTAATTTAGAACGCAGCTAAATATTCGAATATTCGTTATTATTCTTCGAAGAAGAACTATTACACTTCTTAGGTCGCACACTACTTGTCTACTAACTTCTTTTCCTCTCGTTCTAGTATCAGCTATTTATTTTGTAAAAGTTCCCAGACGTTATACTTCGCCGAACTACTTGTTAAAACGTAGTTCGAATAACGATCGGATTCTGCAGATATAATATAAATACGACGAAAGTCTTTTCAGTAACAAGAACAGGAAAGTATATTAATACTATCTCGCAGAATCTAGAAGTAAAAGTTCTAGCGATTTTCTTTAATCTTTTTGGAACAATCAAGTAATATAATGAAGAAAGAAGAAAGTTATATTTAACGTTCGATATTTTCGATATAATCTTTAAGTTAAAAGACTACACTAAGCTATATAGAGGATAGTATTACGAACGCCAACTTTATAATTTGAAACTCGGGTAATATGATTTATTACTACAGAGAATTATAGAAGTATATAACGAAATCACGTAATAGTCGGATCAGGGGCTTACTAAGCGATCTGCTGAAATTATTAAAGATTTATAGAGATTCTAGAGATTCACTTAGATCTAGGAATAAGAAAGTTCTATATAAGTAATAGAATTTCCTTACTAAATAAGAGTTTCGTATTCAACTTAATTCTTAAATATTAATTATAACAGTTTAATTTGATTATACTTAACTCCCTCTGTAATTCACTCATCCTGACATCACTTACAGATCATTAAAAGAGATTACTATATTACTTCGCTACGTAAACGAAACAGAACACTTCTGTTAGGATTCTCTGTCGGAAGAATAACAGAACTGTTACACGTATATAGTAACTTGATCTTAGAAGTATATTCTATTCCTAATCGAGACAGACTTGAAGATATACTCCTATACTGAGTTGATCAGTCTGGAAGTCTCCTAGTACTCTTTGTATTCGATTTAATAGTCGAAATACTATAAGTGTAATAGTTCTATCTCATTAGCTGAGAGTTTACTAAGTGAGTCAGCTTCAGAGTTGATATTCTTGAAAGTAAGCTTAGTTGGCTTTTGACGTTTTTCAGGAGTAGTTTCCGAATTAGGATTAATATACTCCTAGGCGTACTAGTCTTCTCCTGAAACTATTGATCTAACTGTCTCAAGCTAGAGTTCCTAGTCTCTAGGCCTATCAAGAACTAAAAGTAGTCTGGATATAGTTGGAGTTGAATACTCTGTCGACATATTGGTAGATATGAAAAGTATAAAGTAGTAAGAAGTGTAGATTGCAAGGGATTTGAAAGTATTGAAGAATTAGTAGTAGAATCAATAGGATTCCAAATAAGTATAAAGAACACTCAAACAATTTGTTTGCTACGTGATACTTTAACAGCCCGGGCTCATAACTGTTGATTAATAGGACCCAAATTAGTATACTTAATATAAGTAATTGATTGGTCAGAATAGGTCATAGAATAGGGTAATTGAATTGATTAAAAAGCCTAATACTATAGGGTGAAAGCTTCACATATATAGGCAAATGAATGTATAGGGTCAGGTGATCAATCAGGTGACTCAAGGAAATAATACCGATGGTATCCGAATAGCTTCCCAGGGCCTCCATCATCATGTGCCATACTAATTAGTATGGGATGCGATGATATCCGTGTATTCGGCTCATCGCGAGTACACATATCTCATTTCTCCTTTGTGGTGGAGAAGTGCCAAGTGGGGTGCCTAAGTGGCTTGACCAGCCGGCCAGGGGAACTCCCATAACTCCCATATTCTAACAAAAATACATGCAATTTGCAGGGCATCAATTGACAATTGTGAGTTTAACTCTCCGCGTGCCTTCTATTATAAGATGCCGATTGTTTTGTGCTAGAACTGCTATATCTAACTTAACTGTTAGGCTGGTAAGTGGCCTTGATAACGACTGGACCTCCCTACCCTGCGCAAATCTAACTTCATACTACCGCTTCAGGCCTGGACATCACAGCCTAGCATCTATTAGTCCGTCCCTATGATGGCCGGCTTCCCCTTTTAGTATAGGGATCGAGCTGACTTTTATCTTATTACTCAATTATCTAACTAGTATATACTCTACTATTGCAGTATCCTCTAACGCATCAGCGACAATCTCACGTAGTATACTCGTCGTCCTGCTCCCCCTCGTATCTTCTCGCATGGAAATAGGTCAGTTACTATCTATTCGCTGCTATAAGAGAACACTAACTATTAATCAGGGCTTCTATATCAATGTTCCAATGATTGGCATATTTATACCGATTTATTTGTTCCTTGTCCCTTCGTACAATCCTTAGCCAAATGCCAGCACATCCTCCAAAGTTCTCAAAATTGACTGGTTAGGAGCCTTGCTGAGTTCTGGTGCTTTCGTCGCTGGTATAATGGCCATTAATTTTGGAGGCACGTTGTACAGCTGGGAAAGTGGCCAGGTAATTGCGCTCTTCGTATAGTCTGGCTTTTGTTTCACGGTACTCGTTTTGCAGCAACACCATTGTGTCAAAACAACGCGCGCTCTTAGAATTCTCCTATACATATATTCAAAGTTAGAGCTATGGCGTTGTGTTTTGTATGCCAAGGTGAGAATGATGCTTCTGGCTTGTGGAATCTACTAATTGAATAGTTGCGGTTGCTCTGATTGTTCCAGTGCCCCTATACTACTACCGATATTCTTCTAGTTAGCTAAAGTATGTGTATTGGAGGATATCGGGCCTTATCTTATGTGATTCTGACCCAAAACAGGGTGATTCCGCTTTGCGAGCTGGCATTAAAACACTTCCGTTAATTGCAACGTGAGTAACTTCGGGCGCGTTCAGAGGACGAATGATAGGTAATTTGGGTTGGTATCAGCCCTGGTATATTGTTGGGAGTATTCTAAATATTCTCGCTGGGGTATTCCTATGTAGGTGTATTCTTTCCTTTTTGCAATAACTCCGCGACAGTACTAATTTTGAAATAGCACGCATTACGGTTGATGCATCAGATTCGGTGATTTACGGTCTCCAAGTCGTGTCTGGAATCGGCACTGGCTGTTATGGCCAGGCTGGCTTTTCTGTAGCGCAGCAATTGGTCTCCTCATCTGACATCCATCGCAGCATTTCCCTAATGCTCATTGGTAAGCCTCTAACCAAGCCCGCCAGTTCCCTTTCCTGTACATTCTCTAATTCTTGACTGCGAAACTACAGACCAACTTACAGGAACAACACTTTGCTTAGCACTCGCAGGTGCTATTTTCCAACATGTGTCGCTCTCTCAAACTCGGGAGATCTTACCCGTATTACGTGTACCAGTTTGGGTCCCATTTATCAACAAATAGTATGCGCGTTCTTATCGAGTAGTAAGCATCCTGCATCTCTTTTAATCATATGACCCTAGGCAACAACAGTAGCCATAGCCTTCCTAATAGCACTGCGGACTAGCGCTCTAAATTCGAAATCGGATAGTCATATTTCAACTCTTCCCACCATTACTAGCATCGAGTTTTCAATTCACTTATCACTCTCGACCCCGCATCCAGAATGACAAGAACACTATACGAAAGGCTTACTGGAAAGCGGCAGATTCGCCTAATGAATTTGCACCCAGGAAGGCCGTCGGATCCTGTCTCATGCCATCTAACGCTAGAGGACCTCAACACGTCGCTAGAATATAGTGCTCTTTCTTACGAATGGAAGATAAACAACGGATTTGCCAACACAGCTTGCGGGGGTACCAGCCTCGAAGTCGCCCACAATCTAGCAGCAGCACTTATATCCCTGCGACGTTTTGACCGCCCAATGGTCTTCTGGATCGACGCGGTCTGTATCAATCAAAAGGATCAAATAGAGAAATCAAAGCAAACCCCTCTCATGCATGACATTTACGCTACAGCAAAGTCGGTCCTTATCTGGCTAGGTCCCAGCTTCCGAGGCGTCAAAGCCGCATTCGACGTGTTGCCATATCTTGCAATGGTGGGAGTTGAACGACATACAACCGGAAAGCCAGACACCGAAAATCTGGAAGACATACTGTCGAGTAATATCAAAGAGCGCCCAAATCAAGGTTCTATCATTCAACTTCAAAATGATCTTGTATTTATGACGCATGATAGGGATGCTCTTCTTATGCAAATACTCAAACGACACCCAGAGCTTGATGACGATGTGATTTTTAGGTTTGACGACCATGAGACATGGGCAGCAATTGATAGATTATTTAGCGACTCGTACTTTCAACGGTCATGGATCATCCAGGAAGTGGCAGTGACCGAAGCCGTTTACGTGTTTTGCGGTTCACATAGCATCCACTGGGATATTTTTCGAATGGCCTTCGAAGGCCGGTCTAAGATGACTTTCCAGTCTCAGAAGGGATTACAGAGCTATATTCCGTGTGCTCGAGACGCCCGAACACGATATAGGGACTACGAGAGCGCGAGATGACTTAGGCATTGTGCTGACGAGCTTCAGCTATTCAAAGGAAACAAATCCTCGGGACCGTGTCTACGCCGCTCTCGGAATCATCAAGCCACAATCACTTTGTCGAGATATAGTGCCGGACTACAGAAAAGACGTTGAAGATATCTTCTATGAAGCCGCTTGTCATATAATACGACTAAGAAAAGATCTCTACCTTTGGTCAAGCAAAACCCTGATGTCTCGGAGAGCAATGCCCAAGCTTCCATCCTGGGTACCGGAATGGACAATGGCACCTTGCGAAGAGGCCCTTGAATTTGCCGTACCGGAATTCAGCCGGTGTCTCTCGTGCAATCCTCTCATTGACGGCAAATCTCTCTTCATTGATGGACATTTGCTTGACGAAATAGACACCATATACCCGATCAAGGATCCAAAAGACGTGGTTGAGATTTCCGTGATTTCCGTCGGACTAGAAGAGTGGCTCAAGAATCACGATAAAACCATGTTTAGTGCCTACTGTGGTGATCCACAAAATCTGACGAGCCAGAAAATACCATGTGGTGCAGCGTCTAGTGACCGACTTCAAGAGGAAATCAAAATCGAGGCAAGCCAGCTCCTTTCTAAGTTTCGCAACTTACCACCAATCATAGCGAGCATCCTCCGTATCTGGCTCTTAAAACCAGTCACTCCGATGACAGCATTCAGCTCAATATCGAGGCACTCTGGTCTGCTTTGACTGCGGTACTCTACAGGCGAACAAAGCTGCCAAAGCCTCTAGGGTATCGCCTGTTCCTTGCCGCGCTCTATATACTACCGAGACTGGCATTCCGCCAAGTGAATGTTCCGAAGGGGCTCCCTAAAGAATTCAATGTATGGATTATGTTAGCCATTATTTTATACTATGAGAAAAAGTTGATTCCAATATCCATGGAGCATTATAGGACTTATAATGAATTCAGGGGAATGCTAGTGGAAGATCGCTTCTTTGTCACGAAAAAGGAATTTTTTGGTTGTGCACCAGCTGAAGCAGTGAAGCAAGGCCAGATAGTTGCTATTCTTGGAGGAGCGTATGTTCCTGACCTTCTTGAAAAGTGCGAGGGCTATTATAAACTCATTGCCCACGCGTACGTGGAAGGAATCACAAGTATGAAAAGATTGCCTGCATAGTTGGAAGGTTGACAGGATTGAGATTAGATAGACTTTCCGCCACCGAAAACTGGGTGAATTATATCTGCAGGTCGCCAAAGACTCATGCGGACCTGTGGATTTCGTCGCCGCCTATGCATGAGAGAAGGAATATGCCTTGGGATCAACAAGGTGTATTTTCAGGGGGGTCCTATTTGGGTACCCAGGGAACCAACCTGGCCCCCTTAAATATTATTCTGTGGAGTTGACAACTTTCGCACCGACAGAACCGAGATAAGTAGCAGGAGCATGAGTTGAGAAACCTGAGCAGAGGGTAGCACCTTGGACAGAGCGGTGATATCGACTTCTTTCTCTATCCGAGTAGGATAAATGGGCTCTAAGCGCAATTCAGACCTAATTAAACATTATGCTAATAGTTGTCCAGTCTATCTAGTGTTGTTCACCAAGAGTGGCCTACTAGAAGGGCGTGGACTGAGGGAAGATTTTCATATCCATTCCTCACTGAGTCTAAGCAGCATTATCTTTACGCCCTTTCCTCTGCTCTCCTACGCAAGATTGGCAGACAATCGTCTCACAGTCTGGGCACTGAAAAAAGTACCACTTCGCAAATGATCTCTGACAGCATGCACAATCCGCCCGGCCTTTCCTCCTTTTCCACGTTAGTGCTACGTGCTTACAACTCGCCGCTCTGCCATTTGTGGCCGCATCTGGTGGCTCGAGTGCAGATTCGGCTTTAGCCCTTAAGTCAAGCCAGGTTTTCCGAGCCGCATTTTGTTTTTGGGTCAGAGAAGTCTCGATCGCTTGCTGTTCTGCTTCCTGAGCCTGAAGGGCCTTGGTTTTGTCTTCCTTTGCTTTCCTGGCTCTCTCTCTAGCAACCTCCTGGTCCTTCGCATGGCGACGCCTGATATCGAGTTGACGTTGCGCCTGCAATTTTACCCGGGCAGACTCTGCTTCGACGGCCGCCCCCGCTTGAAGTCTTCTTAGCCTTGAAGACTCAGTCGCAGCTTCTGTTTGTTTATCAATATAAGCTGACCATAACCGCTGTAGTGAAGTTGGCTTGTGCCCCTGGTTACCTTCAGCATCGGCCTCGTAAACCGCAATTCTAAAACCTTTGCTGAATAGGCATCTGAGGTCCGAACCCTTGGTCCGCGTCAATATATTGAGAGGAGTCTCTCTCTTTCGATTTCGGGCATGCCTGTCGGCTCCGCTGACGAGTAACCACTGTACAGTTCTCAGGCGCCCGGTAGGGAACCCACCTCCTTCACGTAGAGCCAAATGCAGTGGAGTCTCGAGCTCATCATCCTGGGCCATCACATTTGCACCGGCTTCAATAAGGCATTGCACGACCCTATCGTGTCCGGCGAGGCAAGTGATATGAAGCGCGGTCCTGCTTTTGTAGGGTGCGGGCTTGTCGATATCGCGACACTGTACCAGCAGTTTCCGAACTATCGTCAATTGGCCACATTGAGAGGCGGCCTGGAGAGGACATCCCCAGCGCCCGAGGTGAAGCTCAGTATTTGCTCCATGGCGCATCAGCAGGTCCACAACCTCTACATAGCCGCCGAGGGACGCTGCATAGATTGGTGTACAAGACAGACATTCGTTTTGCTTCAGCAGGTCCACGATTCCCGCTTCGCCGCTCGTAGATACTCGAATATAGTACCTAGGTCTGAAGCTAGGGGAGACAATCCACGTTGCCTGGATGTTGCCACCTTGCGCAATCGAGTGAGCTGCGGAAGCGCTCTGGCCACGCCTTGCAGCCCACAACAGGGCCGAACTCCCGTTCTTTGTAGCATTATATCTATATAAATAGTCGTTGAGGAGCTGATAAAACCGGCGGCTAGTCCGAGCCAAGGCATTTATGCTGCGCTCGGAACCGAGATAGTCAGCGATTAAGAGGTGGATTTCAGTTGCAAGTGAAGACAACGAGAACGGCATAACTGCGACTGCTCTCTGCTCTGATCAAAACCGAGAGGGTATGGAATGCCACGAAACTGCGTGCGTCGTGTAGATGGTACCTTGGTCTTCGGGGCAAGTTAAGGTGTAGCAAGAAAACGACCTTGATAATTAGACGAAGTGGACATCCATCGCTTCGTAAAAGATTGAAGAAAAGCAATCCAGCTGCCAAAGTCATGAAGCCTTATTCGCTACTATTGCTGTGTAACATTAGGGCGCCAATCAGCTGGACGCGATCTTTGGAGGCCGAGACGTGGACATCGGCAGTTGGCGGGAATTACGCGCCATGTTCTAGTTTAATCCAATGACATTTAATGCTGGGCAATGACATAGCCTCACATGATTTATCACACCGCTTTGAACGGAGACGACATACTGATGTGCTTCTGAACTTCTGAAGTTCTGAGCCTGCAAGATATTGTTAGCCAGACTTGAAATACATCGAAGAATGCGCCAAGGACAAAGTGTTATAGATACTATTACACGGTATGCTTACTGTTGTATAAGAACTGGCCGTGGCTAATATAACAAAGTGGTTTCGAAAATAATACCTATTCTGACCTGACTATTAAATGTCACGACAGATCTTGGAAAGTTCACCGCGTGATTGTTTGCTCCCAATCGAAGGTTTTACATGCGGCATGTATAACAGGCTTTAAGGTCATTTTCTCGAGAATAATCGTTATCTAGCTCTAAACCTCACTCTTGATAGGAGGCATATTTAGGTGTTATTAAGCTAGATAACAATAATACAGTCCCTGTGGAAATAATATTGAAATACTTCTTATACCGGGGAATATAGCGAGCAAGGTAACGAGGGCGAAGAACTACATCTACAGTTGCAGGTTCAAGTTCAAATATATAACCTAGCCGATAAATATAATATACTAGCTTTGATAGGGCTCGCAGAGAAGAGGTTCAAGTATACGCTCGGCAGGGGGGCAACACTGGAAGAATACCTGTCCGTGATTCTATACATCTACACTACGCCTACGTTAACCAAGGCGCTACGGGCTATCGCAGTCGAGTATACTAGAAGGAAATTTCGAGATATAATGCAAAGCGCCGGGCTTGGAATTTTGCGAGCCACGCTGCAGGATATACCGGAATTTGCTTTCGATGTAATCCAGCTATTTATGAACGCTCCTCTAAGAGGTAGTTATTCCTACTGTGGTCCAAACCAGAATGCCGAAGCACTCCAGGCGTGTTGTATGAAATACGGCAAGGGAGGAATTTCAATAATATATTAATAAGACTTAGATAAGCTCTTTAGTAAAAAAAAGCGTGCGACAGGTTCACTGTTATCGATACAGGTTTTAAGACAGTGGAAAAAACAGATTGGCTTCGCCTACAGGTGGATATAGCTAAACGCGAGGAAAATTTTATAATTATGCTTTAGGGGAACAATTTCTATCACCCTACTTCTAGCCGATTATCCCCACCTCGCATATAAAATTCTGCTTGAGCGAAATGCTCCATCCAGAATCTCGCGAGTCTCGCATGTAGAGCCTTTTCTCATAGCTGACAATCGAAACGATCGAATTGGCTACGATAGTGTGGTTTCGTTGTAGAGTGAGAGCCGAGTTGGGCCCCAAGGCGCCGCGTTAGGAACGGGGCAAAATTCGGCTCCCTAACCCTGGCGCATCTATTTCGCTATCGGTCGACGCGCGTTAGGAGGGGAGAGGGCCTGTTTAGGCTCCCTGGGAGCCGACTTGGTTGCCTTGAACATAATCGTGCAGAATTAACAACTTTCGTATAGTAGAGCCGAATAGGAAAGTAAATTATAATTAGTTAATAGAAGCGGGACCAGAAACGTGACTAAGCAACCTAAGCAGAGTGGTGGAGCACGTGGAGGGTGAGGCGGGAGTGAGTAGCGCCTAAGCAGAGCGGCGATACTAATTAACCGTATTAGAAGTGATACAAGTTAAGATTCGGCGTAGATTACCAGAATTTTCTGTTGCTAACCTTAGTTAGGTGACTACAGACCTTAGTGACATCCGTGGAGTGGAAATCAGTGAGCTTAATAAAGTTCGAGTCTTACATTCCATTGCCACTGCGTCGGCTAATACGTAGGTTTCCAATAGCAGCGAGCTCAGTATTCATTGTAACTGCTCTAACCTCTTCCGTAGTTACATATTAATATATGCTGCTGCCGGACTATCCCTCATTTGCTCTATGTTCTTCACAGTATGTCATAATTACTCTACGAGAAGTGCAATTCTAACGCAACAAGCCCCGGAAACTCTGGTAAGGATCCATAACATAGATTGATTTCAGAAAGGAGTTCTCTTGGACCTGTAACACAGATGATCTCGAAAGTAAGAAGCCTCAATGCTCATTAAATTTAATTCCATCGGTCTGAACCTAAAAACTACGTCGTTTCAAAGTGATTTTCTGCGACATGCTCACTTGGTTCTTCTCTCCCACTATCACATTCTTTGGCCTCTCGGTTTGCCCGTCTGGGTACGCAATTTCGAATTCGAGTAATAGTATCATCTGTATCAGTTTAATCTGGGCGCTAGCCCGGAAGCGACCAGGGCAAGCAAATTTCCCAACACCCCATGAAGGTATCTCGGAACTTAATGACGCAAACTGATGTCGTTCTTCCTGCCCTTTCTCCTGTCGTAAGTTGAAGAAACGCAAGCCGTCGAAGGTTTTAGGTGGAGGAAATAGGTCCGCGTCGTGCATCATGGGATAGTGCGGCATGGAAATATACGTCGACGCCGGGAGTGTGACGCCATTGGAGAGAGTGAGAGGGGTAGTAAGTCGTCGGTTGAATGTCACTATTTGTGGAATTAGTCACAAGTATGGAAAACACAAACAAGAAGCGAGAATCTGGTCTGACATACTCAATCCAAGAGTGTTGAGCCCACTAGATCCTTTAATAAAACTGCCAGTCTTCTTGAGACTCGAAAGTGTTGCAAGTTTAAGACCATCATGTGTTTTCAGAGCTTGGAGCATCTCTTCTCTTAACACTGCCATATCTTCAGGTCGAGCACACAGATCCAATATGGTATTGGCAGCTGTTTCAGCACTTGTGTGGATTGCTGCCATGTTGAGAAACAGCATTCGCTTTACTATTTGGTCGGTCTCTGCGTCGTGTCCTCGTGCGGTATCGATGAGCCATTGAAGCATGTCGTTGTGGTTGTAGGCTGATTCTGATGTTCGATTTTCGAGCCGAGGGAGTAGAAGCTTGCGAGCTACTGCAAACCGATTACGAATTTGGCGACATGAGGCCAGGAAAGGAGCGACAAATGGATGAAAGACTCGGTAATGTGCTTTCAAATCCTTCATGACTTTAAACACGCTGGTAATGGCATTGCCAGCTAGAACCTGGTACCTTAGCAATGTAAAGTTTCTTACTCCATGGTATAACCAGTTGCGGTAGATAGCCAGTCTGGATCTCGACATAGATCTGGTCCAACAAACACACGGGCTGTAACACTCGTGACCAGCTGGATCATCGAAGAGATGAGTGGCAATGTGTAGATTCCTGCAAGATAATTCAGTCAATCCTAGACCTGTGATAAAATGGAAATTGGGTGGCCTGTTTTACCATTTTTGCTCTCAGGTCTTTCGAGAATTTTGTTCAAAGCAAATAGCGTTTCGTCGTAAACAGGCAGACCGAGTAGGCCTGATAATCCACATATTTAGTGACAGTACCAAACGAATAGCCACGTAAGTTTTTACTTGCTACTCACCGATGTTTTGAGACAGCTGGATAGCACACACTACAAATTAGACATCACCTTTCTCAACAACGTCCATTCTAGTATACTCGCCAGCATGTCGCATCGTGGCAGTCACCTGAAGCTCCGAGCGAGATAAAGAACTAAAATCCTTCATGAACTTCCTAGAGACAATTACTCGATCCATATCTGTCGTCCAAAGCAAATACATGCCGTCCTTGTACTATTTGTTGTCAGCTGATATGTAAACACGTGATTGCAATGCAAGAGAACATACTCGTGCATAGCCTTCTTGAATCAGCTGAAGACTATGACTGTGGAAGTAGCTTTTCGTGGTGTTGCCAAGCAATCCTGGCCTTGGGCCGACTCGAGGAATATCTAGCTCTTTTCGCTGCCGAAATAGCAAACCCAACGAGACAAACGCGCCTCCAAAGAAGGTCAATATAATAGAAGCGAAAATTATGAGCGACTTTGCTTAGGAAGAATGAAAAGTGCGGTTTTGCCTTGGCTTGAGTCGTTCACGGGTTTGGCTGGTGTGTCAATGGCTAGAACGAGGTTGAAGTTGAGAGAACCTTTGGTGGTTGCGGGTAGAAGTCTGGAGAGTCTCGCCACCAACCATGGCTATGCAACAAATACGACTCTACAGAGTATCTGCCGCAGGTTTGCGCCATTAATATCGATGCGATCGGGATCTGATGGAGCGCGCAAGGACTCTGGCAAGGGTGTTGTTGTGGTGATTGGGATCACAAAGAGTGTTGACTCCACAGCAACCAAAAAGGCTACATCTATAGCCTTCTCGGCCCTAGAATTCATGTTCCTTTCCAACCGCCTATATACCCAACGGGGCATGTTGTAGTCTAGCTATCAGCGAGAGGACCTCCTGGAAGGAATACATGTACAGCGTTATATCCTTTATGATATAGCCGTAGGTACGAGCAAATAGAGGGGCATTCCACTCTAGCCCTAGCTTCAATCCACCATATACCGCGACCTGCTTTGCGATACCATAGATATAGCAATAAAAGTGCAACTGGGTCTTTTTCCTGCAGCAAGGATTTGAACGCGCCACGGATGCTACGCGTGAAGAGCTCAGTTTGACCTGTTATGACCTGGCTATCCGGGAGACCCTGGAGCTGGGATACCGCATGGGCAGCATTGAAATACGGATTGTTTTCTGCCGTAGATGAGTCTTCAAGATGGCACGCGATAGCTAAGCCCCTTGTTATACCATCTATGCCTTTCTCTGGCAGGGGTGAGTTCATTTGAGCATACGTCGGCGCCATGACGCGAAAAAGACTGTCCGGTCGTAGCGGGTCAGTTATGCGCCACAATGACATTTTACCCTTGCTCATACGCAACCATTCCAAATCTGAGGGACCAGAGGGCTTTAGAGGCCACGATTCTTCTGGTGTATAGGAATCAGGGGTCGAGAAGGTTAACATAACCAGAGCAGCGGCAGTGCCCCAGATTGGATCCTTATCTTTCGTTTCAATCGGCTCCCTTAACCGTCTGTTAAAGAGAGCTGTGGTTTGATACCAGTGATAGCACTCTTCTGGAGTGCGACGACTGCTTAACGGGCTGTTCAGATAGCGGTCATACGCAAGCGCCACCGCTAGAGAGGCGTGCATCAAGAAAGGGTGCTGTAAATCATATGTTAGTAGATAACCCAGCGTAAATCTTGTCCAAAGGGAACAAGAAAAATTCTATAGGACTTACGGTGAAGGCCAGTATCAAGAGCTTGCGGTTAACTTCTATCATGTTGGGGTCATCTGGAGTAATAAGACCTCGTCCTAGGTACCGGTTTGCTAAGTCTTGACACTTTGCGTTCAACTGATAGAATGTTGACGCGTCGGATGTCCAAACACCACTGGTGAGAGGAGGTCGAAGTTCTGCTCTTTCCCGAACGACCAATGACCGTACTGAGTCATCGGCGACGGGCTGCAGATCAGGAGTATTAGGCTTGAAATTGCATAATACCCCGAATGAACCACATCTCTTGCACTGTGGTTTGCCTTCGTCGCACTAGAAGCTCAAGGAAATTCGGTCAGCTAAACGGCATTCTATGGAAAGTAGATATCCAGATATCCACACACCTACCTTGAGTTTTCTGAGCTTGCAATTTCGGCACCCAAATCGCGACCTCCGCCTAGTCCTGCGCTCTGGAAACTCTGTTGGGCAAGTCGACGCCATACTTGGTTTGTTATCCAATGCTATGGATAGCTTGACTGCGAGGGCTTTTCCGGAGTCCGAAGGGATTGGATGCCAAAAGAATCCGTAGACGGTGGAGCCGGACCCAGGACACTAGTTTCATAAGGTACCGAGGAGCATTTATACGCTAACCGTCTTTCGGATATTGAAGCTTCGCACTAGCCACCAACCGGGTACAGAAGTCTCTGATTGGCTGATAGTTACAACTCGTCCAACAGCACCCATCTATGATTAACGATCAACACAACATCGTATCAGACAGGCGCGAATTTCACGGATCTAATGGCATTAAAAAAAGACCACGTAAAAGGCCGTAGGTCTTGGAGTCTTGCAGGGCGAGCGGGCGGGTATTTAAGCACAAGGTGATCCCCCTCGAAAATGCAGAATAACATCTTCTCAATCCCAAGTCCTTCGCCCACATAGCTGAAGCATCATCCTCAACCTTTTCTTGAATCTCATTACCAAGAAACAATATCATAATTTCATAAACCTCCTTCTCCAAACTAGGATACATCTATAGCCTAGTTGGCATACATATATTACCAGCCCCGAACCTGCCCAACACAACACAACACAACACAGAGCGCCATCCTAGACTCCTTCAACAAATCCCTTAACCTGAGCCTACACCATGACATCCCCATTCTCCCTCCCCGCGATCCTCAACCCACCCCTGACCGGCCGCGAAGCCGTGGTCGACGCGATGCACCGGTGCGTTATGGGCTTCGATACAGACGACACAGCCCTCTTTGACTCGAGCTTCATGCCAGACGGCGTGTTCGAGGTCAACGGGCGTGCCATGAAAGGACTACCCGAGATCCACGCCATAGGGCTCGCCATCATCTTCAAGCTCGACACGACGCACCTGGTTACCAACGTGCGTGTTCACATGAGAACGGGGACTTCCAAATCCGGGGCTGCGGAGGAGGAGAACGAGGCGAGCCTGACGGCTACCGTGCTCTCACAGCACTTCGACCGCGGGAAGGGCATGGAGCCGGATCAGAGGAACTTGTTGTCAGGGACCCTGTACCGCGGAGAGCTGATTAGGGACGATGTGGACGGGTTGTGGAAGTTCAGTCACTTGCAGATAAAGTCTACCTGGGTGCAGGGTGATTATAGCGTGGTTGGGGGGGATTTCAGCAAGCAGGAGTAGGAGGGTTCTATATAAGCAGATAGTTAGCATAGGAGCTTCATACATACTAGTAACGTGCTATTGATACCTACTTCCCAAGTGATGCTTCAATCCCATGCCTTACACCAACCAACCCAGCTCCCACGATCAGGGACGTTATATATCACTTCACAAGCACACCAAAACACCAAGATCAAATAAGGAGTATTTAATTCAACTTTATATACCCCACTCATACCCCATCCCATCCCTCATCAGTAAGTATCTTCATGCTCTTCATCCCTGCCGCATGCAATACCAACCAACCCATCCATCCATCAACCATCAACCACTACTTCATCCACTCCGTCCTCCCCTCCCTCCACACACTACCACACTACACCAAATATAAAAAACTCTCAAATCCAGCCAGCCGTCTACCTGTCTGTCACAACAGACACCACAGCAGTAGTAATACCTCAATATACACAACAAACAAAATCAAAACATACACACAAGAGAAACTTTTCCCCCATCCATCTAGAGCCAGCAGTCCTCCAGTTAAAGCACCCATTCCCAACCAGCCAACCAGGGCAGGGACGGCCCACAAATACAATCTAATCCAGGCCCCCTTATCCCAACCCTATCCCTATCCTATCCCATTTCCATGCGCTGCGTACTCGTGGGGGCAAATTCTATATATGTAAAGAGAGTGGGCTTTGCGTTTTTGCTTCGCTTCGCTACGCTAAAAATTTTTGACGATGAATGAATGAATGATGAACAAGTTTTCTAAAAAAACAAAAAAAGAAAAGGGGATAGTGAGGGGAAGAAGGTGAGAAGGTGGTTTGGGAAAGGGGGGGTTGGGGGGAAATAAATAATTACAAAGGAGGGTATGTATGTAGGTAGGTATGTAGGTAGGTACGTATGTAGGTAGGTGACAATCATGCACCAACGGAAGTAGGAGGAAGGGGGGTGTGCAATTTCTCGCCCTCGGCATCATCAGCCTCATCAGTTCCAGACTGGTTCTTTTCGGAAAACTCCTCCCTCACAGGGGAATTTGAAGCTTCGGGCGTATAGAATGCAGCTTGGGCGTTGTGGCTAACAGGGCGACTTAATCTTCCATCCTCGTCTTCGACGGGAGGGAGAGGGGTGCGTCGGCCGTCAGAAAAGCTAACCGCGACCTCGCTATCATAGCCGTCAGAGGTGATGATACCAGGGATGCTAGAAGAACCGGAACGGATCCTGTTGTGGAGTTCCTTGAAGCTCTTGGCCGTGGCGCTGCTTGCCGTGGCAGCCGAGCCATGACGCTCACGGAATTCGAGAGGTTCGGCGAGCATGGAATTGAAGTCGCTGTCGAAGGCTGCAGATGGGGAGCCCCCAAACTCGTCCTTGTGGGGCTGTTTCCGCAACCGTAGGCGCTCTTCTGGTGACATATTTTGAAGCTCCGAGCCGAACTGGATGACGGATGCCTTTTTGCCATGGACTGTAAAGCTACCAGTACCACGCGACAAGACATCCTCACGACTGCCCTCCTCAGATAGGATGGCACTCGATGCAGAATCCTTGCCCTTTCGGCTTCGGTGATGAGTCGGGACATGAGCGTCCCGAAGTGTGCGGTGAAGACTTCGACGGATCTTTCCTCGATCCAACTTGTCCTTCTCAGCTACCTGATCCTTACTTTCCTCGCTCTTGAGATCACTGGGTCGTTTTCTGATTGGGCTCTTATCCGATTCTAAGAGACCGGCTTGTTCTAAAACTGCTTGTTCTGTAGCATCAGGTCTTGGAGTTGACGGGCGTGGTTGATCGCCGCTAGATACTGGTCTTAGACTAGCTTTTGACGGCGTTGAGGCGAGATTAGGACTTGAAGGAACAGCACTTGACACGGACGCTTTCCGTGTTTTCTGGGCATCGAATTTAAGAGGTGGGAGCTCCCAAGATGCTTGTTGCTTTTGGAAGGTAGCAGGACTAGAAAGCGCAGGTGGAGCCTGGAAAAAGTCGTCCAGTTGGAGATCGCTTTCATACTGTGGTGACTGTTGTGCCGATGTAGATGGGCGATAGGCTGATTGGGTTGGGGATCGGGGAGCGCGCTGGGGAGTGACACTGCTTGCTTTGGAAGGCAGGCGAGCGAGCGCAATACGGTCCGAGCTTGGTGTCTCCCCAACTGTCTCCTGTTTTGATACAGTCCCGTCTGATTTGCTCTCCTCCTCCAAATCCATGGAAAGAATATCCTTATGACATCTAAGCCGCCAAATCTCCATCCTACCCCACTTCAACTGTGCTGCCATCCGGCCAGCAGCCAGGATGATTTGTTCCCGAGTCTTCTGCTGGATCGGTGCGAGAATTTGAAGATGGCGAGCATTTCTCAGTTGGGTATCTAGTTGCTTTTGTGCGACGGCAAGTTTCTCCTCCGCCTCCTGGATTTTCTGCTGCATGATCTCCCGGCGGGCGCAAAGTATATCGTGTGCCATCTTTGTGTCGATCTTCCCGCTTATAATAGTCACTTCTCCTGTTGGAGTTTGGACTGATTTGGCAGAGTCACTGCGGCTTTCCAAGCGCCGTATTCCACGAGTCCGCTGGCCTTCGTAGTTCCCTCCCACTACGCCGCGCATGCGGACACCAGAGGTCCTGAATGCAGCTGCATAGTTGAGCTTTGCAAGCCAATCGTTCATTTCATGTTCGTTATCAGCAAGGAATGTCTCTTCGAACCCTCCATGACGAACAAAAACGAAAGCATTCTTGTGCTTTTTGTAGGTCGAATCCAGCAATGCCACCGCATCATCAGTCGACATCAGGGCATCCGGCTTGAATTGTTCAAGAGGAGGCTTGAAAATCACTGGAATACCATCATGACCCTGCTTGGTATGTGTCTCAAGTTGATGCATCAAACTCTTGATCCAATTGGTGTTTCGAAAGAAATAGAGCTGAGCGCCAGTAAGAATCGCGCCCCATTCCTGCCATGGAGATCTGGTCTTCTTCTTCTTGGCATCCTTCCGCCAGAGGAGACCGACCTTCGTGATCTTGATATCCACAATTCCAGGATGCGCTTCTTCAGGATTGCTGACAGTCTTCTCGGACATGAAGGCGTCCGGTCGCGACCTAGCCGAAACGATTTGCAGAATTCCAGTGCGGAAGAATGTCTTCTGCAGATCCTGGAGATTCAACGAGGGGGCTGTCCCAAGGTAAGAGTAATGTTCTTCCAAATACATCACTTCCTTCAGATTAGGCCGTAACGTATCGAGTTTACTGTCAATGATAAGGGTATAAGGGTCAACCGGTTCCTTAGATGGCCGTTTCGTTGGATCCACATTCGCACGGGGGAAAATAGACTTCTTCTTCGTCTTATGTTGTATAATCCGTTCCCCATTGATATCCAGATCGTCTTCAACATGGATAAAAGGGGTGTACGAGATATTATCGTAAAACGTTCCCAGGATCTCGTCGAATATGCCCTCGCCGCGGGTGTTCTTTAGATAATCGTGTTTTTGCATCTTGTGCTTGTTGTTCGGGTTGAATACGTCGGTGTGTAGGATAAGGAGTGAGAAGGCGATGAAGTAGGCCTGGTCAGGCGATGCGTATATTCCCGGGTTGCATTCGTGATATCGGTTGGCAAACCCTTGCAGGCATCTATCAATCTGCTGCGTCTCTTTCGGTAATTCAACTTCCATCAGTAGCTTCCGAATCGCCATGTCCATGGGATCACCAAAGAAACCAAAACCTCTCATGTAGCTTCTGAGGACGGCTTGGGAGAACGGATCCGTGCCTTTGGATAATACACTGGCAACGACGCCTCTGCTTACTGCCTCTTCGAGTCTTACAAGATACTTCGCAGGTGTATCATCCTCATACCGTTCTGGCAAGACGATAGCGGGCTCTCTCACCAATTGCATAGAGTTATTCTTTGACGTGTTTGAACCTGGTGTAGCAGGGTTTGAATTACGCGGGTAAGGAGGCTCCGAGTTCTGACGAAGACGATGAGAAAGGCCAAACAAATCACCAAAGCTCTTCCGGCCAGTAGAGGTAGAGGTCCGACCAGATGGTGGGAGCGTTGGGGTTGGCAAGTTGTCGTCACTAGGCATATTCCGAAGGGAATTGAGCGTAGATGACCTTCCGCGCTGAGTTAGCCTCGCACGGGTGGGAGAGGATATAGAAGATGCTGATGATCCTTGGCGGAATAATGGTGCTCCTGGTGTAGCAAAGGCTGCTGAGGACTTTAGGATAGCACTGTGTGACGGTGACGGTAGAGGCGAGCCAAATGTATGACTATGACCTCCTACATCGTCAACCGAAGGCGAGCGCAATGCCTTCATCGAAGGGGAGTCGGGCGCGGTAAGTCGAGAGGAGCTTGCAGATGCTCGAGAAGCGGCCAATAACTGGGCTTGATCTTGAGGATTGGATTTCTGCGGGAGATGGGAGAGATCGAAAAAGGGTGCTGGGGTCTTCTTCCGGCGTGGGAGACGGAAGAAAGTTGTAGTAGTATGGACGGTATGCGTAGTAGTGGTAGTCGTTGCATACACGCCATGATCTCCACAGCTGCCATCAGACCTCGAGGATTCAGATAATCGAGTGACCGGGAGCGCCAATGTCGAATGTGCCTCATCACCGTACGCAGGCGGCGAGGTTGCAATAGCATGCGGTGACGGCCGTGCAGGTTCATCAAAAGTAACTCGACTCTTGCTACCTGACGGAGCGCTTTCGGTCATAGTCTTCCTCCGCTCCTTCTTCGCCTTCTTGTCATTTAGCGTCGTCGTCGGCATAGGTTCCTCCTCTTGGATATCCATAGACGACTTCCTGCGTCCCGGCATGCGTACCCTGGACTTCTTCTTCGTTGGTTTCGTGACGTTCATCTCCATCGTCGGGGCCGTCGTGATGATTGCCGGAGCTGTGAAGCGATATCAATGGGACTGCTCTTGATAGAAATAAGGGGAAGGCGGGGCAGGTAAACTCACGATGGGGAAGAGGCGGCGCGTCCGCCCGAGCAGCATGAAAGCGAGCTCTCGAGGACAGCTGCGAGTCCGAAGCATTGCGGAATTTCAGCATGGAAAACCGCCGATGCTTCTGTGTCTCGTCTTGCACTGGAGGGGATACCGACCGCATCAAGGGGTCAGCCCCAACCTCAGCAACCATTGACGACCGTCTTGCAGCGGATCGATCTGCCTTAGCTGGCGATAAAGCTGAAGGAGTCAGGAATTCCGCTGGTGAAGGGCGTCGTGGGATCTGCTCGCTCGCTCGGCCGCCGAGTACTGGCTGGTTGTTCGCATCCGGCGACAGCAGCAGGCTATGTCGTCGCATGTCCACATCGCTCGAAGGCCCCCGCCGACGTAGCAGCCCCGGGATGAGAGGCATGTTCGGACTGGGCCGCAAGCCGCGGATTCATTGATCTCGAGTGTGCGGGTGCGCGAATCAATCAATTTAATCCATATACAGCGCTGCGAATGTAGGTCGTTGTTTGTGTGTTTGCTGGCCCTGGATTTCGTGGGACGTCCAGATAGGTACGAATCCGACGTGACAGGTTGATGCTGAGGCTGGGAGAACCTTGCACGCCAGAATCAATAAACGAGTGGCGGTGCCAATGTACACACGACGGGTAGCTAGTCCCGAAACATCAATTCACGGCCAGCCGACGTCGTAGAATTAGAATAGGGGAGAATTTATTGAATTATTGTAAATACGATCAATCTGTGATTTCATTTCCTAAAAGTGAAATGGGTTTCGAGTTTGAAAAAAAAATTTGTTGCTCGAAACATTCATTACGAAGCACATAGCGTCAGAGCGCAGATGCTGACTTATTCCATGTACTATCGACCAACGCATCCGGTAAAAGTACGTACAGCATAAACTTGCTACGACACCATCATATTTTTGCTTACTAGCTGACCTCGCATGCAAAATCACTTATAGCCATGATACAGACTCTTATACAAGATCCTTCGTAAAGATTCTCATACAAAAATCGCGAGCTAGGTAAATTCATTCATTGGGGTGGTGGTCACGTGCAGCTCTCCCTTCCTCTTACCACGCAGCGGGAATCAACATCAAACATATAAATATCAAAAGAAGCAGAAACCTCATAACAACCGGAGACAGGCGACTGGGAAGAGTTAGTGTAGTTGTTAAGACCCACCGCTAACAAACCTAGAGTGACCCTGGACGCTCCACCAGAGGGAACTTTGAGGCTTGGGGGTAGTAGGCTTAAAGTTTCTCGGTATCCAACGCTCCGTGAAGATATTTCTTTTGCTGTTTGCTTTTATCGCTTTAATAGCCTCACTTTTCTTTTTTGTTGCTGCCTCGGTAAACTCGCTTATGCTTATTGTAAGGGGGGTGTAAACAACAGCTAATTGTAAAGATTGTCACGGGGTACAAGAGCAAGACATTGGAAATGTTTTTGAGAAGGATGAAGGTATATTTGTTCATCTATCCAAAAACGTAAAGGCTTAAAATCCTTGGATCAAGCGTAATAAGACAACAGACCCAAAGCCGGATCGAAACCAATAGCCTAACAAAAATCCTTTATAATCCCTCAGACAAAATCCCTTAAAACAGTCGAAGCTTGTCATAGAAGCTTTTTAACAAAACACCATGACTCCAATGCCAAAAATCAAATCCCGTTCATTCACTCCCAGCGATACATGCCATCATCATAGGCGACTCGGTGTCTCCGATATCCTGGCCCGACGCTGAAGCGTCGCTTTGGCAGCTGTCTTTCCCTTAGTCGCCTTTTCATGGCTTCTTTGTCGCCTTCCTCATCCTCGATTGCGAGTGCGCCCATCATCGTTGGCAAATCCTGCGCCACGACAAGTGGTCGCTGCTGGCGTCTCAGCGCCGGGATCGGCGCAAGTGGGACGGCTGGGCGACGTCGGATCTCCTCATCCTGGGCTTTGATCAAGGCTTCCTTTCGGAGTTTAGCCTCGAGCTCCTTCTCCCTCTGAAGGCGTTCCTCCCGCTCCCGGAGGAGTCTCTCTCTCTGTCGCTCTGAAGCGGCACGCTCAATCCGCTCGCGTTCTAGTTCCCGCTGGAGCTCGCGCTGTCTCTCGAGTTCCTCCTCCTCGTATCGCAGGCGGGAGTTGAAGGATGTGTGGGAGCTGGAGGGAGAGTCCCACATCGGGTTCTGACGCGTCTGGGAGCGTGGCCGGCGAGATTGGGCTGGGCGTTCCGAGACGACGGCGCCGTTGCTTGGGGTACGGCGGAGAGGGCGCTCATCCACGATGATAGGGTGTTGGTGGTGGTGCCTATGTTCATGGTGGAAGGGTTGCGAGACGGGGGAAGGGGGCGCGGTGAAGGTCTGGTTGTAGAGCTGTGGGGGGGTTCTCGGGGTGGGAGGAGAGTCGACAATCACGATGCGCTCCTTCCGGTGCTGGCGGGTTGGGCGCAGCGGAGAGAGCACCCGCTTGGAATGCTTGCGTCGGTGTCCTGAGGATTCTGAGGACGACTGTCGACGATGGGAGCTGGGGGAGCGTGGTGGGGTAAGCGGGCGCTGAGCTGGGAGGGGGAATGAGCGGGTGAGCATGTGCTCGGTGGAGGGCTCGCCCCAGGTAATCTTCCGGACGGGGTTCTCGACCACGGAGAGGGTTGGGCAAGGGCGCCCTGGGGAGCCATACTGGCAGGTCGAGGTCTGTCGGAAGGTGACCGCGTGGCCGTCTGGGTAACGGTCGACATATACGTTGGTGACACACATAGTGACGGTGGGATGCGGTTTATGCGTGTGCGGTGGGTATATACGCTTCGTCGAACGGGTATCGACGAGAGGGTTGATGTTGTTTATGACGACTGCTCTACTCTTGATAGGTATGCCGGTAGGCCGCCAATAAGATGTATGAAGATCTTGCTTCAAGTACTCGTGTGGTTGTTCTGGTTGTTTGGTTTTGGGAAGAAGCGGTGTTCTATAGTGTTCTATAAGATATAGCGAATGGTTTCGTGTCAGTCACCCGGATCAGGGATGAGAAGAAATCGGACGTCTGGAGTTATGCGGTGCGCAAGAGACATGGAGGCATATGTAGAGAATATGCGATGACTGCTGAATTTTGAAGGGAGGGAGCGGTACTAATCGTCGAGGTCGAGGGCGATGTGATGCGCAGAGGACCGTGGTAATATATATATTTTTCCAAGACTGGCGGGGACGAGGCTGAGGTCCGATGGTAGCGCAAGCTTGAATATACAGGGACTGGGATGGGGGCTGTGTCAAGACGAGTTTACTTGACTCTGGAAGGTGATGATAGCAGTGATAGTGTTGACCGTTGTTGATAGTGATGAAGAAGGATGAAGAAGATGGATGATAGGAGGGCGGGGAGAGGGAGGGAGATATAGATGTGAGTGGTGGGAGTTGATGCAGCAGAAGTCGAGGAGTCATACTTATAGATCAGGACGATGATGTCTCTGGATTGTGTGTGTACTTTCAGCAATGTACCTTGCGTACGAAGCAGCGTATAGCGGGGGGGGGTGTCTGCCTGGCCGCCGGATGACTACGAGAGCAAGGGGCTGGTGGCCTCAAGGGGTAGACCGGGCTTCCAGGAGACGGAGGCCTCAGGGGGTGGTGGTGGTGGCCGCCGCGAACTACGTCCGTACTCCTGCTGCTGGTGTCCTATCGTCGTCCTTCGCCAGTCCTGCAGAACGTCCTTCTCGTCGCCCTCTCGAGTTATGCGCCACGGCGCATTGTTACTGGCATGGATGGCGTCAGGATTCCACCCTCCACCCTCCACCCTCTCGCACGTACGAAGCACGAAGCACGGAGAGCTCCCTGAGCAGTGGCCCCAGCAGGAATTGTCCTGTCGCTGTGGCTGACTCTGAACGGATTGTCCAGTGCATAGCAGCAGCTTAGCTCCGTACGCCGTGCACCGTACTGAGCTCCAGCCACTGCAAAGTAGTCTCGAGTTGTACGAGTAGGGAGTCACTGCGGTCACATCGTCGCAATCCCACAGCCCACATGGTGGAGCCACAGCAAGCCTGCGCCAGTCAGATGCCCTTTCTGGCTTTTCGCTCTCTGTTGCCATGGGCAGCAAAAGACCCCATCATCGCCCATCCTGACTTGGCGACGGGTGCACGTCCTGAAACGGCCTTGTAGGGCCAGAGAGTGGCAGAGCGGGTGGCAGAGAGACAAGAAACCACCAGAGACACGAGAACGGAATGCGATACTTCGTACGGTTACCTCCGTATGGTATGCGATGGATGGCAAGGAGAGAATGGAGGCGTCTTGCTGGAATTCCCGACCAGATGGATTTGGAATCGGAGCTGGAACAGAATGTTTCAACCAAAATAGAATAAACATCTCTCAGTGATCTCACCAAGCCCTACAACCCCCGGGGGCCTCGACACTCTCTCCCCAGCTCCGACGGGCCCGGCGCGAACATAAGCAGTTCGCTCAGTAAGTATGGAATCAACTCAAACGCGAAACCAAGTAAGCATCGCCAATCGACGATCCCAACAGCATTCTCCCCACGAAGCGTCGCGGCGTGCGGCGCCAGTACCGGGTCGCCCGTGGCGTGGGTGTCGAAGAACTGTGTCTATTTCCAATTATACTTTTCCCCAGTTGATGCTCTCCATCCAGTCGATCGGTGGCGCGTTCTCTCGCTGCGACGACGAGTTGGGGAGGTCGGTAAGTCAAACAAACAAAACAAGCAGACCGGCGGCCCCAGGCGGCTGTCTCATCTCTTCATTAGCAGCGGCAGCGGCCGTGGCCCGTTACACGCTGTACTTGTATTCTTTGGATCTCCATCATCGCCCATCTCCCCTCGCCCATCGCCCATTCCCCCATCTGCATCATTCCCCCCATCGTGCATGCGCGGTTCCAGCCTCTTGGGAATGGTTTTGCATTTTGGCATTTTGCAGTGGCCGCCAGCCCGAATCCGGGATCCGGTGAGAGAGCCCGGTGAGCGAATCCGCCCACTCACACCATCCACACCCTCAGCCACCTCCGCGAATCCAGACCAAACACCAACTCCCCGTCAACAGCCGCCGACTCTCTCGCTTCCTCTCGCTACGGAGTAGGTTCGGAGTACTCCTGCTCTGGGCAGTCTGTCTCTGCACAGCCGCGTAGCCAGTCTGCCACCACCAATTTCCACCATTCGTATATTGTACCTTGTATGCGTTGCTGCGGCGATGATCGTCCAGGTGGCCGGTGCGCGAGCATTGAACAGAACAAGCATGATCGCATCCGCCGGGGAGAGTGTGGCACTGGCAAGCCACTCGGGAGGGAACCCATGGGGGGGGGGATTGAGTCTGGTGATAGGGTTGCCGTACGCAGGAATCGAGCTCCAAGTACAGATGACGAAGCACGATGACGGTATCATTCACTTCCTCGCTCGCAAAACTCCCCTACACGAGAAAAGAGAGACAAGCCATCTGTGGCTGAGAAACATATGGTAGGTTACGATCACGTTGGCTGCCCTCTCCCCTTCCGCACGAACGGCCCGGGGGGTCCCGTGCTCATGATGGCTGACAGGTATTGACTTTGATTTGGCATTTAGACTTTAGACTTTTTGACTCTTAGGTGTTTACTAAGAACTACTGGCCTACTGGATAATGCAAATGATTCCATTATTTTCCTTTGGTCGCCCTTGCATACGGCGGATGCAAGGCCTACATGTGGTACAAATATTACCTATCACAGTCCACAACCAGCACTTCGCAACCTAATCCACAAGCCACAACTCACAATTTCAGAATTTTCACGAAAGAGATGGAAAGATAGAGAACTACCTGGCCGGTATCTCGCCCCCACGCTACTTTGCAATCACACCCTCCAGAAACCACAACGGGACATCCCGCGAAGTGGTGGAAATGAAAATCAGGGAGAAAAACCACTCAAGAACGCCTTGTAAGGCTGACTGCAATATTCAGCCTTACAGGGGCCCCTGCCCCATCGCATCCACTCCAGGAGGCGTGATTGATGCCTTGACGGTTTCCGAGGAGCTTTTGCCCTTTGCAGCAATCCTGAATGGGGTGTGATGACGAGTCCTGAAGGCGATGCTGGTTTTTGTTGAGTTGTATTTGTGATGGTGTACCTAGGTTACGTTCCTAGTTTCATGGTCTGCCAGACACGCAACGCAACGCACCGCAACGCAACGCAACGCAACGCAATAGTCCAGACCAGGCCTAGGCTTCGTTTCGTTCAATGCCGCTGCCTAGTGAGCGTCTTTCTCGGTGTGCCTGTCAGCGGAGAAAGATGACACATCTCATGGCCCTTTGTCATCGCACATGTGGTTGGTGTCGTCGTCTTCGGCGTGGATATGTCGGCAATGCGCCAGCGACCAGATTTCCCAAAGCAGACCGGTGAGGGAGAGAGTACGTACAGAGTACAGAACACCTTACACCATCCACCTACCTTATGTAATCTGCAGGGTGGTTTTCCGCTCAGGTGCACGTATGACTCCCCTCCCCTCCAGCATCAGCGGAAATGCGGGGAACACAAGTCACTCGTCTCAATTCAAGTCCTTGGCTCGAACGGCAGGTGTGACTGTTTAACGTCTGTCCCTGCGTCCAGAGACGCACCTTGTCACGAGACGAATCTATAGTTTTAGAATCACAAATTTTTCTTGGCAAGTCTATGAAGTTGGTTATTAATATGTCACTTTCTTTAACTATTTCTCCTGAGTAGACCCCTTAGTAACGAGAAAAAGACCGCAGTTGATCATACTGTCGATTATTTCGTTAATGCCGTCGATCGCTACTCTAGCTACTCCCCCCTGCTTAATTGCAACTGTTGGAGTTTGTTAGCATTTCGGAGCACTTCGGGAAAGGTTCTATGAAGAAAGAATAAACTTCCAAATTTTGAAGACACTCAGAGAGGAAAATCAAGAAGTCTGGGAGTTACGCCGTGCGAGGCAAGTGACACAAAATACCGCATATTTTAGCTTCATGATTTAATGCTAATTAGCTAGCGTTAGCCCAAATTAGCCTGATCAAATAATACCGTACAATTAAAGCCTCAGCCGCCAGGAGTCATAGCTGAGGCTGGGAAGAACTTTTTCCTGAGGCTGACAGGCATATAACTTGAACTGATCCGGCCCGAGCCAGCGACGCGATTCGGCTGATTAGGCAACCATGGAGGGCCCTACTTGAACACCATCAATGAAAGTTGCCGCTCTCATCATCAGGGCCAAAAACGGAGATTACACCCCAAGAGAGGATGGCCGCCAAAAGGCTCGTCCTCGCAGTCGGACACGGTGCAAGCCGGGACAACGTTTTCAAGTGGACGTCGTATTGGAAACTTCTGTCTAACTTGCGAGACAAGGGAGCTATCGCTATACTTCTCTACCGAACAGCGGAATTCAAGGCCCATTTTTTCCCGTTATCCAAAGAAGCTCGACGCATTACTCCCATAGAACCATGTCTTGGATTTTCCTCTTCAGCAGCTTCGGTGGAGAGTCATAGCTGAAGAAGGAGGTGATTTTTCGGGTAAGTATAACATCGAGGACAAGCGAATCTCTGAAAGACTTCGTATTACCCAAACGGGCGCCTGGGCAAATGACCTCGGCGTTTGGAACCAAGACAACACAGAGCATGAGAACTTCCTGGCTAGTCATTGTATAATGGCTACCTCCAGAAAACCCAATAAACATGTCCTTTGTCATGGCATTAAGGGTAAGCTTGACTGCAATAAGTCTGTATTTGTTAGTATGGTCCCTTATGAGGGCGATTCTGGCAAGAGGGTCATTAGTAACAAGCTTGCGCCGACGAAACTCCTTGCCGTCTCTCCACTAGGTATAGTTGCTCCTTGTGATTTTCTTGGTATGTTTTCTGGGAAGCTTCGATACGTAGACCGAAAGCCGTCCAGAGCTATCAAGGGTCCTATTTCAGGGTTTTGGTTGGATTATTCGGAAATATCAGGAAAGCTAAATCAGATGAGGGTAGCAAGCCTAGTGAGAAAACGAATGTCTGTCTTGCATGGGAGGGAGTGAATGAGGCCAAAGGGGAGACGCCGCTCTGCCAATATTGGAGGGTTTTAGTGATAGCCACAAGGGACATTATGCCATTTGACCAGCTTATTCGCCCTTCCTGAGTTGGCCTTTTCTAAAAAGAGTTTGCAACATTTGGTATAACTTGGGTAAGTTTTTACTGGGATGATAAGAGAAAATGGTGGGTGATAGCAATTCATTGATTATAGATAGACAGTAATGCTAAAACTTTTCATATACTGGAATAATAACAAAACTTCCATGTTATACAATATTTGTATTCTTCATGACTTTACTTTTGCCAATAGGTGAGTCGCAAAAACCCCACATGCTGCACCATTCCCGCGATCGTCATGGGTGAACCCGCATTTCGGCAGCGCATTCCCAAGCTCGTGCAGCGGCCCGCAGCTTAGCCTCTAAATCCTTAGCGGGGTTCCAAACAGATGGGCAGCCTTGGCGGCTAGATGCGCTGGTCCCAGCCTCAGCTCAACAGTCTCAGCTCGCCCATGAGCGCTTACAATCAAATGCTAGCATGGTCTTCTCTTGAGGTTTTTGACTCTCACTCTCACGTGAACGAAACCATCACGATCGAGCCATGCAACAAGCAATGTCTGCCGACGGTGGAGAACCAAATCCTCTCAACAGCACAGGGCTATGCTTGCTGTCTCTCGACGGCGGCGGCGTGCGTGGACTCTCAACACTCTACATCTTGAAGAGCATCATGGATCGGCTGAACTACGAACGCAAGTGCACTGCCAATCTTCCACCAGCGAAGCCATGCGAAGTATTCGACCTTATTGGAGGGACGAGCACTGGCGGGTAAGGAGACATATTTTAGGGTTTTGAGCAAACATTTACTGATGTAGTGTCACAGCCTGATTGCCATCATGCTTGGGCGACTCGAAATGGACGTGGACGAGTGTATTGCGGCGTACAGTGATCTTGCAGAAGCTGTATTCCACCAGAAGAAGAGCCGTTTACCTTTCAATTTGAAGGGCAAAGTCCAGGCAAAATTTGACTCCGCGAAACTCGAAAAAGCAGTCCGAGAGACGATCAAAAACAAGAGTATCTCCGGAACAGAGTTGTTTGATAACGGGACTGAGCGAGGGTGTAGAACGTGAGGTTCACGGCGATATTAGAAGAGAGAGCGCTAACGATATTAGCTTTGTTTGTACTATCGACCAAGACACTAAAAGTATCGTCCGCCTACGAAGCTACACCCTACCCGAAGAGTCGAGTATCCCAGCTACTATATGCCAAGCTGCGCTTGCGACATCTGCTGCTACTACATTTTTTGAACCCGTCCGTATCGGAAATCGAATATTTGCCGATGGTGGGCTGGGTGCAAATAATCCGGTTGACGAGGTGGAATGCGAAGCGATGAACATCTGGTGCTCAGAATCTGCAGATTTGAAGCCTTTGGTGAAGTGTTTTCTTTCGATTGGCACAGGAAATCCAGGGATTCAAGCCTTTGAGGAGAGCATCGTCAAGTTTCTTGGTCAGACTGTGGTTGACATTGCGACTGGAACAGAAGAGACGGAGAAGAGGTTCATAGCTAAGTGGCGAAAGCACTATGATGAGAACCGGTACTTCCGATTTAACGTCGACCAGGGTCTGCAGACTATTGGGCTTGACGAGTATAAGAAGCAAGGTGCGATGGAGGCCGCAACAGACCGGTATCTAATAAATCAAGCACAGAAGAACCGTATTCGGGATTGTATCCGGAACCTGAGTCTAAAGCAAAGTGTGTATATCGAGGACTTTGCGTAGTGTCTTGAGAAGCTGAATCTATATAGAGAAGTCTGATACTTCTTTTGCTGGCTCTGTGAATGTGAGTTAAATACCACTCTATCAACCTATCTCTGCTTAAATTGTGCAGGCATATATCGAACGCAAGATAATTGCAGCTACAATTTCTAGTCACCGTCGATTTATGTATCCTGCACTTGAGGTTCATCACTATATTATCCGCAACGGTCCTATAGAGGCTATCCATCAGCATTTCCAGACGCCACTAGATAAACCCACGCCAACAGTCTTTGTGTTACTTGGTATGGGCGGGTGTGGCAAATCCCAACTTGCTCTTGAATATTGTCGGCAAGGAGAAAACAAGAAATTGTTTTCTGCGGTGTTCTGGCTAGATGCAAGCTCTCCAACAAGCATAGCACAGTCTTTTGCCGACATTGCGCATGAACTGTTAAAGCCGAATTTTGATATCGCAGACGAGAAAGGAAATATTCAATTTGTTCTTAGACAAATAAAGGCATGGCAATTCCGCTGGCTGCTCGTCTTTGATAATTTCGACGATCCAAGCGCGTTTGGCGATAGGAGTATAAGGCAGTACTTCCCACAGAGTGGCTACGGTTCTATACTTTTCACGTCTCGCCATGCAGTGGCAAAGAACTTGGGCTCCTATATCGAGGTGACAAACATGTCGGACGATGAGGCACTGCAGCTGCTGCTCAAGAGAAGTCAGGTTGATAGAACCGATAGAAACATACAAGAGGGGGAAGTTATTGTCAAGCGACTTGGATATCATGCACTCGCTATTGACCAGGCTGGCGCTTATATCCTAGCACGCAGTCTCGACCTTGATCTCTATCTGACACATTATTCCGAGCGCAAGGAAAAGGTACTCAATGAGGTGCCTGCATTATGGGATTACCGCCGAAAATTGAAGACAGATCCTGATGTCGAAACTAAGCTTACAGTGTTCACCACCTGGGAATTGTCCCTTGAGTTGATCAACGGAATTCCAACGACACAAAAAGATAAGGTCCACCTCCTGACCATTGCCGCATTTCTTGATAGCAAAGAAGTCTCTGACGATCTCTTCGGTTGCTACGGCTCTAGAAATGTCGATTGGATGGCATCTTGTATGAGGGATGGCGCTTGGGATAAGTACGCGGTTCAAGACATACTGAAAGAGCTTCAAAATCTCTCGCTACTCCAGAGCTTGTACATTGGGAGAATGGAAACGAAGTTCTCGTTGCATCCAATGATTCAAGATTGGGTAAAGCTGCGAGTGAATTCGGACGCTAGGTTGAAGTTTGCCTTAGAGGCGATTCTGATTCTTTCAACCTTTTTTGCAATCCATGACGTTAATGATTTAGCATTTACCACGAAGCAAGCTTTGCTATCTCACTTAGAAGTAGTACTTCAAAATGAGAATGATTATAAGATCCTCCAAAGTAACCTCGAAGAGCCTAAGCTTCTAGATGCTGCTGCCGTTTTTGGATCATTCTTTAACAGTCAGGGTCGATATAAGTTGTCTAAACAAATGAATTTACACGCGCTGAAAGGAAGGTCCTTGGTCCTTGGCCAAGACCACCCGGACACCTTGACTAGCATGAACAACCTCGCTTTCCTGCTAAAGCGTCAAGGGAACTATAGCGAAGCGGAGCCGATCTACCGCCAGACGCTCGAGCTTTCAGAGAAAGTCCTTGGCCAAGAGCACCCAGATACTTTGATTAGTATGAACAACCTCGCTTGCTTGCTAAAACAGCAAGGGAATTATAACGAAGCGGAGCCGATCTACCGCCAGACGTTCGAGCTTTCAGAGAAGGTCCTTGGCCTAGAGCACCCGGACACTTTGATTAGTATGAGCAACCTCGCTTACTTACTAGAGAGTCAAAGGAACTATAACGAAGCAGAGCCGATTTACCGCCAGACGCTCGAGCTTTCKRAGAAAGTCCTTGGCCTCGAGCACCCGAACACTTTGATTAACATGAACAACCTCGCTTGCCTGCTAGAGAGTCAAAGGAACTATAACGAAGCAGAGCCGATTTACCGCCAGACGCTCGAGCTTTCAAAGAAAGTCCTTGGCCTAGAGCACCCAGATACTTTGATTAGCATGAACAACCTCGCTTTCCTACTAGAGTGTCAAGGGAACTATAGCGAAACAGAACCGATTTACCGCGAAACGCTCGAGCTTTTAAAGAAAGTCCTTGGCCAAGAGCACCCAGATACTTTGACTAGTATGAACAACCTCGCTTGCTTGCTAAAACAGCAAGGGAACTATAGCGAGGCGGAGCTGATCTACCGCCAGACGCTCGCGCTTCGGCAGAAGGTCCTTGGCCAAGAGCACCCAGATACTTTGATTAGTATGAACAACCTCGCTCTCCTAGAGAAGGTCCTTAGCCAAGAGCACCCGGACACCCTGTCTAGCATGAACAACCTCGCTAGCATATTAGAGAGCCAAGAGAATACTAGTAGAGTACAGTAGTTAGTTCGAAGTGTTAACAAAATCGAAGCTTGGGGTTTTATTACAGACACTACTTTATATAGCGATATTGAGAGGGAAAGGGTAGCAATCTCATTTTGTCAAGACACTATAACTGAGTGCCTATTCGCAATGCTATCTATTACTCCTACCCACCTCCCGACTCTAAGATATATTTATATACTTCCAGTGTGTTGATTTGTAAGCTTGACAGCTCATGTAATCACTCATCTCTATTTTTAAGCAGTGGGCCACAGATCACTATTGTAGAATATACTGGAACTAAAGTTCGCCAAATAGAGCCGTTCAGTGCTGAAATGGATGTTTCTTGAATATATAATATATGTAGCGATTATGACAAGGACATCATTTGATGACCGTCTAGGCCATGCGACGATCTGGACTAAGCTATCTTAAGCTAGATTCAGCGCGAGACCCCTGTCAAGTGCAAAGTGAAAGTTTTAGTAGTTGCACACCAAGGGGAAGCCAGTTTTACAAGCGACTGTAGAGGTTGATCGTTTTGTTAAAGTTCGTCGCGACAGCCGAAAGAGAAGTCAGCTGATTTTGGCAAACATCGGTCACTTTTTGCTCCCGCTTAAGAGGGCACGGTGCAACTCGGAGTATATCGGGAACATGGAATTTTTCGGGAGGAGTCCGCTACAGTCAATCACATGTTCATCAGCCACAGCTTTAATTATAAAACATAAATACACTGTAGAGTAATTACTGTAACTATGACTAGGGACCTTTGATCCCTAGATTGGAGGTATTAACCTATATGGCGACGTCGTATGACATAGCATTCCCCGGCTACTACAAAGCTGACAATGATTTTCTAGTATCGTGGCGAGGCTCGGAAACCCAAATTAAACTACTCTATGAGTTTGAATAGCCCAAAGAGCTCGTGGTGATGCTGGAGATCGAGGGGTCCTATTTTACTCCGAATTGACGCCTTCCATAATTAGGTCGCGACAGCGACAACGCGATCGTAATTTTCAGAGTAGCTGGGGTTTAGACTATTTAGGAGTAGTCACACAATATAACTGATACAAAAATATAACAATTTTTAATAGATTTACAAATTTAGAATCAATTGAATTCAAAGTACCGATAGTTTGTCTCGTTATAGAGTACGTCTCTCGACGCAGGGACGGACGTTACTTCGTATATGCCGCAGCTCTTAGGTACCTCAGGTACCACCTTGAGAGTTAATAATCATGTCAAGTATTTCTTATCTTCATTATATATTTCGAGGTGGGGTTCGGCGGAGTTGATTTTCCGATCCGCCTGTTACTCTGTTATGGCCAATGAATGCTTTCGGCTGGGCGTGCGAGGTAATCTACGTGGGAGCCCAATCACGCTGGGGATCGACAATGCAAATACACGGGATCTCGGACATTTTCGGTACTCGTAAGAAGTATCGTTGATAGCGGTGACTTATTAAATACCTAGGCACTCTACAAAGTACCTAGGTAGATATCCAAACTACAAGGGTGCGTAATGAATTGCAATTTGCACGCATACAAGTAACAGAAAATAGGTAAGTTGTACTGTAAAACAAAAAACAACACAAAACAAACGAAACCCACCCTGATGCTCCACTACCAGCTCATCATTAGGGAGCGGCTTGTACCGGTAACCGTGCAACTAAATATTCCCCGTTCGTGACTACAAACTACATGGACCGTTCCCTAAGCCGATGACAAAGCCGAGGCTACCCCGCCTTATATCTACCCCACATTGCATTCTATACATCTTCTCTCCTTTACAACAAATTCACAACCACTTCAATCACTAATATCCTCTTTTCATTTTCCACCTCTTATTTTATTTAGAAAGGGAAAATCTGCAATCATGTATACCGCATCAGTAAGTCCCAGCTAGCGCCCTTGCAACCATTGATACTGGCATCCTCCAATATATTATATATCTTTGTCTTGCTGTCAAAGACCCCACATTTTGAGCATCATCACAATCACATCTACCAAAGATAATAAGCTAATTCTAATTTCTCTCCCTCTAGTTCGCATTCTTCGAGGCAATATGGGAGGTTAGTTGTCCCCCCCCCCCTTCCTTCCTTCAATCCCAATTCCCAATCCCAATTCCCAATCCCAGCTTTGCACGGTCCACATATACTAATACGGGACCCTGGGATTTACAGGCGGGAATTACCCATTGCTTCGTCAACCTTGGTTCCGACCACCCCTCTATCCTAGAGGCCATGGTCAAAGGCCAAACTGAGAAGAATGGCGCATTCCCAAAGATCATTACATGTCCGAACGAGGTACGGCCCCAACCCACCCGTTTGCACAAGACAATTCCTGGGAGAAGAAGTGCCAAGCTGATATAAATAATGGGGATTCATAGATGGTAGCCCTCTCCATGGCCGACGGCTACGCGCGTCTCACCGGAAAACCACAATGTGTTATAGTCCACGTCGACGTAGGAACACAGGGCCTAGGAGCAGCAGTCCACAACGCCTCATGCGGCCGGGCTCCCGTGCTGATATTCGCCGGTCTCTCCCCCTTCACCATCGAAGGCGAGATGCGCGGCTCCCGCACCGAATATATCCACTGGATCCAGGATGTGCCGGATCAGAAGGCCATCGTGGCACAGTACTGCCGATATAGCGCGGAGATCAAGAGCGGCAAGAATGTCAAGCAGATGGTTAATAGGGCGTTGCAGTTTGCTACTAGTGATCCCAAGGGCCCCGTGTATCTGTGCGGTGCGAGAGAGGTTATGGAGGAGGATTTGACTCCGTACCAGTTGAGGCAGGAGGAGTGGGGACCGGTCGACCCGAGTGCTTTGAGTGAGGCTGGTGTGAAGCGGATTGCTGAGGCTTTGGTTGAGGCGAAGGAGCCGTTGGTTATTACGGGCTATAGCGGACGGAAGCATGAAGCTGTTGGGGCATTGGTTAAACTTGCGGATACGGTTAAAGGTCTTAGGGTCCTCGATACTGGGGGAAGTGATATGTGCTTCCCAGCCGATCATCCAGCGTGGTTGGGACTGAGATACGGCTCGGATGAATCTATTAAGACTGCTGATGTTATTGTAGTCCTTGATTGCGGTAAGTCCTCCCTCCCCGATCTTTAAAGTTTCTATAGTTGTGAGGGGCACTGCTGATTGGGACTTGATAGACGTCCCTTGGATTCACACCATATGCCCCCCATCCAAAACAGCGAAGATCTTCCACATCGACACAGACGTCCTTAAGCAACAGATCCCCGTCTTCTACATCTCCGCTCAAGCCCGCTTCTCAGCAGACTCATACACAGCACTCACCCAACTCAACAACTACATCGCCAACTCCCCAACGGCCTCAAAACTCCTCAGCGCGCCATACACCGAACGATGGGAGCAGCTCAAGGAAGCACACTCCAAACGCCTATCCACCATCGCCGCAGCCGCAGCCCCCAAAGAAGACGGCTCATTCGGCACCGGCCACCTCTGCGCCGCGATCCGCAAACTCGTCCCAGAAGACACCATCTTCGCTATCGAGGCAGTGACATCCACAGGCTTCGTCGCAGACAACATCCAAGCCACGCTCCCCGGCTCCTGGATCAACTGCGGCGGCGGCGGCCTAGGCTGGTCGGGCGGCGGAGCCCTAGGAATCAAGCTCGCAAGTGAGTTTGAGAACGGTGCCGGGAAAGGCAAATTCGTCGTACAGATCGTCGGCGACGGGACATACCTATTCAGCGTCCCAGGCAGCGTATACTGGATTTCCAAACGGTACAATATCCCCGTTCTAACCATCGTGCTGAACAACAAAGGCTGGAACGCGCCTCGGAAATCCATGCTCCTCGTCCATCCCGATGGGCTAGGCTCGAAATCCACAAATGCAGAACTGAATATCGAGATCACGGGCCCGGATTTCGCGGGGATTGCGAAGGCTGCTGCCGGGGGTGATCTGTATGCTGCGAAGGTGGAGAATGTGGAGGAGCTGCAGATGGTGTTGAAGGAGGCTATTGAGTCTGTGAAGAGCGGGACGACGGCGGTGGTGGAGGCTGTTATTGCTCCGGGGTGTTGAGCGGGATGTGTATGCTTGTCCCCTAGAAATTGAGGAAAGTGGGCATTTTCTAGCTAGTATAAGGAAAGGGGATTTATAGGGTCCTACTTAGAGAAAGGGGAATTTTGCGACATCCTGGATAGAGAGAGGTGGTGCTGGGATCAGTAATAGCAAGCAAATAAGTATAAAAAATTAAAAATCAAATAACCTAGCGGTTTCAGCAGTTCCGGCATCCTTCCTCCCTTTGATTTTTGTGACTCCCTACCTAAATTTGCCTTTTCCGTGCAATACTACAAAAATAATTAGTAAACACGCAGAGGAGGAGGAGTGTTGGGATATTTATTATAAGTATTGTTTTAACTAATAACTTTAGAACGTATCTAATATAAATACATAGGTAGATTATATTCCCCTTCCCTTTAATCGGGGGCGGGGGGGGAGGGGGTTATAACTGCGTACGTACATGTACTTACTTATAGATAGTAATATTCTTTGCTCTTGGTCCGTATTCTTCATCCCATAAATCAGACCGAGATGTCGCTTAACTGCATGAGAACCTTGGAACGTAAGCTGATGAATTTAATTTGCATAATTACAAGTATATGACTTACCTTCTCGATATATCTGACAGCAACAAGAACACCATTGTCTTGCAACTCAAATTCATCGCCGAAATCCTCATTTCCCACGTCCAAGCAAGTAAGACATGACTCGACAATCCTAGCGTACTTCGTCCCCATCTTCCCTGGAAGCTCGTCTGTGGCTAGAGAAACCAGACGTGTCTTGGCGAGTTCGGAATGGCTGACATCGTTTGGCCCTTCAGCGCCAAAATCGTAGCTCTGCGACCAGATCGGGTCCGCGGTTGAGTTGTCGTACTTTACGAAAGAACTCCAAAGCCCGATTTCCAACATGCACACTCCCAAGCTATAGATGTCATGCTGCATGATATAACGATCTCGGATTTTAGATCCTTGGCGTTGGGGATGGCGGTAGAGATTCTTCTCCCAGTGTATATCTTCAGTTAATCGTGTGTTGTCTTCCCCCCTACGAACTCTTTCGAATCCAAGAAGGAATGCTGATCCCAAGACCGATTCCTGATCCCGAAATAGGATGATGTTCTCTGGTCGGATGCTCTTGTGGACTATATCGAAGGTGTGGACGGAGCAGACGGCTCGTGCTAATTGCGTGGCTAATCGAAATCGGTCTGAGAGAGAATGACTCGAGTCGCTCGCCATGATCCTCGCGCGAAGCGTTTCCGGATCGGACATGTTTTCTGGCATCCGAAATACAAGGTTGCAATCGCCTTTTTTCTCGTCATGAATAGCGCCGATACATGTCAGAAGACCAAATGTGGTCGGGTTGGAGCTGTTGAGCTTTACCGCCAGATCACGAACCGCCCTCTTTGACAGGTCGGACACCGAATCCAGGAGGCGCCACTTGTTATCTATTTGCACGGACTTTACGGAACTGAAAGCGATTTCGGCAGTTCTAGCAGAGTCAAGTTTTTCTGAGGGTAAAAAGACGTGGATGGAGCTAGCTTTTCTTAATGGATTACGCACTGCTATTGCTTCTGTAATCATTTTGTTTCCTTGGCTCCCGTTCTTTCCCTTAGAAAGATCCAGTTCCTTGTCGATCGGGATCTGTTGAGTTTGAGATTTAATGACGGTAAAATAAAGAGGATTGAATGAAACACGTTGCCATGACTCGATTTCATCAATGGCCCTGTCCAGGTGGTTTCTTAGCATCGCATATTTCGCCCTTTCCCTTTTGGATACGGATTCCGCTGGCAGAATATTGGAACCGGGATCTAGAGACCAGCTCGTAGTAAGACCTTTGAGCTTAGCCTCTGCAGCGCCGAGCTTCGATGTGAGGATTTCCATGATATCATCTTGTATGATTCGACTTCGTTCATCAAGACAGTCCTGAATTTGGCGAAGAATCTCCAGTTGTCGTTCTATTTGGATGCAATTGCTTTGCAGACGGATTCTCCGCTCGCAGATTTCCTTCGCTGCATTTTTAAGGGCAGAACAGGTCGCATAAACTCTCTTGCAAGCTCTGTCCAGGATTAGCTGGCTAGTAAAAAATAAGGCCAGGCGGAACGGCCCGCCGTCAAGTTTAGAGTAAGGGAACGGTTAGTACTATCCATGACCCTCTATCTCACTTACTTTATTGCAACATCTGCTGCAGCCACCGCACCAACAATACCCAGAGCGAGCTCGGCGCCAGACATTCAGAGTAGAATTAATGTCTTGTGTGAGGCTAAAAGGAAGATTCGGTTTGAAATGATGGTGCTATCAAGTGGCATACTCCGAAGTACGATGCCTTATCAACCATCTGGTCTCAGGGTGGAAGCCTCGCACAAAGCAGCCCAGCCCCAACCTCCACGTCCCAATTCGCTGCACCTCTCATCCAGCTAGGCACCGACAGCAGCATGCGCAATGCAATGCTCTCTTTCTCAGCTCCTGTAGGCGTGGAGCACAGCCCTACGGAGGTACGCGGTGAAGTATTCACACAGCGCTAGCAAGGGTCAAGCCAAAGCCACGAAAACAACACCTTGTAGCTTTTGCAAATCGCAACCATTTATTTTTCTTTCAACACTAGCATAGTCCCTATTATAAGGATAGAGTGCTTACAATTTTTCTCAATTTTCCTACTCGTTGCGGTTGCGATGCAGGCTTGAGATGTTCGGACCCCTTCTAGCGCTATGTCAATGTTTCACCGCTGCACAGCCGCACGAACCATGACCCCCGCCCCGCCCCGCAACTTGCATCCGGCGCCTTCCCTGGACTTCATTCTCAGCATCTTAAGTTTTCTAGAGTGCTTAACGAGCGTTTTATCGACCAACAAAGTGAATAACGACCTATTAATTTTGAAGAATCCGAGGCAGCTAGTCTTAGGTCAGGTTGAGGAGATATATGATTACCTAGAATGCGGTTAACAGGAATCAGGCTCGAACATGCTCCGAATACCCGATCTCGTGTTGGACTCAAAACTTCACACACAGTTTAGTGATTCCGCAACCATCCATTCCTTTCTCGAGACCGACAGGTCAGGTGATCGATCCTGCCGAAAAGAATACTGGAGACAGGAAAAGCTACTTGGACGTGGAGGATTTGGAGAGGTTCGACTGGAGAGATGTGTTACTGCAGGAGCAAAGCAGGATGCCCTACGGGCGGTAAAAGTCATCAAAAAGCAGTTGATTACTGGTATATCCCCGGATTTGAATAGAGAGTTAGAAGCGATCGCAAAATTCTCTCAGGACCGAGTAAGTTAAATCACCTCAAGAGTTATTAATATCATCTAACATTTACATCGCAGTATCAACGCTGGTTCGTAAAATCGTTCGGATGGTATGAAGTCTCGAGCTCAATCTTTATTACTATGGAATACTGCCGTCATGGTGATCTTCATCACTACCTCTCCAACCGACGTTCCCTACCTGCAGCAGAAGCACAACAATTGACGTATCAAATACTCGAAGGTCTTCATCATATGCATGAGAATGATTTTGCGCATAGAGATCTAAAGCCCGGAGTAAGTGTCATATAAATATTAAGTAACCATTTAGTAACCTTGTTAGAACATCCTTATCAAATTAATGCCACCAGAGAAGAATTGGTGGGTAGTACTTGCCGACTTCGGTATCAGTAAACGAGGCGACGAAAGCAACGAACCTACAACTGCGATCAAAGGCACAAACGGGTTTATGGCGCCGGAGCTACTTGGAGTTCCCAACCTTACTAGACCTAAGCATATCTCTGGCTTCAAAGCAGCAGATATGTGGGCTTTAGGAGAGATCGCCTTTCGTATGCTAACTGGCGAGGTCACGTTCCAGTCCCAGTGGGAGTTAATGGAATATTGTCAAGGAAAGCGGACATTCCCATCGGATCGGCTTCCGTCATCCGCTCGACTTGACGGCGAAGAATTCGTCAGCAGTCTTATGGAAACATTTCCTAGTAATCGAATGACCACAGCTCAGTGCCTCAAACATCACTGGATGGAGTCCCAGCACATAAACCTTATAGAAGAACCTACTAAGCTAAACTTGGAGCAAAACGGCTCACCGGGATTTGCCCAATCAGACATGGACCGGAATGATTCGGCTAGATGGTCAGACATCTCAGCTCCTGAGTCTGAGCCCGTGCAGACAACAGCCCAACGAAGACAGGCAAATTTGTCGGACTCGTACCAAATGGGTTCGAGGCAGACTCAACTTAAACAGGTGCGCATCAATCCACCAATCCCACAGAACCCCGGGACGAGTAATGAATCGTTATTAAAACAGGACATGGCACTGGATGTGTCTCAGAATATTGTCGTGGCTTTGTCGTTGGACGGCAAGACGCTCGCGGCGGCAAGGAGGGACTACAATGTTTGGCTCTGGGACAACTGGTCGGGCAAGGTACTAAGGACGCTTAAGGGCCATATTAATTGCGTTAACGCCGTGGCCTTCTCGCCAGACGGCAAGACGCTAGCTTCGGCATCGAACGACTACACTGTTAAGCTGTGGGACAGCCAGTCGGGCGTAGTACTAAGGACGCTCGAGGGCTATAAGTATTGGGTTACCGCCGTGGCCTTCTCGCCAGACGGCAAGACGCTAGCTTCGGCATCGGACGACAACACTGTTAAGCTGTGGGATAGCCAGTCGGGCGTAGTACTAAGGACGCTCGAGGGCCATGAGGATTGGGTTACCGCCGTGGCCTTCTCGCCGGACGGCAAGACGCTAGCTTCGGCATCGGACGACTACACTGTTAAGCTGTGGGACAGCCAGTCGGGCGTAGTACTAAGGACGCTCGAGGGCCATAAGAATTGGGTTACCGCCGTGGCCTTCTCGCCAGACGGCAAGACGCTAGCTTCGGCATCGAGCGACTACACTGTTAAGCTGTGGGACAGCCAGTCGGGCGTAGTACTAAGGACGCTCGAGGGCCGTAAGTATCGGGTTGCCGCCGTGGCCTTCACGCCGGACGGCAAGACGCTAGCTTCGGCATCGAGGGACCACGACATTAGGCTGTGGGACAGCCAGTCGGGCGCAGTACTAAGGACGCTCGAGGGCCATAAGAATTGGGTTATCGCCGTGGCCTTCTCGCCAGACGGCAAGACGCTCGTGTCGGTATCGTGGGACCTTAATGTCATGCTATGGGACGGCCGGTCGGGCGCTAGAATACGCCAGAATATGCTAGAATTGGTTTTCTAATCTCACCTCATATGTTCTGGCGCGGCGCTGAAGATGCTCGAGGGTGACGGCGTGGCCATCGCCGGATGACAAAATCTTCAGGCTGTGGGGTAACCACAGTGGACGTAGAATCACCGTTCTTGTTGAACCAAAGCTGTACGGCCCAAGTGACACGATTCCTCCTATGATTAAGGGTTGAGCTGATCGAGTAAAGCGACTAGCGGAAATGCTGCACGCGCCGAAGCCCGACGGCTTCTACTCTCTAACGCGTGTATGTTGGACTCACCAGCAGGGAAAATGTTTCGAATTGGCATTCGAAATCCCCCAAGGTTATGAACCCATTCCAGTATCGTTGCATTATGCTGTCTCTGGTGAGCATGATTTGGTAAGGTCGACCCTGAACCAGCGATTCTTGATTGCGAAGAAGATTGGACGTGCATTAAGTGAATGGCATTCGGTGGATTTCGTGCATCAGAGTATCTCTCCCCGCAATGTTGTATTCTTTCGACGGGAAGGAGCTAAAGATCTGGACTATACATCGCCATTCCTATGCGGTTTGGAATACTCTCGTATGATTCGCGAGCAATCAAATGCTGTCTACATCGACAACCCTGACGTTAATATCTACCGCCATCCCCATCGACAGGGTGTTCCCAGAGAGGATCACCAGAAAACCCACGATATCTACTCCTTCGGGGGTTTTCTCATTGAGTTGGGCATGTGGAAGGCTGTGAAGTCACTAGCCCGGAAATCCTCCAAAGTCGACGATCTACCAACAATACTAGGGTCTGTTGCAGGCTTTCACTTGGGGCACCTCATGGGGACAGAGTATATAGACGCCGCAATCCTTTGTTTGACAGCAGATCTTGGGATTAAAGTGGATGATCAGGCCCAGAGAAGTCTTGCAACCGCTTTCAAGGTTCGTGACCTCGACAGATTGAAACCGGACACTCTTAAAACTATTTAAAACTATAGCATTGACACCCGGGGTATCAGGAAACTGATTCGAATAGCTCAACCTCTTCCTATTTTATTTTCTCTATCCCTCGAACCTCCTAAGCTTTGAGCCAGAAATTTGCTATCCACCATCAATGGGTGTATTATCCAAAGCGCTAATTGAATAGAACTCCCCTTCTAGCCTGTTTGATATCAAAGCCGGTCCGTACCACCCGCGCACCTACAAGGCTTAGATTAGCTTGAGTTTCTAGGTAGAGAGTAGACTCTGCCATACCCCATTATTCTTGTACTTTGGCCCGCCACCAGAGTAGACAGACTTATCCTGTGGGGGTTCCTGCAGGCTAATCAGCTTCGTTCGATTTATTGATCCAAGCTACTCCAAGAAGTATGTTTGGGGAAGCATACTTTCTTTGAGCTATCTCTATTGTTTTCAGCGGTAGGCTATGTTTCTAGTCCATTCCCATCTCGTAGCTGTTGGACGTCCTTTACCCTACGGGTTCGCCATTAGTATTTATTTAGAATGGTCGCGCGGCTCGCGCCTGTTGCGGGATCTACTGCAAAAATAAGAAATATAGAAATGATAGAACTTTCTCAACATATTCTTCTTCGACTCTATAAGCAATGACTTGAGCTTTGTCCATAGGTAGTTTGAACAATTGTTAGAAGAAATAAGGGGAGGGAATGATTTCAAATGGATAAGGCTGGGCCGCTGGGATCGGTAAGGATTTTATGTGTAGATGCCCGCGCAGCATACTGTACGGAACGCCCACTAGCCACCGTGTTATAGGAACAAATCAAAGGTTTTCGGGAACAACACCCTATATGGGCCATTGCCGCAAACAAAGGGTCACTGGCTAAAGTCAAGCCAACCACGTTATTGATCAATCGCACTCTTGCAAGGAGGGAAATTTTTAAGATTTGATCTGATCTAACCTGAGTGGTAGGAAGGCTATGACTCTGGTAGCTCGGGATTTAAGTCCAGAAAGAGAAAGTCGCGAATGGGCTTCTAGAAGTTGCAGAAGCTGCAAGATACTACTCTCGAAAGTTTGAACTTCGAGAAACACGAAAAGCATGATAAAATATTCGATTTAAGCAGAAGTATATTAAGGGTCTTAATTATGGAAAGAAAGTAGTAACTGAGTAGCCTTGTCGTCTATCGAGTACGCAGAGTGGGGGATATGCCTCGTATTTCTCAGAATCAAAGATATTTTCGGACGTCAATGCGTCCTTATCCTCAGTCTCTGGGCAGTGAGACCGAGAAGTCCGCGGAGCGAAGGCTTCGAGACATCTTGCTGTTCACCACGGAGAATTATATTTGTTGATTAATAGGACCTAAATTGGTACATTTAATACAGGTAATTGATTGGTCAGAATAGGTCATGGAATGGGGTAATTGAATTGATTAAGAAGCCTAATACTATAGGGTGAAAGCTTCACATATATAGGCAAATGAATATATAGAGTTAGGTAATCAATCAAGTGACTCAAGGAAATAATACCGATAGTATCCGAATAGCTTCCCAAAGCTTCTATCATTATGTACTATACTAATTAGTATAGGATACGATAATATCTGTGTATTCGGCTCATTGCGAGTACATATATCTCATTTCTCCTTTGTAGTAGAGAAGTACTAAGTAGAGTGTCTAAGTAGCTTGACTAGCTGGCTAGGGGAACTCCTATAACTCCTATATTCTAACACTCTCTTTCAGAGATCAACTATTTAATTAGAGCTTATTTAAAGTTTAATTGGGCTTATTTTTAGAGTCGAGTTTGTTGGAGATATCTACTATATTGAGTTACTATACAAATTCGGTATATTTTTGAGTAAGTAAGTTTTTAGTAAACTTATCTACTACTATTTTAGTAGTAAGTACTTACTCTACTTTAATTGACTTAGAAAGTACTTCTTGGCACAACTAGTACTAATAGATATCAATATACTTGAGTTTAGTCTCCAACTATAGAATATCTACAATAAGAAAGTATATTATCTGTTGATTATTATAGTATAATGTCTGTGATTAGTCGTCTTAGAGATCGAATTAGATAACTTTGAAGAGTCTATTCTACTAAATAAACTCTTTTACAGCTAATAAAATAGCTAGGAACTCTGCTTCAGTACTCGACGTAGTAATAGTCTTTTACTTAGTAGCTTTATAATAGATTACTCTACCAAAGAACTTAAAGTAAAAGCTATTTGAACTATATCTAGTAGTTGGATTATCTTTATAAACTACGTCGTTCTATACTGAAAAGAGCTCTTTAGATTAAGTCGCGTTATTATTGAACTTAATAGTTAATCCTTTACTACTTTCCAAGTACTATAATAAGTAGTCAGTAGTAGTAAAGTATTTTAGTCTAAGATTGAACTGAAATTCGGCCAATCTGGAGATTATTTTAGCTACGTCGGTATAACAGTTCTGTTTATCTTCCGACAAGGAATTTTAACCAGAAGTATTCTGTTTCGTTTACGTAGCAAAGTAATATAGTGATCTTTTCTAATAATCTGTAAATGATATTAAAGTGAGTGAATCACGGAAGGAGTCAAAGTAATCAAAGTAAACTGTTATAATTGATATTCAAGTTAAACACGAAACTTCTATCTAGTAAAGAAATTATATTACTTATATAAGACTTTCCTGCTCTTTGGATAGTATAGATAGTACTAGTTATCCGTTTGTAAATCGGATAAACTAGATAGTTGGATAATTTCAACTATTTTCTCTATTTATTATTTGACTTCCGACCTGTGATCTTACTATTACGTGACTTTGTTATATACTTTTATAGTTCTCTGTAGTAATACTATATATTTACCCGAGTTTCAAGTTATAAAGTTAGCGTTTGTAATACTATTCTTTATATAGCTTAGTATAATCTTTTAGTTTTAAAAGTTATATCGAAAACATCGAACGTCGGGTATAGCTTTCTTCTTCTTTCATTATACTACTTTTATGTAACTTTTCATATTCAAAGAAAAGATTAGAGTAAATTACTTTAGCTGTTGAAATCGAGCGTTCTTCTAATACTGAAGAAATATCTCCTTGTTCTACTTACGCTAAGTCTAGGCGACAGTATATCGTCGTAGATCCGGGGACTTCTACTTACTGTTCTGAATATACTCGTCAAAGACAGAGTAGTTGTAACGTAGTAGCTCGAATATTCTTGTTTTCCGACTAAATTTCTATAAAGAAGTTTGAGCGGAAACTCGATGAAGACGAGGAAGTAGCGATAGCGAAAATCCTACGTCTTCGCAAACAAAAGAAAGTATTTGTTGAAAAATGTAAGAAAATAATAAAGAAGAAGTTACATTCTCTTGATAAGTTAGAAGTAGCTGAAACGAAAGAAAAAGACAAGGAAGAAACGGAAGTAGTTCGTAAAGTAAAGTCGAAATAACTAGCTATTACGAGTAGTAGTTTAAATAGCGACTTTTCTTTCGACTTTAGTCCTTTGCTAAGTTCTGACGACTTTGTCTAAAAGATCTTTAATTTTACTAGTAGAATTCCTCAAATAACTAATAGTAGTTGAGATAAGTCCTAAGTTCCTAGATATTCTCTGAGTATAAATAGTCTAGTTATTTGATCAAATACTTGACTGTACTTTTAACTTACTTATAGTCTAATATCTATTCAACTTTGTATTCGGCGTTTAAGTTAATTAATTCTATTTCGGTAATTAATACTAGTAGTATATTTAGTAGTACTAGTTCGAGAAGAGAAATATAGAAAACCGGAAAGATGTTCATTGTCTTTAGTAAAGTAAGTTTATAATTCAGACGTCTTTTGAACTTCTTAATTTTAAATAGTTTTAATTTCTTATATTCTAGTTTATTACTTAGTCGTTTAGTTTTAATATTTTTTCTAAGTAAATAAACTCTATCTCTTTCTTATAGTATTAGCTCCTGACTACGTTTCGAATTATAGTATAAAACGTTCTTTTCTATAATAAACTGAAATTCACTATTTAGTTCTTTATATAAATCTTTGATTTCATTTATTTAGATTTATACTAACTAGTTGTCGACGTTCGTTGTCTGAACTTCGTAATAAATACTAACGTTATAACTGTAATTAGTAAAGAATAGCGATACTTTCGTTATATTCGTTATTATACTATTATATACAAATATAGTAAATAGGAGTAACAATACCCAATTATCCTATTTATAGTTAATATAATAGTGTAAATATATTTCGATTGTCTGATTTATTCTTTCTATTCTACTATTTGTTTATATATAGAAAATAGTCGATAGTTTTCTTTTAACTTTTAAATAAATAGTTAAAGTAATCTAAAATTTAGATATGAAAAGTTTATCTCGATCGGAAATAATTTCTTCTAGTATTTTATATTTTACTACGACTTCTTGTAAGAAAGCGAATATAAGTTCTTCGGTTATACTAGATTCTAAATATAGAATAGCGATTATATATTTCGTAAACTATTCGATAATAATTAAGATTAAGTTGTATATTACTTTTATTATTAGATCTTTGGAAAGTAAAAGTTTAACGATAAAATCCTATTAGATTGATTTCTATAATTATTCTAGAATAGAAGTAGTATTTATCTTTCTATATAGTACGTACTTAGTACTTTTGTTATAAATATAAATATTATATTCTTTTATTACTCTTTTGACTAAAGTAAACTGTGAGACGGTTAGTGGGGCGCCCGTTCGGGGGGTCGCGCTCAGGTGGGCTTAGCAGCGCTCGTTCAAGCATCGCGCGCGCCTGTTCCGGTTTGGCGTCGCCGGATCGGGCAGGGCGCCCTCGCTTCGCCGAGGCGCTGCTTTTCGACGTCGTGTATAAGAACCCCTCCTCTCCCTTCTTCACCTCGCTCGCAACTCTCACATCTGCTACCCTCACGCCCAACTGATCCTCCCTCTTTCTCTACCTTCCCCGCAACGTCAAGTCTGCCTTACATCGGTCGGCCTTACCCTCCCTGTACCTCCCTCTAGACCCACTGCACCAACTGAACTTGCCCGCAGCAAATCCTCATCGAGCATGATAGCCGTCCCACTTCACCCAGCTGCGACCGCCCGAATTCTGAACAGGCTGGCGATGCTGTGTCGCGAGAGAGATTCGACGCTTTGATCCCTCTCAGCCTATGACTTTTAAACGCTCCGAATCCGAATTCCTCTTATCGCGGGACCGTTCGACTTGCCACTATCTTCACAACTCTCTTTCGATCCTCGATCTATCACTTCCCTCGTTACCTCTCCTTCAACGGGCCTCCACTCGTGGTTGTGCGGGCCCGGATACTAGGGATATCGGCTGCAGCACTATCGCAGGAGTAGCGGTGTAGTCCTGGTCTCGGAGTCACCTCTTCCACTCGCAAGTACCAGCCTGATCCGGCTCATCGCCTCAGAGACATGCCCAATGGCAAAAAGGCCTCCTGATCTTGAGACCGGATACCAGAGATTCCGACTGCAGCGCTATTCATAGTGGGGCTGGCACGAGCAAGTGGAGGGGCTCGACGTTCTTCTGCCGTTCTGGTTCTGCGACATAACGAGTCGAAAAGGATGCCTCCTCGGCCAGTGCTACCTTCCCCGCTTCTCGACCCACAGAATCTCCGCTCGGCGTCGCCGCAGCTGCAAAGCCTGACGGCACAGTCTGTTTGAAGTCTGAGCCCTCGATCTGCCGCCGTGGATTCGATCCTCATGATTGTCGCGACGGTGACCCCTCTAGATCACACTGCATGATGAAGTACGAGTATAAGCCTAGTTTCAGCTCTCAGCTCTCTCCTTACCGCCGCACTATCACGATCCTCACAGTAATGCCCCTCGATGACTGCGACAGTGGAGGCTTACGCTTGGCATTCCCTTCATGCTATATGATCTGGCCAATTGAAGAAATGCCGCACGACCACGCAGTTGGCTTCTGCCTTGCTCCGCCGAGAATTGCGTCGCAGAAGTTGTCGTCAGCAGGGTGAGAGGATGGTGCCCTGGTGTCTAGTAGGCTGAATCCGCCTTAGATGTGAAGGATCTCATACACGGAGCAGCTTGGGCAGAACTTGGCGATACGCATGAGAATAGCTAGTTGTCTCTCGACCGCGGGTGATGACTTGGCGTGCTCACATGCCGCGACACAAACGATGGACACGCATATGGGAGCGTGGAGCTGCTTCCCTTAGAGATATTCATGCATCTCGCCATGTTCGAAAGCCGCAGTCGCACAGGAGTGCTGCCTATATGAACCTCGGTGTTTCCCTCTCAGAATCCTCCTCACAACCCCCCCGAAGAGTAAATTCGAACATTCGGCCCTCTGCCCACCATGGATGATATTATCTTTTACCAACCCCGTTCAACCTCAAGCAACCGGCCTCCTCGTTTTCCAGGTACGCTCACGGCTTCAATTATATCTAGAGGATCAATTACACCTATTTCCGTCCGCCAAACTGCCTCGCAGCTCAGTCCACGGAACGAGATGTGGAAAGATCATATACTCAAAAACCGAGATTTCAGCAATCCCTCCCAGAGACCACCCTCAGCTCAGCGTTGCAGAAATGATACCGTTCAGGAGATCGTTCAAGGGCAAAGTACGTGTCGAGATTTCTATTACAATACTTGCATCTAACGTCGCCGACAGCAACACGCTATTCCCCGAATAACGACGACGATGACGACTTACCGGATATCGCTGAGATCCTATCGGGCATAAAGCCGAACGATGTCTCAGCAAGCGCGAACTCGAACAGCGATGACGACGATGGCTTTCTTGATATAGATGAGCTCCTGGCAGGCCTAGGGCAGAAGAGCGTCCCAACGAGCGCGAAACCGAACTCCGGTGGCACAGCTGGAAAAGTCGACAGTGGAACTCGAGGTAGCAGTCCTGTTGACTGTAACCGCTCAACAGAAGGAAACACACAAGGTAAGCATACCGCGTTTCTCAGTTCGTCGAGGACTTCTTACTCATCCGATCCTAGATCCAATTATACTCAGTGACGACGAATCTGTAGGCGCCGATTCTGAAACCGACTACAGCAATCTCGACGTCAACCTCACTAAAAGCGATTCCTACTCTCTACACGTTGCAGGTAGCGACCCGGCGGGCAGTAACGGCTTCGGCTTAGCAACTACACTTATTTCTGATCGTCTAGTCGCATACCACCAAGACGACGCTAACGACAACGTCATAGCCGATAAAGCAAGGCTTCAGCTCGCTACTGACCGTCCAAGATCAGCCTCCCCTGGCTACGGGCCCGTCACACACCAAGCCAGGCCCCTACGAGTGAATACCGAGATCGCGCAACGGACCGCGAGTTACGTTGACCTCGGTGTGACCGAGGAGGTGGAAGACGAGGGTATTGATGTCATCGCCAAGGGAGATGATGACGGCGATGCCGACACTCGCTCTACAAAGAGATCAAGGTCGTCTGCTATTTCTTGCAACAATTCAGCCTCCGATAGCAACGTCTCCGTTTCTGAGCTGCAGGATGGCCAACACGATTCCGCTCAATTCCCACAGCCAGACTTGACGATCGGCCCTCCGCTGAGGCATCGTCGCCGACGAGATACTACAAGAAATAGCTACCGCAAGCGACCACGCACGCCGGCTCCTACTGGACTGGCTAGCGCCGTTAGCACCGTTTCTGCGGCACTCGAATCTAACGACCGTAAAGATCCCCAGTCAGTCGCTCTGCTCGCGGCCCCGGGCCCGGAACAAGAGACCCGCGACATTGACCAGGAAATAGTTGATGGAGGCACCTATGATTCTAACGACGAAGATTATAACGATATAAGCGACGCCGCTGCTTCTGAGATACAAGGCCGACCACGTTCTCGGAAACGAGTCAGGCGGGCGAAGGATACAAAACCCAACGATGTAGAAACTCCTTCCACTAAGTCCCTCGATATCTTATATCAAGCGGCTGCGGCAACCTCGCCTAGAGGTATTCATGAGAGCGAAGAGATCCCTATTCATGGATATCTTACACTAAAGACTATCGAATCGAAAGTCGTCTACTGTCTCACATTTTCTCAAGAATTGCTACCGGAGCCTAGTAGAATATCGCAGAAACAAGTTATTGCTAAGAGCGTCTCTAGCAGCAGTAACAGGAGAGACTCAGAACGGCCGCCTATACAAGAACGGGCTATGAGTAAACTTGTCAGGAATTCGCGATTTTCGTCCGAAGACGACGATCTTCTACTGCAACTAAAAGGAGAGGGTTTATCGTGGGATGAGATTTCAGACCGCTTCCCGGAGAGGAGCAAGGGGACATTGCAGGTACACTACAGTACCAAGTTGAAGCCTCGTTCGGAGACGTCCAAGAAGACAAATAAACGCCGGAGGTCTGGGTGAGTTGGAAGGCTACGTCTGCGCTAGGTTAAGCATGATTTCAGAACAGTGATTCATCAGGTTATCGGAAAGAGATATAAAGTGCAACGTCCTTACTGTAAACAATTTATATATCCGAAATCCGTTATTCAAGAGACTTTCATCGACATCCCTCGTACTATTATATTGTATAGTTTCCCTAGACTCCTAAAAGAAATATTTCAAAAAAACAAAAGTACTAAATGCTTTAATACTAAAGGTCTAGTCCTCGCCTTACCTATAAATTTGCCTGTTACTCCTTCCCCAAATAGTTAATCGCCCTGTTGAATATATTGATCATCTTATTGTATAATACTACGATCTTTGTATATTCTTGTGAAAGTGCCAGATCGTAGCTGTCTATTGAGAAACGAAGCACCTTCTGTGTTCCCCAGAATCTAGCTCGTCAAATATCTTCCACCTCTGCATCCCCAACTCTTTTGGCAACTTCGAGCCCCCAGGGTTTCGATGGTGTAGTTGTCCAAGGAATCAATTGGACCTCCTCCTCAGACATTTCAGGAAGCCTGCTCGTGTCGGGAGATGTAAGTAGTTGCTGCGCGATGGTCGCAATACAGGCTTTTCCAGGCCAGCATGCAAGTGGATGTGGGCTGGTGAACGACCGCGAGGCAAGGGGGGAGGATATATCATCAGGGTCAAAGTAGAGGTGCCTCCGCTTCCTGTTCGGCGACGTCTCCTGAAGAACTGACACCCGCTTCAAAATCTCCGATCGCTCAAAATCCACCAGCACCACATTTCTGGTCCCGGGATTCCATAGCACGTTCGGTGCCCGTACATCACGATGCTCCACTCCGCAATTCAACAGCTCTGCAACCGCCCTGCTCGTTTCCGCAGCCAAATCCCGTCCTATGGCCAACATCAAATCCTTGCGTGCTTGCTCGCCTCCCCATGACATGAGCAACATGTGAACTATTCTAACTCCAAAATCTAGAAAGTAAGGGCGACCGAGAGAGATATTCCCAAGGTAAACTGATACTGGTGCAAACTTTCCTTGAGCTTCGCAGTGCCGGTAGACTAAGCCTTCGTGCTTTAACTTTGCTTTGAATGCTACCACAGTCCCTTTTGCAACGAACGTATATCCATGCGATTCCAGAGTCAATCTGAACAGAGCACCACGGGTCCCTTGTTTTCCAAGTGGTTCGCATCCACTATCGGGGTCCTGGGCGAGCTGACGTAACATTTGTTTCGCAAGGGACTTCCGGCCCAAAGCATGGTAAATGCCAGCTCCATGAGCACGATGTACGTTGACATTTGGACAAGCATCGTCCAATGGATGTTTTCGAACAAGCCCTAGCAAGCAAGCATGTGTGCAGTATTGTCGGTGGCGAACGTCGCGATCTTCAGCCGTTTGTGATGAATTGATGGAGTGTATTTGTCCAGTACCAGACTGGTTCGTACGAGCCCTGGACTTGCTTGGCGTTTCAACATCAGAGGTCTCATCCGATGAGCTAGACGGACTCTGTGGATCTTCGTGCAAAAGTATGTCTACAGAGCCACAGCTATTCCTTGCCTTCCGTGACTTTCTGGGTCTCAATATAATTGGCGATCGCTTGAAAGGATGGATCCGGGCATGAAATACCGAGGGCGGAGGAGTCAAGGTCTTCTCCTCAGGGGGTATCTGTCGTAAGATTGCTTCGTGATCGATCACTGCCTTGTAGGCAGTCTCCAGCGCGTGATTTCGCCATTTCTGGCTGCGAGGCTTCGAGTCCAGTGCCATCAAGCAGAAGGTTAAGGTCTGGCTGACTGCGGTACGACACAACAAGATATCAGCTCCGTCTTGGGCTTCGGCTTCGATGTTGGGTTCACCGAGGTGATAATAAAGCGTATGTGGCTCATCTTCCTTGAGCTGAAGGAAAACATCGGCTTCTCCTGTAACCAATTTGCTGTACTCGAGGCCGTTCTCAATCATATAAGTATACGTCTGCGTGAGAGCTGCTGCCGTCAACCACTCAGAGTGGTACACAAACTTGTCCTCTGGATCGGTGGGTATTGTGATCCGATTGATGACATCCTCCGGAATGTTCATAGATCCTTTGTCAGCTCGCAAAAGTCCAGCCCGCAGATTGAAGACCGATAGCTTGTGAGACGGTTTATATTCCACGATCATAGACAGGCTCCGTGTGCCATCTGCCTCCCTGTATACACAAATCTGATCAGCGTTTCGCGGTTTTGGATTCGAGCTTGAGGCTTGTCCTTTGCCTGAAATGCGGAGATTATGCAGACTTTGCTGAACTTCTTCGTTGCTATCACTGAGGGTGTTGGCATGGTTCTCGAAAATGATGCTACCGCCCAAGTTGAACTCACGGCGAGCCTCTTCTATCTGCTGAAGGTGGGAGATGATGTGCGTTGTCGGTCGCTCAACGGCTGAGCGCTGATATGCCTCCAAATCCTTTTCACTTGCTAGTGGCCGGTCGCAAATGTCTTGCCCGAGCTCTGTAAGGTATTGGGTTGAGCTGAAAAGTGCTGCGTCTTGTGGGATGTATTCGTAAATTCTTCCGAAAAGCTGCTGCTGCAGGACTGGAAAATCTGTCCAAGGTTTCAACAAGGTAGGGCAGGGCTTGTTCTTGGAGCTGGTGATGGAGCCCTGTGTGCTGAGGCTCTTGTCTGTCTGAATACGAAGTGGTTTCGAGAGAAGTGTATGGCAGGCACGTATGTATTCTTCGAATGTTGTGGGTCTTGTCTTCTTTTCCTCGATCTCAGCTCGCGACTCGGCTTCTTGTCGTTTGCGCTGCTCGTCCTCCGCACGTCTTCGCTCCTGCTCTACTCGCTCGTCTGCTTCTCGAAGCAGCTGCTCAAAATGCGCATAATCCGATTCCGGCTTAGAGGACATTGTGGAAGGAGTAGGATTGTTATGGAGCTGAAATTATAAAGACGATGTTTGGAAGACCTAACATCGATTGGGGCAGACATCACCTTCATTGCCAAGGCAACGCGCTTATGATGAGATCATTTTCTGGCAGGGTGTAGCCGAGTTTCATTTGTCGAATTTTAAACCCTGTAAACCCCCCCCTCTGTGTGGAATATTCTAGAACGTAGTTCCTCAATATAACTTCACAACTTCGCGAACCGTCTCAGGCGACGTATAGTAATTATGCAAACTCTGAGGGCGCTCCATTCAGCCGAAGGTATTCGAAGGTATTGAAGCCTAACTACGTCGGGTTGTCATCAGCAGTATCAGAAAGATTGCTTAGTGGCACCGAGCCTCACCACTTGGAAAAGTCCAGCAGACCTCTCGAAATTGCAAGTAAGTGATCAGATATCATCTAAAGTTGATACGAAAGCTTCCAAGGGGCCGACATCGCGAGGATAGATGGCCATGCAATCACTTGGGACCACGTTGATGCCATGGTGGTTGCACACAAGATCAGACAACTGTCGTTCTTCGAAGCTTGGCCCACCTTTTGCAGCCTAAACCGTTGAAGCCTAATTGCACTAGGGTCTTCTCGGGTTGCTCAGTAAAATCACATGGGCACACCTCGAACCCCACCATATATCCTAACAACATTTCTCTCACGTCGCCCCTCGTTCACGACATCATCTCACCCATCTAAACCAGGCAAACCACCCTCCATCAAAGGTGAACACAGGACAAGTCGCTAGCATCCCCAGAACACTGCGAGATCGTTTGAGCGATAGTCTCCTTCATTCTTGAATTGTTCTTGACCTAGTGACAAGCATCACACTAACGCATTCCGTAGTCATCGTCTCTTACGCTTCGAACGTCCAAACTCGAATGGAACGTCCCCACCTCGAGCCTCAAACAAATACGCCAGCATTTGACCTCGACCGTTCCTATCAACTCCATTCCAGTGAGCTTATAGAGTGGTATATATTTCTTTTTACACGTCTGCCAGTATAGCTGACTCGGCAGCGGCCAAAACAATACTTTTGAAACCCATATAATCGAGCTTGGATCTTGTACTTGGCTGAGAGTTTTCCTTACCACAATGCCTGAGGTAGGATCTAGCTTCGACCCCTATCCAAATACTTACCGATTCTAATGCGAAGAACGTAGGCCGAACAAACTGTCGACGGAGATTACGAAGTGATCAAAGAAGAGCATACTTTTACTGCAGTTAGTTATGATAGATATATGTCATGGAAGGCTGGAGATGGCCACATAAGTATGGGTATACGGACGCTTAAGACAGATACAAACGAAGAGAATATGCGTCTTTCTAAAGGGTGGGCTGTAACGGTGACAAATTCGAACTTCAAATTGGTAGAAACTATTACTTATTGATAGAATTCAATAAGGCTAAGGAAATGCATTTTTATAAAAATCCAATCCTATCTTACAACCCAATAGAACTTCTACCTTGCAATCGCTGCCATTATCTTCGTCGAGAAAGGACACATAAACAGCGTTACTAAAATCGTATATTTCCTTCCTCTCCTGTTCCTTCATCCAATTGCTGGTTTTCATACCTTCGAAAAGATAGTCACCAAGTATGTCCATTAACTCTTTGACCGATCTCATTGCTCGCAAAATAGCTTCCCCGATCGACCGACATATCCTAAGCTCCAACTTGATATCCTCACCTACGCGATGATAACAAATATGCAGACGCACAGTATCGGTAAATCTCATACATCGCCTCTCCTCCTCTCGATATCTCATACAGCTCGTATTTATACCTTTGAAAACGTAGCCTCCAAGAGGACTCTCCAATTTGTCCATCTCAGCCATCACAGCTATTTTCATTTCACTTGCTTCAACATGATGATCATCCCGCGGCACGCTGAAGTTGGCATCCCCAGGACTCGTCTCCTTAGTCGTGCCTCCTTGGTCAGACATAGGTCCACCTGATAGTTGGGAAACGGATGAATCGAGACTTGATACGTTTTCCGCCTGTAGATTTACACCTGCCGAGGCTTCAGCGGTCACGATGGATCCCCCATTTTCATTAGATAGTGAAAATGAATCAACGCGCATTCGTTTTCTAGGTGGGTCGAGCGCCTCGCTTTGTGACTCTAAACCCCTCGACTCCTCTCTATCGCTCCGAATTTCTGGCTGGCCACTGGCGATAGTATCCCATCCAGAGCTATGAAGCACTCCTTCACTGGCGAATAGATGACTTCCTGCTGGTACCAGTGATTCTGGTGGAGTCAAGGCTATCCGATCTGTGGTTGATGAACTTCTGACTGACGGTAACTGCTGACCTTGTGTAGCCGCCGTAATGTGCTCTGCCGCATTTAACAGTGCCCATATCGAATTGGAGTTGCCGCCAGAAGTACCCGATTCGGCTTCAGTACCAGGCCCACGACGTTTTGGGCTCAGTTCTGGCACGCGTTGGACTGGTAATTCTCTCTTCTTGGATCCCGCCCATGGCCCGAGCCTCGAATCCAGTAGCTTCTTCAAGCAAGGCGTAGCTTTCTTCGCTCGGTCCAGTATCCCCGGCATGTCCGTCACAATGAGTGCCAGTTTAACAATCAACTTCGTCGAAAATTTCCTGTGGACAAGCAAGATTGTTAGGATGTAACGGCTGCGACAGAGTAGATCACCTACAAACTAAGAGGCAGCTTATACACTGCAACAATTGTGCCAATCTCCCTTCTGCCTAGGAATCTGTTCCACCGGATGCCCGCGCTGATCCGCGCGTCCAACTTTGCTCTGTCTGCATCGCTGTTGTAGCTGCTCAGATACTGCCACATCTCCGTGGCAGCGTTGCTCTTGTCCTCCTGGCTGACGAGCTTATGCCCGCGCTGGGTAGCCAAGGTCCTTGCCTCCACTTCCCGAATATGCCAAAGAGCCAAGCTACCGATCACATCCAGTATCCCAGCAACAGACCTAATAGTCTTGGATACACCGCCACGTATGATAGTGTCGATGAGTTCGCCTTTGCTAGCCAAGTTCTGAGCATTCATCTGCTTGTAGTGGGCTTCCAACCCGCCGAGTACATCGTCGAAATCACCGGCCGAGACTTCGATCTTGTAACAATACGGCGACAATGATTTTTTCTCATCCTTGCTGAGTTCATCTGATTCCTCTAGCCGATGATAGATAGGAGATGGGGGCTTTGTATATAGACTTTGGAGTCGTTTGCGGACATCTATATCGAATAGCTGGTTGCTAGGTAACTGGTGATTGATCGAATAGGCGGAGATTGCATCGAGAATGTCGAGAGCGTCATACAATCTCTGTTTCGCCTAGACTTCGAGGTTAACAATAGTTCAGCTTGGTATATCGTAGGTCAATACTTCAGTCGTGTTATGAATCTCAACGGCGGCCATCCTGAACTGATGTGATGCTGATGTGATGCTAGATTGACAAGTCGTAGTATATTTCTGTTGTTCGTATTTGACTTTTGAGGGAGGCAAGCTTCCGACACGAGATGGGGATTTCGTCTCGGTGGCTGTCGGGCCTAGCCTGACTCCGCCTAGCTCTACCCGCTGCGGGGGTGTTTTATCATCACCTCGGGATCCTGATTTGGCTAGGGCATGCAGCCAGACCTGCTGTGAATATGGAATGTTATCAACCTAATCCCTGGCCTGTTACCTCTCCAAATCATTACGCCTTCCAACACTTCCATTACTCTGGGTAATCATGTCTCAGCCTTTACATGCACAAAGAGAGGCACAGCCCATTTGCTTCTCCCATTTCCCATCCCAGTTGAACTTCGTGTGCCTCCGTATGTTGGAGTTCCCCGGTCTCATTCATTGATTTCAGGTGAGCGATCAACTGGACCCAGCCAGAAAGACATCGGGTATTGTGGCCCACCATCATGTGCATTGCGCTCAGCGTAGGATCCCGTTCAATGTATAAGAAGAAGCTGCAGAACGAGGCAATCAGCGTCTCCTTATTCCTGACCACTGCTGCATGTTTGCCTTGCTTTCCCTTTGCCCTCACCGATTATATTTGTTCGCTGCCCACCGATCATTTCCTTCCCTCCAATGGCAGTCTTGTACGGGCTCCCTGGTTCCCCGGGTGCAGATGCAATCCCCTTCCCAGCAGCCATCGTCCTTTCTGTCACCTTCTTTATAGCGGCCGTTATTCGACTAGGTGGCTATTTCCTACTGCGATCGCACCAGCGATCGCACCAGCCATTGCAGTTAACTGTGTCCATTGTCTCCCTCGTGGCGTCTGGCCTGCTTCTTGGCTTCGTGTCATCAAGAAACGGTATGAGCAATTCTCGTCATCTCTGGGCAATAACGCTAAGAAGATCAGGTAGCCACTGGTGCCAGATTGCATACATTTGTTTGCTTTTTGTAAATATTGGCATAGTGGGAATATACGAGGTACATACCCCTAAACTAGAACATTTCTCATACTAACAACACGTTGATAGGTGGAAGTATGCTCCCAAACCATGACGACTATTCTCCCACGGCTCCAACACGTCCTTCTTGCAATAGCAATCTTGAATATTTCCCTGAATATTGGGCTTTGTATATGGTAAGTTACAACCTAAGCCTAAACTTACAATTGCTGTTGACTATTGTAGGTTTGGAAATAGTAATAAGGATCTGCCGTCAATTCTAGTTATCTTACTCTCGTCGAGTTGTATATTATACGCTATCCTTTCTTTTTCTTATTTAAAACTACTTTCTATTAGTGGGAAACTTCACCGGCATCTCCTAGGAGGTGGTATCTCGTGTATTTTGATTATCGTCTCGATGATTATACTTTTAGGCGTCGGCGGAGCAAACCGGATTCCTGGAAGCTTAATCTCCTCAACATGGGTAGGCCTCTCAATATTTACTGCTAAATATTTCATACTCAATACTCATATTACTAGATTGCTCTTACCATCTCAAGTACATCTGCACTTCGAATACCCTGTCTTAAATGGTGTAATCGCGACCAGTGGTTTGGATGCAGGGGGGGTTCAGAAGTAGAGCTTGTTTAATATTTATCGTCATCGAGATAAAAACTCATCAACTGGCTACTAGGATTCACAATATAATCGGAGGAAGATAGTTTGGCTATTTCTGGGGCGCACTATTCGTGGATGAGAGCGAACGAATGTCATTGACTGTGTACATCTGATTTTGGCGTTCTTGTGACTGTGACGTCTTCTCGACTACTCAATACACCATATAACTCCGACAATATCTAATCTGTTTCCTCCCAACATTGCCTCTGAAGGCGCCTGGTATTACCGTTGCTGCTAAGCTCAAATCCATGAAACCTAGCGGGTTTGTTGGGGCCTCCTAAACTTGGTAAGATCTAATGAATCGAAATGGCACCACACGGTGGGGTTCCATTTGGAGATCTAAACTCAAACAATACCCAAGGTCCGAACGCTATCAGTGTTCCACATCAATGTTTGCTTCCTCTGCATTTCCTGCATGATAAATCGACGAAGCCATGTTGATCAGTCGTGGGCCACGAGCTGCTTCGGGAATGAGGGTCCTGTATACGAGCCTCGGTGTTTCCGAAACCTTACTAAAGTGTTCCATTTTAGAGATCTACCAAATTGATACGCCAATACCTCTTCCAACAACATTCACTCCGAACGCCACCAGTGCTCCCATCAATTTGTTGCTTCTCCACATTCTGCAAGATGAATTGACGAAGCCATCTTGATCATTCCGTGGGCTGGAGGACGGGGTATCGGCTTCCTCCATTGAACGTCTTATGTAGGTGCACTATGAGAATGCACGAGTATATAAGGGTCCGGATTTCCTGGTCCAGTTCTCATCATCGTCTCCTATTCCACTTCTGATATTTCACCTCTTCTACTATCTTCAAGCTTTTCCCTCTTACATATATCTTGTTTTTCACCCCGAAACCACCTACCACTCCGTTGGTAATGGCTACAGCAGAGAAGATCCAATTCAGCACTCCATTACCAGTCACACCTCCGGGCAGCCTGAACCCGAGCCCGAGCCTATTGCAATCCGAACAGCCTGTCACGGCAGAAGACCAAACCGGCAAGATGAATTGGGAGATCACTAAGACATATGAGGTATCGGTTACTAGAGAGAAATCAAGGTATCTATCCTTCCATGGCGAACCAATATCTTGCTAAAATTCCAATAGAAAACGGAGCGGAGATTGTGGAAATTCCTGGAGTATTATTGAGGATCTCGAGCGTACAGGAGCACAGCTCCATGACGCAGCTGGGAGACCCAAGGATGATAATTCCGTGGCACGTGAACTGTACGTCTCTAGCCGTTTGTAGGTCCCAGTCTGCTAACAAGCTATCCTTATCTAGTAGGGACGTAGAGGTTTATAGCTCTGGAGCAGATGCTACCATCATTGAGCCGTTAGAGATGTGGGAGCCGCTATATATGGGGGAGCCGGAGGTTTTTTGGCCTGACCCGTTTCCCGTCACCTCCCTTGATGAGGCCTTCAGTGACACGTCCGACGACGTCTCCAGTGAAGCTTCTTCTGACCTAGCAAGCGAAAGGTCTTCTGAAACGGAAGGCAGTGTCGTAGACCAGGCTGGGGTGGCAGGAGGATTGCCAGGTAAGATCACTCGCGGCAGGCCATAAGGGATATCAAGCCCTTGAAGATTTGATGCTGACCTTATTCCCATGTTCAGGACTTGATCCTCGCAACGCGCATGATTTTTATGACTTTTTCGACCCTCACTACGATATTATAAATCGACCTGCCTCTAGTTCTGAGGCCTTCACCTCTTCGCATTCGAATGTGCAATAGATAGTCGAGGTCGCTTTCTCAACGGCGCTTGGTTAGCGCGTAAACGGGCGATTCTTGGATTCTTGCGTTCGAATTCGATGATAGATTCTGTGGAAAGTTGGCCTGCATTAGCTTTATAGCATAGCAAAATGGGAGTAACAAAGCCTCTTTGCCGGGAGTGTTGCTAGTTGTGAGTGCCTTAGTTCGGTATTCCTACTTGGGAACAGGATTGTAATACAGCATAGATTTAGTGAAATGTGCAAGTCTACTGAGCCCCGCGGTTTTCATCATGTGATTTTAATTTTGTCGAATGTTCAGCGACGATGCCAAATTTTTAAGCGAGGATAGGCAGGCCCGTTCGAGCACGAACAAGAACAGTTAGCGGAAGTCCATCTATTTTTAGCTGGGGATCCCGTGCGGTGGTACTTTCTCATTGCGACAAATCATACCGACCCCTGTGATGGTTATAGCTTGTTTCGTTCTACTACCGGACTCATAATCCTAATACCACCCCCTTTTACGAATCTCGATATAAGCAACGACGAGTACCTAAAATTAAGCTGTTAGCTGTATAGTATATGTTTTCTTCGATCGCCTGGTTTGATAGAACTGCTGCCTGAGAGAACTATCCCCGGCTAATCTACGGAACCTGGATTCTCCGTGTTGAGCGTAAATAAGACAGGCTGAACGCAAATAATATCGCCAACCTCCTGCACGTTAAAAGAGTATCTTAAAAGATCTACGAAAGAAGTTGGCATAGGCTGAAGCCCGGGTAGCGGAGGAACAACGGCGACGGGAAGTTGCAGAGTACACAGATATGCCTGATAGCGTTCGGGCCACGGATATTGTTAAGGAAGAGTTAAATTACGTAGCTCCTACTCCGATTCTTGAGAGCTGCGACTAAGGTTAAGGAAATACTTCATCGATCTTTAATAGACGTCTATTCATCTCGCCAATGATCTATATTCCCATCCGCGTTATTTCATCCATCCCCCGAGAGCTCGGGTCCGAGTATAAACGTTATGTCCATAGGCTTCGGTTGATTCAATCCTGTGGAAGCTGTAGTTCTCTGCGAAACAGTAGAGTAATGCGGATCGTTTTCTGTAAAGTTAATAGAACATAAGCCAAAAGTCTTATTGCTGCTGATTTCCGAACTCGCTGCACAAGTGACTGACCTCGTTGTTTAATTTCCCGGTCCCTGGCATCTCGGCCCCCCCCTTCAACCCCTTTCCCTTCCTTCCCACTAATTAGACTGGCTATTTGATTTCCTGTCTCGACTGTTTGTTGGGAAGAGAGGTGCGAGCTAGGAGCCATTCCCGGGCTAGTCGTCTCGGTATGAAGTACTTGGGTGTTGTGTGGGACCAAGCATAGATCTGGACACAGTGAAGGAATAGCACTAGGTGATATCCCCTCTTCGGGAAAGTCGAACGTCTCATCTAACTTTATAGCCCATGTTCGCCGTATTTGAAACTGAGAAGGATCCGCGCAATCCCATCCGCGAGATACAAACTCATCATCAGTAAGTTTACCGCGTATCCAGGCCCGATATGGTTCTAGTTCGGTCACCAGCGGGTGCAAGCCCGCTTTATTACATGTTAGCTACGTATGCAAAAAATTAGAAAGAGAGTACTATACTCGTAGCCAGCGATGTGGATCTCGGATGCGGAGGTATAGGCTCAATAATGTGACCAAAACATTCTACCGCCTGAGCTACTAAACGCTCCTCCGGTGTTGCCATTGTTTAAGTTAGGTATCAGTGGGATGGCCAGTTGGTCCGCAGCTTTCCCCCGTATATGGAAAGATGTATGCGGAGAGCAATCGTGGGCAGGGCATTAGAAAACCTGTAGATGCGCATGGTGCCGAGGGACAATGTTATATCTGCTTCACTGGCTCTACCAAGGCTGCTTATCCAGGTCCGCTCTCGTTGGGTCAATGTCCCACTTGCAGAATAGCTTGCCTCGCTCGACCCTACATTGGCCCTACTGGGCGCTGTATTTGCAGGAGTAGCACAGTCCTAGAATTATTACATGAGACTTAAATATTGCTACTATAACACTCTCAGGTGACCTGCTTTCCGAAGCAGAGATGGATAACTACAATAACCCCTAAGGACTAGAAGCTATCCCCTAGAATATACTCTGTGGCCCACTACCCACGCCCCGCTCCAAAGCCATCAAACGCTCCAGGAAGGTCTACAGCCCCAGGCCCCTGAGATAGGGAAGCGGATACAGTGCCCTGAGCGAGCTGCCACTACATGAAGATCGACTCAGCAAAGACGGCTGCAGACCGTTCTGGCCTAAGAGCGAAAGAGGCTTTTGGGGTATCGGAGCCCCAGGACCACTAATATAAATATACATACGTCCGGTCTCCCTCTCCCACACCAGGCTGGGTCGCACTGCGAAATGCCACCTTGTGTCTAATACGGAAAATTGGCGCTCTTGTTTGTTATTTCTTAATCCGCTCGAGTAAAGTAACAGAGCCTACCGGTATTAACCAGAGTCATGGACTCCATTATCGGTATGAGAGGATGGGATGAAATAGCCTATCTTACTGAGGATCCTGCACAGTGCTGGGGTTCTTCATTTGATGGGTATCAACCTGCCACTTTCAACATGCCTTCCTACCGACCTTATCCTGCATCAGAGTCACTAGCAACTCCTTTACAGCACCAACACAGCTACCTGCAAGACCAACGACAAGAGCAGGGTTTTGCCACTAATAACCTAGATGTGACGCTTCAACAGGAGGCTCTGCAGCCTCAGGGCCCTGAGATAGGGCCTAGGTACGTGGAGTATCGGACGGCAATGAAGGAGATCTTCCAGAATATCATTGACGGTCGACTGGCTATGGCAAGTCAGTCGCTCTTAGAAGAATCAAAGTGGCTCGCGGGGCATGTCGAGGTTCTCGGTGAGCTATTGTTTCTTCTGTCGGACCTAGAAGCTAATAGTTTCTCCAACTGGAGGACTTACTGTGGATGATGTCTCTGTTTATACGGATATGATTGGCAATAATATTGCGCCTGCGAAGGCAGTTTACACAGAGCGAAAAGAGCTGTGGGACGAGTTTAATACTGCTTGGGTTAGCCTCTTCCAAAAGCAGAGTGATATGCAGGAGCCCGGGCAGCGGATACAGCACCGACAGAGCTTAATGTCTGAAGAGTCTGTCAACGAGATGGCCGAAGGCCTGACTGAAATGTGCGATGCTATTGAGAAGCACGGCTTGGTTGACTACCAATATGGCGTTGAAGAAGAGCGAATAGTAGTTGGTAATCTTACTCGATATTTCCCTTGGGTATAATACTGAACTGATCTAACCTCACAGTTATTGAAAATTGTCTCGACTTGCAGGAATCAAGAAAGGGGATGGCTGAAGGCAGAGGACTTGAAAACTCTCCATAAAAGGGGCACCCTTGCTAGCTAGAAGTATTAGGAGCCACTGCTCGGTTGCTCAGTGAAAGAAGGGACTTTTATGCACATTCTCAGCTTCCGTCTCCTCAAATGCCCTCTCCCATTGTCTTCCTCCGACATCGATTCTCTTTGCTTCGAGTTGCGGCGCTTACACTTGCGGAATATCCTTCGATTCAGAGGGCTCGAAACGAATGCTCGAAGAAGCGGGAAGGGCTGAATGCAAGGGCGACGGCAGATTGCCGTAAAGGCGAATGGGAGGCCCGCGCACTTTTATGGTTATGGGGTTCTTAGCAGGGCGGGAGGGTCACATGCTGCCTATCACGCGACGATGCCGTCAGGCCGTCTTGGGCCCCAGGCTGAAACAAGCGAGACTAAAATTATGATTCGCGCCTTGTCGACCGAGAACTGTTCCGAGGTCAAAAACCCCACGTATCTTCCAACATCCGACCACCTTGTGCCCTCCGGTAATGCTTTCATCGACGATTGTGCCACAGGCGGTCGACCGCGCGTCTGCTGATATGGCACATGCAGAACTAACCAGTTTCCTCGACTCGCGGAACCCCGGCGCTGTGACGAAGCAGCTTGATAAGGTGCTGTCTTTGGATGTCCAATTGGAGTCCCTAGACCTGCAAAAGACGAGTTCATTAGTGGCGGATTTTCTTCACGTATGCGCTATTCTACGCAGAAGGCGCTCATTCAGAATCACGGTGTGCTGACGAGGTGGCAGAGTAAGGGCAAGCGACTAGCTGCTGATTTCCTACAAGCACAAGACGCGACACTCGAAAGGTCATTCCTGGTGCTGTACTGCGCCTGAGAGAAGAAGAGAGTAAACAAAGCGCTAGCGAATGTGACGATCTTCCTTGCGCTAGGCAGGCTATCTTTGGAGAACGGGCTGCCCCAAGTCGGCGAAGATTCCGCTAATCAAGCCCTGATGAGCGGTGATGCTCTCGTAGCCAACTGCGATGCGCCGCATATCTGGGATAAAAATGAAGGGGGCGGTTTTGCTCTTGTGTCTGATTGGAATGTTTGCTCTTAGGCCGTTAGAGAGGCCTATTCGCTCACGGCTGCTGAGAAGCCGTTTGGGGGAAATATGGATGGAAAGAAATCCGGGTGAAAGATGTCTAGCTCGAGAGGATCGTCGGGTTCGAAGACGTCCCAGTCAACGTTCCCATTTGCCATAGGTGCGTTGCCTGCTGCGCTGAGATTCAGTGGCGTGGGGTGCGGGCTTCCTAATACTGTGCTGGGTAGCATCGGACCTCTTGGACCAGCATCTTCACAAGTAATTAGCTGGGCTCTCGAAGAAGACCTGTGAAATCTCACCTGAAGTCTCCATGCTGTTGGTGCGCCCTCTGCCCATTTCATAATCCGGTGGCTCCCCTGGCCTGCCCGACGGGTCAGTGCCCGCCACATCTTGACCTTGCGTGGCTGATGTGCCTGTTGCGAGGCCAAGACTCTCTGCAGTTTGAACAGGTGCCTCGACCTCTCTCAAGTGCCCGTGGCCGCTGTGGGCTGATGGATGCTGGTTCTCAGCGCCAGGGCCACCTGAAGGCAAAGGGGGATCTCGAGACTGATCAACAGATATCCCTTGGCTCCTGTTTTTCCTTGACGCTCTCTTTGCAGTGTGTTGGCGTTATAGTTGCGGGAGGGTTATCTGGAATCGATGGCGCGATCCTTGGGATCAAGCCCCTGCCGCGACAATCAAGAAGGCCGGAGTCGAGAATACCCGGTGTACCTACACGTGAGATGAATAAGCAATCTTAGTTAGGGATAAACGTCTTGAATTGGTCAAAATATACCGAAACGCCATATAACTTAGTTGATGAAGGACGAAGTGAGGAGGGCACATGCAGTTATCTTGTTAGTGAGAACTGAGGCGAAATTGCAGCGGTGAGCAGTATGGTGGAAAGCAGTAGCACGTGTGTGCTTCCTCTTTAGGGATAGCTTGATCCCGCGAACTGGCACACTCCGCCCGCAGCCATCTCTTAGGGAACAACTAAGTGAACTTGGAGGTGATAAAGGATACTTTACTAGCTTAGGTTAACTAGTACCTACCAGCTGTAAATTTATTTATAAGCTGCTGGTTTGTTCTTGACATCCATAAAACCCGAAAGCAGAATGCCATGCCATATCGGTAGCGAGGTGATGGACCGAGATTTGCCCCGCCGCAAGTCTGGCCTCCGCTCAAGAAATTTTGCAAACGCTCTGTTTAGAAACTCCACGCTATACTTTGCAGCATCCCATCGGTAATGGCCAGTTATAAGGATTTAGGCGCTGATGCCGCAACGGCGGACGCTGCTCGGGATGAGCTGATGGCTTGGATACAGGAGAAGAACCCAGACCTGTTGATCAACACATTCGATCGGCCCTTCCAGCCTCTCCCCCATACTGCGAAGACCAAAGCGGTCGCTGTCAAATATGAGGTATTCCCGATTATTTATGCTATGCGAAATACAAACCCAGATTGCTGACGGTCCTCAAGGCTGTTGGTGGACGACATGCCGCACAGATCCTCAATGTCCAACCTGAACAAGTCCAGGTGTTCAGCGCTTCAAGGGCCGTCGTCTACACCAGATTTAACTGTCCCTCGAGTCAGTCGCCAAGCGGAACAACCTCTGGGAAAGTCGTTACAATCCTAGCTCTCGGCGCGTTAGATCATGACAAAGGCTTACCTGGAATTGGGAGCCCGGCTCAGCACCACAAATTGGACAGCGGAGAGGTGCTATGTGCTTCGGGAGATGCGCTTCAATCTTTCAATCCAAATCTAGGTAGGGGCCAAGTCGGACTCGCAATCCTGACTCTCTGGACTATCGTGGCTCAACCAAGAGATACGGCTGAAGGGTCTAGGAAGTCATAGTAATCGGGCGGCCAGAATGGATTGGCTGAAGTATTGAAGAAGTCGTAGTAGTCGGGTTCATTGGCTACACGTTTTAACGAGGTTTTCTTTGCTTGCAAGTTCTGACGATAGACATACCATTTCCTGACTGTGCTTGGGAGACATCGGGAATGTGCGACTCTCTGGTATCGCCAACAGTTTGCCGAACCTGGTCTGTCATCCCCGTGTCAGCGAGACCACAACCTAGTTAAAGACAGGGCATATATATCAGGACGCTTTCGCCTGGGAGCCGGGCGGCTATTACCTTGGTCGTTGGCGGATTCATCTTGACTTCGTCTTTCTGTGACTGGTGGTATGCCAGCCGCTGCGTATGTGGGACTGTTCGAAGCTTCTTTAGATTGTCCACCTCCGTCTGGGTGGGAGGAGGGTAAATCGAGAGACAATTGATCTATCCTAGGCATCAGCCGGCAATAATCTGTTTCGTGGGGATCTGGGACTTACAGGGAACCTGAAGTCCACCGTAAGAATACTCTTGGTCGATCGCTTGCATGGCACCTTCCAACTCGTGCCGTATGGCATAGAGTGGTATCGACTCAAGGTATTTATTGATCGCCATTATCTCAAGAGGTGCCCACTTTCGCTGCTCAAACCTGGATCGTAAATTCTCAATGGGTTCGCCCTTGAATATAGAGGTTGATGCTTACAACTGTGACTTCCCGAGACCTAGTATCAAGCCTCGGTGCCGGATCAGGCTCCATTTCTCACCGTGGCGGGTCATGCGTGTCAATGTCTTCCGTCTGCGAGCGTATTCTTCATTTGGGAGTTTTCCCCAAATACGTTGCGCAACCGCGTCGATTGCCATTGATCGATATGTTGCTATCGGCTTAGCCGATGAACTGTTTTGTCCTTTCTTTTGTTGGATTTTCTTCCTACGTCGGAGGCTCCGCTCCTCCTCCTGAAGGAGCTTGAAGGTCTTGAGTAGGATAATCTTCCTCCGCATCGGATCCAGCCTCGGGGCGTTTTCGATCTGCTCGAATGCATCGAAGTAGAAGGCGATAAGGTCAAGATTATGGGAAATAGGTCCTCGGATATTTGTTCTGCGGAAAGATGAAGGGTCTTCGGCCCAGATCAAGGCATCTGCCTTGAGGCGCTTAACATCCACAGATGCCCAAGCTTGGACAACGCGCAAGACTCTCTGTATCTGATCTTCTGATAGCTTCTCACCGCTCGCCGTTGCGAAAGCACCCAACCATATCTCTTCTGGTAGTTTTTCTAATAGCTTCATAGGTTCTGATGGCTCAACGAACTCATTTGAAGATTGCCCGGGACCTGCGCCGTGAAGCAAGGCGGCCCGTAAGGAGCGTAATCGATGAGGACTCTCACGAAGGGTTTTGAGAAGATTTCCGACCTCCTAGATTTGCGGCAAGTCAAAAAAAAATCCTTATAATCGGGGTGTCACTACCAACCTGATCCCCAGCAGCACAGAAAACATCCCCAAGCTCCTCGAGCTTTGTTGCCATTGGCGCTGGAACCTGTCGCGTCTGTATGAGCAAACCATAAAATTCAATTTACCGAATCGTCATACCTCATGGCTAATAGCTGAACCCATTCCCGGTGAACTGTTGATTCAACAGTTGAGGGGGTGTTACAAAGAAGCCTATACTGGAGGATCAGACAGAGTATAGTAGGGCACAAGGAAGCAAGGGTCAAAGTTCCTCAGAGGAACTTTGACCCCTGCGCCAAGCCGCCTGCCCCCCGCTAGAGTACAACGCCCTTCCCCGGCTCGTTCGCCGGTAGGCATCCTCTCGCTAGCTTATGCGATGGATTGCCTAAGTGCATCTCGCCCACAGAGACTAAGACTGTCGGCATCTTATCCCCGGATCTAAGAATAGCGCCTCCAAACTAGCAAAGATGCTTGATTCCACCAAATAGTGATGAGCCAGAGCTTAGTAAGGAGGCCGCGGCCTTCCATATCGGGACTATGGGTCTCTATCTACTGAAACGTGGAGATCTAACTCAATGTCAGAATTGAAGCTGCCATAACGAGGCAGCCCTTGGGGTATCGTGGTATAAGAACAAGGCAACCTGCATGGGCCCTCACTGCTCATCGCTGTAGCTTCACGTTGACCATACTGTCTGAGCGAAGCATCCCCTGCTTGTACGATGGGCGGCCTGCACTACATTATTCGCTCCTTACTATCTCATTACACATAATGCATTCTCACACGTCTTCGCGAGCCTTGCATGCCCTTTCCATTTCGTCAGCGGGAAGTCTTCTCTCCTCAAAGCTATTGATATGGCTCTCTTCATACAGCGTCGTCGTTGCAGTCATCAGGCTCCTTGGATACATGCTACCAACCAACCGCAGGAGATCGCTTCTCGTGCTGTGGGTGGCTTCTTCTGCTATTTCCAGCAGCCTTTTGGGAGTGGCCTGCGCTATCCAAACCAGAGGTATTTCCCACACCTGCCTCTGCCTTGCTTAAACTGACTGGGTAGGCGATGAGACGAATCTGAGAGCTTTCGTGGGTGTGCTGGTGGGGAATTATGGGGCGTCAGAAATGTGCGAGGTGCTGAATATCCTGGTGTATCTGGAGTTCCTACTACTACGCAGCTGGTTAATATTTGGAATGTGCTTATGGACGGGTCTCAGAGTTGCTGGGCTTTGCATCTGGTATGGTCATACATATGAGCCGCACCTTAGCTTTGGCCGGCTGCTAATTTTGGCGGTAGCATCGTACGGGAAGCTGAGCTTTCACTGGTTTTGAAGGCATTGCTCCTCTCGACTTCTGGGGACTACCTCCTTATATGCATCGGATTCACATACATTTTTCTCGTGCCTCTGCGCGCCGCGGCGCTTACAAAGAGTGCTGTTCCGCCCGAGAATCCATGTCGGCCGCCGTGGTATCGTGGATTGCCGTGGTCTAGAGGATGGCCTCTCCTAGGCCATGCTCTTTTACAACTCTCCGTATCCGCTCTTGCCTTGGCTTTCTTTGTAGTGGGTAGCATAGGCTATAGCGATCTAGCCTTCTCTGCTTGCGTAAGTCGGGGAATGTGTTCTTCTATCGCCTACGGACTGGGCTAACACGGAGCAGATATTGTTCAGCATCCTCAATACTTGTACCCTCCGAATCGTTCTTCGTCAATCACTCCAGCTTCTGCATGCTCGGCTCTCTGCGCGCTCCACAAGGTTTCGTTTTCGTCCGTTCATCCAGCAATATGTCGCGAGCGCTCGTCGATTATCCGGGTTCCACGCCACCCAGCACCTCGCAGGATTTCGGATGGCTCCTATCGTCATGGAAGATCAATACCGGACGGCGAATTATCTCGAGAACGGGGAAGGGGATTCTCCTGCTTTTCTTAGGCCGGTCGAGGACTCGTGCACTCTTGTGCGGCTCTCTCATTTTAGGCCGTGCGCAGAGACGAATAAGAAGCTTAGCAAGCTCGAGAGCAAGGAGATTCTACAGATGTATGAATTGCCGGATGAATCCTGGGAACTCCTTGTGCTCAAGTCATACTTGCCAGCCTTAGCGGGCGGCCTCGGCAAGGTCTTCACTAGTTGCAGGATCGAACCGGACAGCGGCCCTACCGAACCCAGCGAGGGCGAGGGCTATGAAAACCTGGGCGTTTTGCGAGAGGGAAGAGTACATGAGAAATGAAGCCTCGGCCACGGCCGCGGCTTTTTACTCTTACTATAGAGGCGGTGCAATGCCGTGACTAATACGTTTGAAACGGACAGATCTGTCGAATAGCGGTTTACTTCGTCTTCGAATGGACCGTATCTTTTTCCTGGCTGTAGCGGCCAGCGCAGCTTCTGGAGGATTGTATTGCCTCCTAAGCGTTTTGTATACTAAAGTGAAATATGACACTATTTGAGAAATTGTGTTGGAATGGCATTCTCTTTGTCTGCAGATGATATGTAATGTACTTTTTGCGCTCTTAACTGTAGTTTCTTCGCCCTTTAACGAGGCTAGGCCTAAACCCCTTACCTGTCTGTCTTTACTGTCTTTACTGCGGCGCAGGAGCAGCTCTTGCTAACGCGACGCCGGAAGTCGTTGCTCGAGCGTGGGAGATCTGGCCCAATCCGTCTCAACCGATACCTCATGTGCAGAAACAGAGGCCAGGAAGGGAGGACTATCTTAAGTAAGACATATGCCGCGCAAGTGTGATATGTATGAGACCGTGCATTAACGGTACCGCAGCAGGCAGAAATTAATCCCCGATTTCTTAATGCTATCACAGCTAAGCCCTCCGCAAATCCTGTTTCTTGAATTGTCCTATATTTGGTCAATGTCCTTCCTTCCATCCCTCAAAAGTTTCTCTTATTCGCCGTCCTGATCAATGCCGCCGTCTTCACAGCGTTCCTTATCATGGCAAGCGACAAGGCCCTGTACAAGCTGATGGTGCTGGGAGATAGAGATGTTGGGAAGACGGCCTTGGTCATACAGTTATGCTTACAACATTTCGTTGAGACTGTACGCAATTCCAAAATCTTCAACGACTCAATATCCATGCTTACGTTTTCCATAGCACGTTCCCACTATCGAGGACTCGTACAGAAAACAAGTTGAGATAGATGGGCAACCTTGCATGCTACAAGTTCTCGATACTGGTGACCTGGAAATGTATCGGGCTTTAAGAGACTCATGGATTCGCGGCACGGAAGTTTTCATCCTAGTTTATAGCATTTCCTCGAGATCTTCCTTTACACGAATTCAGCGATATTACGACTTGATCCAGCAGGTTAGGGAGTCGACTTGCCCTATTCCTCTGCTCGATAGGGGCAGTTGCCGCAGGCCATTTGTCAAGGACGAACAAGGAATATGGACTTAGCATCCCGCAAGACCAGCATAAAACCTCTGCAGCCAGGTTCTATGCCTCGGCAGTTAACCAACTATACCTAGATATCGATTCGGATAATGCAGGGTCAGATGCTACGCTTGGAGCTTGTCTACTCCTGTGTGTCTACGAGGTTGGATTCCTGGACTCCTATTCCGGCAAGAAACCAAGCTAACAGCCTTCAGATATCATACACCCAGGAGCGCAGTTGGCTTGGGCATCTCCAAGGAGCTGCAGGGCTGATTGACTCCCGGGGGGGTCCTCGGCCGGGACACTACTTGACGCGACTTTTCAGTCTACTCGACATTTCCGGATTACCCTTCTCTGGTCGTGCCCCATCATTCAAGGGGGCCTATTGGGCTGGCGACATAACTAACGGAGGCGAAATCGTTCGGTGGCCATACTACGATTCCAGAGGCGCGGTGGCCGATCGTACCTCCGCGTTAATGACCCTGATAACGGGCCTCTCAGATTTACGGCCTGGCACGAGCAACTCCGCCACGGCTACTCTCCAAGCCCAGTGGGATTCCTGCCCGGCAGAGCTACCCGATATGAGCAATGACTGGAGGGTATTGACTATTCCGACTCTTAGTGAGTCAGCTAGCTTGGAGAATGAGGCATTTTCGAGGACAAGGCTGTGTTTCTACGGATGCAAGATATACATCTCCCAGATTTTGCGTCCAGACTATGCTCTCCCTTCGCAGGACCAGGAGTTAGCTCGAGCTATTAACGAGATCTTAGAGATTGCAGAGAAGACCCCCGAGGGCCATGGTTTAGAAACCGGCCTTTACTGGGGCCTCTTTATGGCAGGCGTTGCTATCTTTAACGACGTCGGTAAGGAGAAATTTATCCGGCGGAAGATGTCAGTGGATACGGAGGGTATATTTGTACGTGTTCGAATTTACTTCCTTTAGAATCCGGGCTAATAGATTAAAAAGCGTGCAGATCGCCCTCTAGCGGTGTTGGAGAAGCTGTGGGCTATGCAGCATAAACACAATCGACAGTTCGACTGGCGGGGATGGCTAGAGCTGAGGCCGTAAGTCCCCGCAAGCCCGATATGCTCTAGGATGTACTAATATGCCCCTTTATTCTAGGTTTGTATTGTTCTGAATATTCGACAAGCACTTGTAGGAAGATTGTAATGACAACTTTGTATCTTATCTCCCTCGTTCACTATGCGTTCGTTTATACTAGAATCCTTTTATTTCATTCCCATTGTTGATAAAGGGGTCATGTAGCACAACCTTTTAGAGCTGTTAATGTAAATTAAATTTATCGTGTACTTTTTTAGTAATAACATATCTCATTTTGAGAGTATTCTTCACGAGAATTGAAAGCGGGACGAGGGGCTCTCCGCTAGCTGGCTCGACTGTTAGGTATGATTATATACTATACTTGTCCATTCAGCTATGATTCCAGGCTAGGGTAGGTGATGATGATCCCTGGGCGTCGATCGCGGCACTCGATACTTCTGGTTCCCCACCTCCTATATAAAGCCTCGAAAATGCTCTCGAGAGGAAAGTACACTTATTTAATCTTTCCCCGATTTACTTCCCCCCAACTCTAGTTTTCGTTCTCGCAAATTCAGAAGACCCTTACTCTACAAATGACGGTCGGTAAGCCCAGGTGTAATATATATCGTTATGCTAACTTCGAGGAGAATCATCAGAAGCTGCAGCGGCTACGACAAGAAGGATACCTCTCGATTACTGCCGAGGCAGAATCAGACTGCCCGCAAATTCTTGTCAGCCTTCACCAGAGTGTAGCCAGCAACCTTCTCCGGCGCGGCTCCTTAGCCGATTGTGTTCACCAGCACTTCATATATAACAGAGACTGGACCGTATACCGAAAATTTGCTTTCGAGAAGATAGATAGCAAAACAATTGATGGGGACAGGAACTGGAATGAAATCGCAACTGTCTTCTCTGAGGGGAATATATATGAATATAGCGCGCGCGAAGTATATCGTATATGGAGAGAAGAAGTGGTATAGTACATCTTGGTAGATGGCTAAGCAACTTCAACTAATATTCTTATTAGGACAAGTATAGTATTATACAAGAGCAGCCCTCGAGGCTTGAGCCTCCACGACTGCCCGTCCGCAAACGACGGTCAACTGGAGCTATTCGAGAAGCAAAGGGGGAAAATAAGCGGAACTATACTTATGCAAGGGAAAACGAGGAAGCAGCTAAAAAGATGGAAGAGAATGGAGAAAGAGGCGAGGACAGAGATGCAAAGTTGACGCTAGGCTCTTCCAGTCAGGCCTCGGACGACCACCTCGCAGCTATTGGACTGAGCATGTTACGAAAGTGAGCGGTTAGTGTCTTCTTACTTCTATTCATGTAGATGAGAAACTCGTTCTATTTTAATTGTTTCTGCTCGAAATTTGGCGCCGCTCCCACTGATTTCTGCCCCCTTGACGCTTCTTTATTTGATGGCTTGGCCGAAAAGACCTTTCGGCCTGGCGGACATCCCATCCTCTGATGAAGCTCTTCGTCGTTCGTTTTGGTATTGGAAGGTCGCGGTTGCACCCCACACCGGGCAGTATATAAAAGCATTTGAGATGTAAGAGGGAGACAATCGAAATCCTTGGGCAGCCCATGTGCCGGCCCACTCCAATCGATTCCGACTGGAGCTTTTGAACCCGGACGGGGAGCCCCTTCGAATAAGGGGTGTCTCTTTTCGGGCTGTACTTCCATAGGGATACTTGATAGACGAGCGGATGTCCCCTCTTTCTCTTGCTTGCTGTATTATATTAATTCTGGGATCTTGTTAAGCTGAGGCTCGAAATTCACCTTACAGGACTCGTGAATAGTGCAATCACGCTCCGTAGCTAAATTAGGTCCGGCCATCTAAAGAATAAATCCAAGATACTGCTCTGCGACGATCTATGTGATGAAGCTGTCGCTTGTACACGTATCAAACCATTCTCTCATAGCTTTGTATATATTTCGGCGTTCCCTCTAACTCCTGCGCTACGTTGGCTTTTTTCTTACCCTTACCTAGCTCAACGATCTATCAGAATCATGCCGGCGGAACAATGTATATTCTCATATCGCAACACCAGTATCCCGGAGATGAGTCTTGAGTTTGGTAGCACGATATCTTGGATTGTGACTACCTTTCGAGATCTTCTGACGGAACAGCCTGTGCTATCTTTCACGGGAATTGAGAGTGGGAAGATCGGGTATGAGCCTTCTATGTCGCCAGCAGAACGGTTCGTCCATGGCAGGCAAGTCCTTACGAGGGCGGCCACTTCCACTTCTTACCTAGGAGAGAAAACTGTGTGGACTAAGTAAGTGGCATCTAAAATGAACTAAACGACTGACGCTAATAATCGATCAGGAAAACTGATTCTCATTATGACATCTGGTAAATATTTCCAAGGTCATAGAAGTCAAGCTAACAGCAAGCACAGTTTCGTCGAGGTAGTTATAGCGAACGGCCAAGAAACGAGTAGTATTAAGGGCTACCGGAGATACCAAGCTATTTACATAGAACATCAGTCGATCATCACTCTTGAACTCAAGATCCTCAACAAGCAGCTGCCCGACGAAGAGAGCGTTCAGCTTCAGCTGAGCAGGGAAGAATTAACGGGTTTTACACACATCCTTTGTGCTGCTTCCTGGTTCGACGAGGAGCCCGTGGTGGGTATGGCCGAACTGAATACATTCGGGGGTGGGATAGATTCGATAAATACCAGAAGGAAGTTACTGATGGGCATGGGACGGATAGCCGCAGGACAGTTCGGGAGATGGGTTCGGCAGGAGATGGAGGTGAAAAATAAGCCCGCTTAGGTTATATGCAATGATAGATCGAGAACCGATAGTCTCGTTCTTTATATTCGCGTACTCCTTCCCCGATGACGAGTATCCACCAAGCCGGCAGAGCTCTTCAGTACATTTTATTTTGATCATAGCAGCTACACGTCGTAATCTTCTATTCTAGTACCTTCAATATACTTAGCTAACAGTGACCCGATCTTGCTCGACTTCCTCTGCTAGCTAACTATTCCTGCGCGAACTAGGTAGCTTAGTGCATAAAAATATCGCAGAGCAGGGCAACTACTTTCGATATTTCGTACAGTGCTTTCTTCTTTTCATAACTAGGTCAGCTGGGGTCTGCAAATGCTATCCTGCGCCGGCTCCCGTCAGCATAAAAGGCCCGCCTCCCGCCATGCATCAGCTTCTTACCTTCTACATCATCGATCAAAAGGCTCCCTGCGGTGTAAGATTGATCGGCTACCCGGACCCAGCTTCAGGCATTTTTATTAATTTTGGAAAGCCATCCTCTTTGAAAAAGTCCCTCTCAGGGTTACGTCACAATGCCTGGCCTCTTACATATGCCATACGAGGTGTTGCTAAGTATTATGGAAGACTTCGATTTTGTCGACGTAGCCAATCTGGCCTTGACCTGCAAGGATTTGAAGTTCCTTGTTGTTGAGGAACGTATCTGCAAACCCATTGTTCAGGCGAGCGATAACTACTTCGGATTACCGATAGAACAAGCTAACAAGATATATAGACAAAAGCGCGATTCTCTAGTGAGGCCAAGTCTGCTGTACTAACTGGTGGTGGCTATGCGCGAGCCCTCCGAAGTATTGCCAAAAGACGGGAAGCTCTAGCCACGGTGTCCCCCTTTACGGTGACTACTATTGGATATTGTCATACCTATATCTATTGTAAAGGTGTTCTTTGTTACACACTGGATAATAGAATAAGGATCCTCAACCTACACGGCTCAGGACACGATGAGCTTGTGATTAGTATCCGACAATTGCTTATGGTGTCAGGTATTCAGAACTATACCAAAAGAACTTTCGAGATCCTCTACTGTTCGAAGGAAGTCGTATCCTGTCTAAGCCGTTCCTTGAATCCGGACGACCAAACGTTATGGTTGATTGTATTTGGCATTAATGGAGTCGATCTTCTCGTAGAGGAGTTTGTCTCCACTCATATTTTTGTCCGTCACAACGAGAAATTCCTTTACGTTGGAATCGACTCAGGGGTCGATACTAGTAGTTGGGTGGTTCAGGGGTACGATCTTACAACTCAAAAACAGTTTCCACAAAAGGTTGATCTGCCAGACGTGGTAGGCTCAGTAGTTGGGACTACTGTTTGTTTCGAAATCCACGGGAGTTACTTCTACGCGCTTTCTACTAGGGACATAATGGACACAATGGATTATGAGTCATACTACTGCTGCTTTCGGTTTCCTTTAGACTCTCCTAGCAATGAACTACTAGAGCAAACCGAAATGTGGCGAAGGCGACACGAAGAAGGGCCTATCGATGAGAGACAAACCATTCTCCGTTTAGATGAAGATGAGACTACTGGAAAGCTTATGATAATCGAATGTCGACTAGAATGGCTCCAAGGCCAAAGAAGGCAACGAACCTACTATGCTACTGAGATTATTTGGCTAGAGGACAAAAGTGAGACCTCGAGTATTTCCTCCAGGTCTCAGAACGGCTTTGAGCAGACGGAGCCGCCGCAACGCCTGCCCGAAAACACTCACCCAGACAACGGTTTCTTAATACACACGATACGTGTTCAGTCATATCAAACTCTTTGTGCCACGTTCCTTGACCTTTTTGATGATACGGCGGGAACACAAATGCTACGACTGCACGCATGCTCACGACAACCGAAGCCTCCTCTTGAAAATACGTCCGGCGTACTTCGTGCGCCTTCCGAGACCCTCGAAACAGCGTTGAAGGAGCTCTATAGGGAAGACATCTCGTTTTGGCCCAAATCACTTGACACAGCTGAGTCAGAGGAGTTGCTCAGGCTTCTCAACCCACCAATGTATTCTGGCGATGTTCAAGGGATCGCTGATGAGAGATCTATGGTCTACGTTACGGGGTCTAAAGATAAGCCGCGACAGCTTATTTTTGTGGGATTTGATGCTACTATCCGACTACGAGGGGTAAAAAGGTGGGGTGAGACAGGGAAGTATTTTGAGGGAAGTATCAGTATTGATCGAAAAGGAAAGAGAAAGGATATTCTAGAAAGGGGCGCAGATATGCAGGTTTCTAGGGGGGAGATATTAATTGATGTCCAGGAAGAGACGGCCATGTACAGAAACATGTGCCTAGGGTATAATTTTGGACGAGCACCTGCGTCTGATTTATGAGTCTTCAGCTGTACGGGCATTGCTCCTTGTATATATATGACGTCTTCTTTCTGGAGTCGTTGCCCTACTTTGCTGCAGCAGGGCGCTCAGATACTATAGAAAACTTCTGCAGCCGTTTATATTCACCAGCATATATATATGCATATTGTAGGGTTAATATAATGTAATTGCACAGTAACTGAGAGATAAATTGAGGCGTGTAGTAGCGGTGAGAAATGAGGAAGAGGGCACGTTTGCCTCGTCTCCTTACTGGTCTGTCACCTTCGGTGACCCCGATTTTCGCCCACTCCTCGATTTTCGACCACCTCCCTAGTAAGCCTCGATTGCTACCTCCTCGGCAGAACTGAGCCGTGACAGTAACATATAAAACCAGGAGCGACCGCTGCCCTTTTGGCCTTATATCCATAATATCTTGACCCCGATTTCCCCATCGACTGCAATTCATTCATAGTGACTTTCTTCTTCAATCGCCCTGACCTTCAACTATCATGGCACCTTCTGAGCTTATATCGGACCTGGATTCTCAATATCACACTATTCGCCGGATCGGTCCATCCACCTGCCAGGGATTCAGTAGGACTTCTGGCGAGCGAGTTGCTATTAAGCTCGAGGCTACCGATCATAAAACCCCTCGACTGTTACATGAGACCAATGTTTTCAAAAAACTAGCTGGCAACGTGGGAGTCCCAATTCTCCATTACTCGGGTACTATCGGACTTTATCACTTTGCTATTTTTGATCCCCAAGGGCCTACCTTGGAAGAGCTGTTCGAGTCTTGCTCTCGCAAATTTCGCTTAAAGACTGTCATCCTTATCGCCGATCAACTCATTTCTCGTATTGAGGAGGTCCACGCTCAATCCTGGATCCTCGGCCAGATTGAGGCCAGCAGCTTTGCTATAGGCGAACGGGAGCTTTGTAGTTGGATTCGTATCATCAAGCTTCGTGATGCTCAACCCCTCAAGAGCTCGACTAGCACTGCTTGTACTACGAAACTTCAAGGCACTTTGAATACTGGTACGTAGTTATATACAGCTATGTCTTATTACTTAGCGCTGACTTATTAGCACCATTGTACAAGGATTTGGAGCGTCTCGGATATACTCTACTTTACTTTCTTCGTGGCTACGCTCCTCGGCAGAACCAGCAAAATATCGGAGAGCTGTGTCGAGACCTTCCGAGAGAATTTCTCACCTACTTCTATTATGTCAGGAGCCCTCGGCTTGGTAGCAAGCCGAACTACCTTTACCTCAAAGAGGTCTTTAATGGTCTTTTCCGCCGCAAGCGCTTTGAGGACCGCTTCGTTTTCGACTGGACTATACGCAAATACTTTCCTCTTCAAACCAATACCGCGTCTCCGGAATTTATTCGTGACGAAGCAAAGCTTAGGTATAAAGACCTGTTAGCAGCTGAGGAGGTGTGCAAAAAGGAGCAAGCAAGTGTCGGCCAGATCCAACTGATTCTTAAATCGTCTCGCGCGCTAGTTATGCGGTTTTATCGATACTTGGAAGCAACTCAACACCCTGCTGCGAGCGAATCTTTACGTAATTCAGCATCGGAACTAGACGTCCCTACCAGGTTGTGGAACTATGGCATCTCGAGACCTTTCCACCTACTCATTCTCCAACTGCTCACACATCGTTCTCCCGAGTCACGTATAAGCTTATTATCCTTCTTCCCTTATATATATTCGATAATAGCGCGACTATATCAAATAGTTCCTACTCTCGAGGGGACATGGGCGGGGTACCTTTCCACTCTTGCGCGCTACCGAATGTCTATCGAGGACGCTGGTAATATAGATGGAGAGATCTGGAGAAAGGAAAGTGTCTACTGGGCATCTCTGCGCGATGATAGCACTAGAAGGCTTGAGCTGGATACTATATTGAAACGCTGGATTAGTTCAAAGCCGAGTACTGAAGATTGAGATAGGAGTTGAAATGCAAATCCGCACTTATCTGCTCATCAAAGCATCATGATCCTTACACGTGACTATGACGGTTGGGCACAAGTGTCAGGATCATAAGCTATGAATAAGCCCAATTAGTAACAAGTGGATATATTAAAGTAAGCCGTATATCGGCGCAAAAAAAAGAAATTCAGGGTAACATTCTCGCAAGTCTATATACTATTATCTTGATCGCAATTTCTACCAGTTCACTGCGTAGTTAAGCAGCACAACTCGTCTGACATCTCCCGATATGCTATGATATCATCAATATCAGTAACCTCAATTCGAGTTTTGAGCGGAGATAAAAGCAACTCGCCACCTGGATAGATGGTTATAGCAGATTCCAGCGGCCGCGAGGCTTTAATAAGAAATTCCATTTTATACTGCTTAAGAGCCGCAAATAAAAGATCAAAGTCGTCGTTGTTGAGTTTGTGTATCTGATCGTTCCGGATATTCAGATCACCGTCGGTCGGAAGGAGGAGAAGCGCGTGGTCGGAAATCGCACCAGCTATCTTGGACCATCGCCGGCCGTATGCATATCTAGCCTTCAGGTTGCAATATTTCCTATGCCAGTCCCCGCCGTGGTAATTAGCGCTATCCTTTATCTTCGATAGGCCTGGGTACGCTTCTGCCATAATCTTCTCATACACCTGTGTCTTGATCTTGGAGGAGGACTGGTCCCTCGGTCCATTAACGTCATTATCTATTAATAAGGCAAACTTTGCAAGATAGATCCGGTTGCGAATAGCAAGGAGCCGTGTATCTTGGTCGCTACTGTCAAGGACTTTAGCAAGCTCTGCGGCACTACTTAAGGCAGAGCCTTGTCGGGTTTTAGGAAGCGGGTCCTTTCGAAGGATTTCAAAGACCCCCTTTAACTGTACAAATGCTTCGACACTGCCAAATGCGGTCACCGTTGTAGTAATAAAGCTAGCTTTGGTTTCCGCTAAATGTTGATGGTGCCGTAGTTGATAAAACAGCTGTGTGGGCCTGAATGAAATCCCGCTCCCATGCTGCTTTTCCCACGACTTCCACGCTTGAAGGTGATCTCCTATTGGCTTTGAGGCCACGTCGGTGCTGCTCCGTAGCTGTCGAATACGGGTGGGTGCACAGCACCCATGTGATATCTTAGCTACTTTTGCGATTGGCTCCGAGGTAGGTTTTGGAGCTGGCTTGGTGGTTGACTTTGGAGCTGACTTTGGAGCTGACTTTGGAGCTGGCTTGGNTTTGGAGCTGGCTTGGTGGTTGACTTTGGAGCTGACTTTGGAGCTGACTTTGGAGCTGGCTTGGAGGCTGATGGCGGCTCAGCCTCTGCGTCCTGAAATTCGCGGATGCCGACTGAAATTTGCAGAGCCTCTTCTGGTTTCCGTCTGAAGTCCTTTATTCTAAGGCTCCCCTCGTGTTGGCAAGCCATAGTTGCACAAAACTTCGCGCTTTCCGCTGTCCAATACTTCCCGGCATAATTCACCGCCTCTGCAACATTAGGACCCGTGTTTTGGCCACAGTGATATGTCTTTTGCCAAGTAAAAACGACTTCCTTAGCCTTTTGCAAAAATAAACAGTAGTGGATCTTGTGTTTATCAAGCTTCCGCTGCGGGATATAAAGCCCTAATTCTCGAACCCAATTATCGCAGATCATATCGTGCTCTTCAAGCTGAAAATCCTTTGCAATAATATCCTCAATCTTTTTAGCATGGTGGGGAGCGATAGTAGTCCAGGCTTTCGGCATCCCGTGATGTAACACATTTAGCGCGTAAAGGTCGCCGTCCTCCTTGTGGGTTAAAAACGGCGTTCCGAAACCCGAACTACCATATAGCCACTGGCTGTTAATCCCTCCAATCTTATAGGTAGTATGGTCGAGGGCATTGCCCTGCCTTGGGTAGATGCATGACTGCGGAAGAAGTTGATAGGCTTGTCGATGCTCCTCTGTGTCTACATCCTTTTCTGCAGCATAGACAGGCGTGGTAAAGACCTTTGAGCTCGTAACTTCTAGTTCGAATTTTTCCACTATTGTCTTGACATCGAATTGGCCCTGGCCCTCTTCTGGCCTAATCATGATACGGGTTCGATAGCATGGCTCCCTCTTTTTCTTGTCTGTTGGGAGGAAGTGTGCCCCTTTTTGATGGAGGGAGCCGTGAAAGTAGTCACCGTGGTCCGGGTGAACCCGAATGTCGAACTTCCTACCATTCAGTTTATATTCAGTTGTACCGGGCCGCAGACCAAGGCCAGGAGTATTAGAGGGCAGTGTTAGGAGTGCGACCCCAACATTTTGGGTGTCCATACGTTGAAGCTTTTCTACTAATGGCTCAAACGACGACCACTCAGCTAACGTTGGTGAATATCGGACGGGTTCGCCCCTCTCATAGTCGTCGTTATCCTGTATCGGATTGTACGGATCATGGATTTTCTCAGCATGGTCTAACAAGATCTTCCGGAATGACCCATCATCATAGCCTCCTGTCCCTGCTAGGACTTCCTCTCGGGCCTCGACTAGAAGCTTCTCAATGTGTTCTTGAAGTGCGGGATCCGCCATTTTCCCAAAACAGACAGGTGCGACGAGGAGATTGGCGGCAAAGAATTAGTCGCTAGGTTTCAATAAATCGCGAACGTCAGGAGCGAGCATATGAAGGTTAGGAGTGGGTCTGAAAGAAAGGGATTGGTGGGTTGACGTCCTCATAAACGCAAAGCGCAATTCATATCTGTCAAAGCTCACGCACGTGACAAAAATAAAATGTAATCAACTTAGCATGCCTGAGGATGCGTTAACCAACCTGGTGGGTTAACGCATCCTCAGGCCGCGTTTGGACCAAGAACTTTAAGGTAACTTTTTAGAGTGTAAGTAACATATAGCTTTTAGATACAAAGTCGGTCCCAGCCGATAACAGTCAATGGAAATACAGTAACTATCGAAAATGAGCGAATAAAAAGACAGGTTATAGCAGCGAACATAAAATTCAAGAAACGATACTTGAAAATACGAGAGAGGGAAACAAACGAGATGTAATAAGCCGAGATCGCGAAATAAGAGAAATGTGTAAGAGAAGGACAGTAGGTAGCCTTTGCAACGCTTAAAACGACTAACACCCAACTATCCAGCAAAACTTGTTACGGCAGGGGCCGGCTGAAGCCGTCTCATAAGTGCCATCATTTCCTCCATCTGAGACTTTAGACCCTCAACCTCGCCCATTAGTCGCCGCTGCTCATTCGCGGTATCTGGGCTGGTAGTAGAAAGCATGCCTGTCATAGGAGTATCGACTGGAGGGTTGACGACAGGTGCTGTAGCCATGAGAGGGTTGGCGACAGGTGTAGCTGTAGCCATGAGGGGGTTGACGACAGGTGTAGCTGTAGCCGTAAGAGGGTTGACGACAGGTGTGGCTGTAGCCATAAGAGGGTTGACAAAAGTTGTAGCCGTAGGAAGGATCCTTTGAGCTGTAGGTCTACCGATATCAACTAAATCGATAGCTCTGGCTTTCCCAGTAGTCTGAGCGAGTGGTCCCACCTCCCATGGTGCTGTAATATTACGTTTTGTGTAAAAATTTGCGATCTCCGTGTCCGCGGCGACTGGACCAAGCAGCTTTACTAATGCAGTCCTATCTAGGATGTGCTCATATGTTTTAGGTCCAGTTTTCGTCATCTCCTGGAAAGAGGTGAGTGAGTAGCTGGTCGGATATCTTGGACCGCGGTTTAACTTCTCTATTTTAATCGGGCTGGACCCGATTGCGGCAATGTATCGGTAGTTTTTCGCATCTTGCTCTCTAGAAATCTTGGTTTTCGAATTTGAAAGGTCGTAGGCACTTAGTTCATGGTCTTCGAAGAATGTGTCAACCACATCATACCCTATATCTCCACCTGCCCGAAGATCCAGGGCATTTTCTTTCCTCCAATCCTTGTTATTCCAAGTCAAAAATCGATATCCTCTACTACCGGCTCGTACGACACCCATAATTTTATGGCCTTCTCTGGTGTTGCCTGAATCTCGAATAGGAGTCGGCACTGGCTCCTCTACCTCCACTAGCCCGTCATCAGTCTGAGGAGCTTGAGGAGGTTGAGGAGGTTGAGGAGGTTGAGGAGGTTGAGGACCTTGAGGACCTTGAGGAGGTTGAGGAGGTTGAGGACCTTGAGGAGGTTGAGGACCTTGAGGACCTTGAGGAGCTGGAAAGAACTGAGGGAATGAAGCTCGCGACCAGTTCCATTCCAGTGGATACCCACGCTCTTTATTGAAATCATCAACTGTCATAGCCATAGCTGGGAGCGCCTTTTCTGCTACCTCCCGCTGCACTTTATCCGACCAGCTTAGCGCTGTAGTATCCTTTGCGAGCAGGCTTTGGTGTCTCTGGGACACATCCCAGTAACCCTCATAGGTATGGTACGGGATGGCGCCCTGTCCAGACTCTATACTGCCCGCAGTTGGATTGCCTTCTTTGTTCTTGGCCTCGATTGTTTCATTCAGCTTGTCTAGCTTTTCCTGGATTCCGGTGCTTAGACCACTAAGCAGAATGTGCTGTATATGCGGCGTAGCATTCCCGTATACCTCCTTCTGGAAAGCCGTGGGTTCTGGATGCTTCTCAGGCTGTGGCGCTTGGTCCTCTGTAGCCGGCTCCGTACTCTCAATTCCCTGGTAGTTTTCTCCGGCTCTTAGAGCCTCAGCAGCATTATTTATCGCTACTAACTGTTAATCGAGGCAGTAATAGACATACAGCGTTACACCTACCTTGAAATGCTGCTTTCGCACCTGGAGACTTGTTCCTATCGGGGTGAACAACAAATGAAATAGTTCTAAAGGCCCTATTGGCCTCTTCCGTCGAGCATGTTTCGCTCACCCCTAGTATATCATACCATTCCTTGCTATCACAAGCTAATATCCTTCGAACCACTGCCTCGTCATAACTATCTGCATTGCTGCTGCTTTCCGGTTCACTTGAAGTTGGCGACGACACTGTGGGAAAAGAAGGTCTGGTTGAGACAAAACGTTCATCGTCTGGTGCAAACTTCGGGTATAAAGAACGAGACATATTCGCCTGAAGACAGGAGAGGGCTCCTACTACTGGGAATTTATAAGGAGGGTAGGCTTTATATATAGGATATTTCCATAGACAATGTCGTTTTAGTTCTGCCCCAAAATAAGCTATAGTAGTTAAACAAAATATAGGTTGAATTAGTACTTGACCTCCCTCTTTATTAACGCTTTAGAATAAAGCTTAATAGGTAGTTATCTTAAATAAATTCTTAGTATTATTATCCTTATATACCTAAATTAGGTTACTCCCTATCTGTCGTTCGATATACTACGTTTTCGAACTCTTATCGTCTTGTAACCCTCTGATACCGAAATCACGTTTAACGCTATCATGCTTCAAATTATATTCGCAGCTTGGATGCTCTTTGTCTATCACGGCCTCACTTTGGCGACTTTAGTCCCCGTTCCCGAACCGGCTCACTCCAGCTTGACACGCACCTCTGCCCTTCCCGAGGTGACCGTGGAGATCGGTTCTGAGCATCTGAATTTTAGTGTCATTGTCCAGCTCTCAAGCCTCGCTTGTTCCTCTTGTGTTGCGAAACAGACGTCCTGGAACAGGTCTACTGCTGTCCCGTACCAGTCATCTCCATTATCCTCGCCAAATCAGACTTTCGATGTTACCACTCCTACTCCGACCAAGGGTCGGATAGTGGCTATATCTAGCTGGCCTTCAGCTTCGGCCACGGCGTCCCTAATATCAGATCCCAATAGACCTCCCGCATCAGTAAACGCATCTACTTTTATAGGGTCCGCGTTTCATCCGGGATCTCCTGGTTTCCTAGGTCTGCTACTGGGCGGAGTATTGCAACTAGCGATAGTATAATTGCTGTGGGAAAATTAGCTTCCGGTAGATAGGATTTGGTCTCTTTTAGTGATTGATATTGAACAATTTAGTAATACGATTCCTATAAAGTAAGATTACTAAGGTATTTTACTTTTAAATCTATACACAAATAATATATTCGTCGCATATAAAAATATACCTTGGTATATTAATAGCTTTATAGCTATCGTGGTAGATAAGTGCTACGCGGCACATTCTAGCTGAGAACTCCCATATTCCAACACAATGTAATAATAAAGCCACATAAACTAATAGATCCCAACTAGAAATGCCCACTTAGCAGCACTGACCCGCTAACCTAGCGGGCCTTAACCCAGTTTCTCAGAGGCAACACCGGACTTCATTGGTAATGCTGCCGGCTCAAACAACCTCTCTCTCGGCGGAGTATCTGGAAGTATTGCATCGAGGCGATTAGAGGGATGGATTAGGCGCGATATCCGATTCTTATACTGCGTCAGATCATAGTCGAGTGCGTCCGAAAAAATACGTGGTCCAAGAGGGGTTGCAGGTATTTCTCCAGCTGCTTCGGCCTTTGGCGGCTTCAACAATCTAAGTCCCATCCCGCAGCCGCAGAACATTGCGACTAAATCAAAGTATTAGCGACTTTATGATAAATAAATATTGCTAGCTATACATAGTAATTTCTGTAGCTTTAATAAAAGCTTTGAGAGAGTTGTGAAGATGAACGGATTAATATTGTAGTAGTAGCTTTCGAATTAATTATAACTGACTATCTATATAAACAAATACTTTATTTAAGTTAGAGAAAGAATCCTATTTTTATTTAACTATATAAGTACTTGCTTATATAGGAGTACTGTTATATTAGACTTACACTTACTTCTTGGTAGCTTATCAAGGTTCAACCTTATTTAGGAAATTTATTAAAACTAGTAACTAGATAGTAGGAGGCGAATTGGGTGTCGTTAATGTTCTAGTTAGTTACTTTTAGTGAGGCCCACCTCTGGGCACTCGTGGCTGTGCACCTGCCCGGCTGGCGTTTACGATACTGCTAAGGAATGTTTTCTTGATCTCGCAAATATGCTGGAAAATGGATCCTCTCCACCTGTTTTCACCAACGACCGCGACGTTGTTGTAACCCCTATGCCTAGTGGGCTGGATCCTCGATTGAGTCTAGTTCGCATCGATATCGAGAATTCACTCGAGCAGCTCCGCAAAAAACTCGGCCGACAGAGCGACTGGAAACTAATACGGGTAATGTCGAAGGAAAAAAAGGAGTTTTCTATAATACTCTATCGCGTCGATGCATTTTCTTCGGAACAAGACGCGGTCAAGTCTGCCCTTGCTAAAGGATCGAAGCTGAGGCAGCTCGAGTATATCGAGGTTGGTGGCGGCGAATCAGCTATCTGAGTACAAGGCTTTTTGATGATAAGAAGTCGGAATACTGCAGCGGGGTGATACACGGGTGGTACACGCTGGCGATATATTTGGGACTATGGGGTGTCCAAATTTTGTTCTCTTATCGAAATTCGTGACTTTTGATAAGTAGTAGGCAGGAGGGACACTTTCAATGAGATCGATTTATAGTGGTTGAAAATATCATCCTTCTTGGCCCTCCCATGAGGCGTAGAATGGGCAAGAATTAGCTCTGCTGTAGACAAAGAATATTTATCCCCTGATTATAGTCCAACTTGTTTCTAATAAAGTGAAAAGTGTTTTGAAGTACTACCAGTTGAAGCAAACGTGATATTAAGAATCTACCGGCCTAGTATAGCCGTGGTGTTACTTTGCACTCCACCCAGGCGCTGTAACTATAATGACAAACTCAGCTAAACCTGGCATACAAGAAACTGCATTTTCACACATCGGCCTGATATCCTTCTGCATATATTCAAAATGCGCCTTATTGCCTCTAGAGATCAGATTGTCTTTTGGAGTTGGTAGTGAATCCTTGAAAGAAAATCTCAATTCCGCTGGCCCTATAACGCCGCCGTAGTCAGTCTCTTCCGCAAACCAGGCAAAGAACCCCACATTATCTATTTTAGACGTAATGACAGATTCTGGATAGCGGTCGCTCATACCACCGCGCTCATTCACCTGAATGTGGACGGCGACTGTCGGAAATCGAGAATGAAATGTATTGCGGACTCGTTGACTAGTCGGCTCTCGTACTGGGCCTGCTTGCAGGGGTTGGCTTTGGCATGCTCGGGAAACGGTGGCATGGTCGAGTGCGGTTGGATTTGGGCTATTCGAAGGCGTAGGGCAAATTCGTTTACTGGTCTTAACACCTAGCTGAGGAGTGGCCGCCGCGTCAGACGGCGTGACAGCTATCCTAAACCTATCTAAGCATGGATTTGATACAACGGCATAGACGAACGAGCGCCATATAAGTGATTTGGATGCCTGGAATGTGGCATGACCAGCTCGAGTAATGGGTATTCGCCTACCCGACTCCGACGCCACGTCTAACAACTCAACCATCAGCGTGGAGGGAATTATGACCCGGCGTAGTTTCGCAGCCTGCGTATACCATTCAAAAAATTGGGATACTGTTTGTGACATGAAAGTGTCGATATGGACGGCTAGCCATCCCCCGGGTTTGTGATACTGGGGCACAAGGATTTTCGCAATGGACTGGAGCCTCTGCGAGTGTGGAAGCTCCGGGATGCCTCTAATGCCCCGGCTGGAGATGCTTGAACCGTTGCAGCTAGGATTTAAACGTTGTGCCGTAGACTGCCCTGGGTCCTCTGTTGGAGAATTAGTTTGTTGCAGGCCAGCATCGGTAGTACTTGCGAGTTCGCACAGGTGTTGGATAGGGTTTGATCCAATTGTAGGAGGTGTGGTGGGAGGGTTCAGCAACTGCGCGATAGGGAGGCTGCGGCCTGGCAAGTCACTCTTGGTAGAGTTGCTCTTGTTACCTTCCCCTGGGGAAGAATCTGGCAACAAAGCCAATTCGGCCAAATGGGAGTTTCCTCCCTCCTCGATGCAGTCTAAGGTTGAGAGGGCTTTATGAGCTATGGAGACCATATCTAGATTTGACCCCTTGCTGACACAATGGAATTCCCGGTTCTGGACGCCGCCCGGACTAAGCGGGCAAACCGGGGAGTTTGGGTTCTGAATAGACGTATCGACTAGCAAGTTGTCAGAAAATTATACGGCTACGAGGATAGCAGGACTAGGCGGACTCACTGCTGTTCCCCCGGGGCTTCTTGACGACTTCGAGGCAGGGACTTTTAGAACCGCGCTGTTCAAATATTAAAATTGCTAGGCGTTAATAGAGAAAGGGGCTTGCCTTCTTCGAAATGGAGCATGTACTCGTGGGCATGTTGACTTGCGGATTAGGGTAGTCTCCGTCTATTAACGTAGCCGTCTCGAAAGCATCAAACCGGGTAGTATAGGCGGCCCAAACCTCCTTAAGTACCGAGGACTTGCCAAGTGAATGGCCTCTTTGAACGAGTAACCCCTCTTGCTTCCATACTTGAGAGGAGGTTCGAACTAAAGAGTTGCACTTCCGCGCTGTTTCCTCTACTTTATTTGCCTGTAGCCCTGCTCTTGCCATAACCGCATTTGTAAGCGCTGTGAAGGCTGTAGCGTTAGACCGATGGGCCTTGTATAGTCCGTAGCGGTGCATCCATCGGTGAATGAAGTTCATGAGCAACGAAGGCCACAAGGCTTCCTACTAGCATTTAGCTCTGGTTTAGTGGGGCTAGGACAAGACCTACAGGGCTGAGAAGTTTGATATCAAAGCACTTGAACGCTCTCACCTCCTCCTGGCTTGGCTGGATGGACAGGATATGTTCGTCGCATCTTGCCCTGGTAGCTCGGATCTGCATCGGAAATGTTAAAGGGGGAAGACGTCTAAGTCGCAAACCAGAGTTGTGCTAATCTGGACAAGTCGAAGTGGGAATGCGGGATAAAATATCCACATGCTCGCTGGTGACTGCTACAGGTTCACTCATTCTGGCTCAAGCTAGATTAGGAACGGCGTAATAAGTCAGGTCTAATTTGGTCGGGCCATACCCTATGGGAACGTGGCGGGGCGGACGTCAAAATAGGCGCTTAACTTGGTTATGACCGCGCACGCCCTTGATGATTGTCCTACGAAGCTCTCCAGTACGCCTTACCACATTTAGAATTCATGGTACGATATTGAATACGAAGCGGGAGTCGTGGGCCACGATGAATCCTTCCCTTAAATCCTGGTCACGGGCGTTAGAGGCGGGTCCGCGCATAGAGCATTCCCGAGCCGACCAACTATTTTACGTGCCACCCAATCCTCGCCCTTGCTCAAGTGTGTATAGTAGTGACAACTTCTCACTGGAAGCCCTAGTTCATCAGGTGGACGAGTCCGTACGGGCCACGCAGCTGAACACGATCGAGCTGTTGCTGCGAGAAAACTGGTACCTGCAACAAGGCGTCATCCTTCATCGACGGGCGTCGCGCAGCTTGATTGAGCTGTTGGACGAGGCAATCGACATGGTACTCCTGATCCGAGGATCTCTAGAGGAGTTGGAGTGCAAAATCTCTGTTGCTGAGGGTAGTTGGCTGGCGACGTGCGGGGTTGGGGGGGTTTCGGAGCTGGAGACATGGATTTGAGCTCGGAATTCACGAGTACAGGTATATGGTTCACGGGACAGGTCATTGGAGTGCAAGAAATAGCTGCGAATCAAATTCTACTACTCCCCCTCCTTACAGCACTCTTTGCTCTCTTCCTCGTTGCCTCCCATCCATGTATCCTGTGTATTATACTCCCTGCCTTGTGGCCTTGCGTTACTTTTGATAAACTTCTCCATAATAGCCTTGAGTTCCTGGATATAGGCGGAAACAGTCTCGTTATTTTGCTTCATCCTACCATAAGTAACTAAAGTTAGCACTATACCGGGAATCGTAAACAGGACTTACTTGACTTCCAGCTCGGTATACTTCTGCTTGAGGTATTCAATCTCCTGTCTCAATCTGTCGTCCGTGCGAGGGGAATCCGATCTCTGCGGTACTCCGATGCCTTGGTCACCGAGATCGAGCCAGGACCTGGCATCGCCATTGTCGACGGTTGGGCGCGCTCTGGTAGGTGCCTTGAAGTACTGGAAGGGGGTACTAAGGGGGTCCGCAGCTTGCGGTGGGCACTGGTGACTTTGCGTTGTCGGCTCAGCGGGTGGGAAGGTCACGCCTTCGAATAGAGTTGTGTATGGATCGGGATCTGGCCAGCCTGGCTCGTCCGGGTAGCCGTATACACGGGGATTGCGAGCCATCTGACCAGACTGAAGCCAATCCGAGTCATTCATCATGGCAAAAAATATTTATGTTAAGGGCGTGAGTTAGAAAAGGCGCCGCCTACTTTTATATGGTCAGTTACTTAAACAGGAACCCAACGGTTTGGCTAAAGTATGTTGGTAACTTTGAGTCAAAAAAGGGCTGGGGGAGGAACACCAATACTTGAGTTTGGCGGCTACCTCGATCACGCGATATTCTATACCCCAACGCGTCGTCTTAAAGATGGCCGAGATCCAACAAGACAGACCAACATACGCTAGGGATCTGTGCCCGCATCGAATTGTGACCCAACACGCAGTAGTTCGCAACTGGCCCCGGCGGGAAAATGTCTGTGCCTCTGCTGAGCGTCTATCCCATGCGCGGCTACCTGTAAGCTTATCCGGCTTTCGAATAATAGTTCCCTGTTTTAAGATTGCACCTAGAAAGGAACCCCCCAGATATGTAAAGAGGGGTTTCAAACCTCGGGGTTTGACTGCCCTTGCCAGAAAGGCTGGCCCCAGAATATAAGATGGGGGAAGTTGACCAAAATACGGCCCGAGGTATTCTCGAGGTCCTGGCCTAAAAATGAGCCACCACTCGCCGCCACAGCCACCGGGAGTTGAGGACCTAGAGGTCGAGGGGAACGTACATGTAAATTGTTTCTTCCCCGCTTTCTATTTTATTTAAGCTGAACTTTCTCTAGGCAATTACCCTTAGTTCTGATGGCCACGCGACGCTATTCTACCACGACGAAGAGATTATCAGCAACTTCCATGCTCAAATCAACGTGATGAATCAACACACTCTTCTTCTCGAGCAGAAACTACACAGCAGCAACGAAGATTGCGAGTCCGCAAGGGAACAGCTATACGAGAGCGAGATCGCTCGATATAACGAACTGCAATCGCGGACAGCATTCCAGCGTCATCTCCAACTCGAGCAACACAGGTATAGCGAATGTACCCGAGCGTACCAATCGCTCCACCTGCAGCACAGCCAGATGACGACCGATATGGAAGCTATTTTCACATTCAACGAGATGCTACGGCAAGAAGTCGAGCATAGTCAGTTTATTATTGAATCTATGGCGGAGAAGATCGCGACCTTCGAAACCGCAGCAGAGGCCATGATCAAATCACTGAAGGAGCGGTCGACAGAACACCTCGACGCGGTGGTTGCGGCCCACGGCCCTGAGCCCCCCGCTGCGATAGATCACGCCGAACCAAAGACTGAGGCCCGAAGCCCTGAGCCTTCAGCCACCATGCTAACGGCTACCGAGCTGGTTGGATTGCCCAAGGCAACGAGTACTACGCCACGCCCCACCTCTTCGGCTTCTCCTACTAAAAAGCGGCGATCACAAAAGGCATCAAGTAGATCCGAGGGGAGCGGGAAGTCAAGGAAATTAAAGTCTTTATCGAGTGAAATCGCGGTAGATGCTCAGGATAGAGCTTGAGATTTATGTGTTAGAGCTACTATTGTTAGAAATAAATGAAATTTTGATATATATTAATTCGTATTTGATAAACTACGACCTACTAGATAAGCTAGCTTGAGACGCTTCTACTATAGTACACTGTTTGACAGATCTAGGCGCGATTCTTTAGCTGGAATAAGGGCACCTCAAAAGAAGGCTTGCCCCAATATAAACTACCAAGGGAATACGTGATATAAGAAGCAGGGTCTGCGGTTTATTTCGTATATTTTTCACCCTCTACTTTTATTTAGAAGTACAGGAGAATATCGGACTTTACTATAACTCAAGGCTGTACACCATTGCACCTTTGTATAATGGACCGGGCTACGCGATCTTTGCGGGGTAAAAAAGCGGATAAACCTATAGCGCCTACCGCTATAGATATTGAGATCGGTCGTCATTGCGGCAAAACCGTTGCGCTCGAAGCAACGACCGAGTATTTGCAGGCATCAAAAAGGGCCCCAACCCCAGAGCTCTCGGAGAGGATTCACGAACTCACCAAGGAGAATGGTCAGCTCAGGTTGGAGATCAAATACCAACAAGAGAGAGAGGAGGTGTTGAAGGATCTGCCCGATGATGCCAAGTTCATGGTGGAGACAATGTGGAACGCGCTTATGCACTGCAAGCAGGTGCTACAGGAGGTGGAGGATGATCGAGCCCAGGCTATGAGTGGTGTGGAGCGGGTGTAATCACGACCCCGGTTAAGCAACGGGCATGGAACCGCTCTCTCGGGAACCTGTCAGTCATGGGATTGGCGGCTGCATCCTCGGACCTCCTGCATATGGTAACGAGGTCGCGCATGGAACCGCTCCCTCGGGAACCTGTCAGTCATGGGATTGGCGGCTGCATCCTCAGACCTCCTGCATATGGTAACGAGGCCGCGCATGAAACCGCTCCCTCGGGAACCAGGTCACGGGATTGGCGGCTGCATCCGCGGACCTCCTGCATATAGTAACCAGCATAATCAGTACTAGGGGATTTCCCAGAATAGAGCACCTAGCAATACGGAGCCTAAATAAGGGAAACTGGAATTAGCTCTTATAAATAGATAGTACAATCCTAGTATCTGCAGTATGCTTTCCAACAGTAATTAAACCGGTTATTGTTCCTGCTCGTATTACGATTTAAGTAGCCTCCTAAATGGGATTCTCCCTAATCAAACTTAGTTCGTCTATAGCTAATCAGTCAGCCTACACCTTGTATATAGCGTAGGGAGTACCGTCACCTCTTTACCTAAATTCAAGCCCCCCAATTACTCCTTCTATCTCAGGGTCCTTCCCTGCCTCTACATCCGTATCTACTACAATGACCCCGGAGGATATCCTCGCAGAACATGAGCTAAGGCGGGAGCGGGAGCGCTTTAGGAAGAGGAAGAACGGCTTAATCAAAAAGTCCGAGCAGCTTAGGAGAGTCTATGTTTGCGACATTGAAGTCAAGATCCGTGATCGCGGCTCTGGCTTCTGGTATTTATACCGAACTACACGTGAAGAGTTCCCTTCGTTCGCGCAGCTAGTTTGTCTTATCCCACCCCCCCTCTTCCTTTGATTGTATAATACTAATATCGACCAGAGAGAAGACTATCCAGCAATGATCGCCGAGGATCTCCTCCCTGAAAACTTTACTACCGAGGACGAAGGAAGTAACGACGAATATGACGACGGCGAGAGTAGTAGAGAAGCGAGAGCTACCCGAAGGAGGGTCAAAGACATCCGGCTCAAAACAAGAAAGGGGGGGAAGGGCGTGCGTCAGGCTACCCCGAAGAAGAAAGTCGCACGAGAGGCGCCACGTCCTTCGCTCTCACCACCGCCCTTTCTCAAACTGCCAGTTCGGAGCGTATATAATAAAGGTATCGATGCTCGGGGCTGTCGCGGATTACAGACGGCAAGCGCATGCAGCGATAAGGATCCCTGGGTGCTGCCCCCAGTACCAGTGCTCCTGTTTTAGCTGGCTCTGAATTTGTCTATTATACTTTACTAGCTACTGTTATAGTTAAATCTCGCGGCTATTTTCGCTATTTATAAAATAGAAAATATTTAGGTTCTTGCTATTTCTCTACCAACCTAACTTGAAAATACGGTGGAGCGCAGAATTCAAGAATGTCAATTTAGGTTTAAAGAATAGAAGAGCACGTTTAAACGTTAAACTCCTCACGCTTCCATCCGAAAGTCAGCAAATGCTACATCCAACTGGTTTAATCCATCAATAACCGCTAGGTCATAACAACAAGTAACCGCCTCGCCTTGCTGAGACTTAGGAAATCCTCCTACGGTTGCGAAGCCCACCATGTCACGGCTGCAATAATACACATGTCCTTGGGGCGTCATATTGTGCACTGTCAAGCACACTTTCAACAATACATCTCCTTTCCAAGCGCTGCCCCTCCATGCACTTCTAACCAACTTAATATTCCGATGCAGAGTCTCAAACTTGTAAGACCACCCTCGAGGCCCAAACCGACTATTAAATTCACGAAAAAGCTCTTCCAGAAGCTTCCGATTAACCTGAGCCACGTTAGGGCTTTTAGAAAGGTGGCCCATATTTTTGCATCAAATCAGAGTTTCGAGAGATAAATCAGGACAAGCCCGAAGGTCAAGATAGGTATCGGCGTTATGAAGAAGATAGCTCTAGATCAGGTAGATATGAGCAGAGGAAGCAACGTTCGATAAAACACTAGTAGGGGAGATGTGCCAGCTGAAAGGACGCAGGGATAGACGTTACTTTAACTTATTTATATATTTGTCGTATTAACAGTCTTCTGAACTTAAAAAGCTTAACTACCGAAGTTACTACTCCTAATAACTATTTTGATAGATATTACAACTAATTATAAAGATATTATTATACTACTTATAGAACCTTCGTAGTAAGAGGACAAGTCTCGCCTTAAATAGGATCGCGCCTTTAGTAGAATAGGATACTCTTATTTAAAGAGAGTTGTCGGAAATCTATACAGAATTATAAGTAACAGCTTTCTTTATCTATTTTCCTTTACTAAATATTGTCTAACAATGCGTTGGCTCCTTATTTTATCTTTACTCAGGGTTGTAGTCTGTATACAGTATCCAAATACCGGATATCGCGCTGCTGTATACTTTGTTAACTGGCATATATACCCTTTTAAGTCTTACTACCTAGACTAATGATATATAGGGCGATTTATGACAGAAATTTTACACCGCAACAGCTGCCGGCAAGTAGGCTCACTCATGTACTCTACGCATTTGCAAATGTGAAGCCAGACACAGGAGAGGTGTAGGTTTCCCTATAACTAAAGCTGCTTCATATTAACACTTTGGCTAGGTACTTGTCCGATACCAAAGCAGATACTCAGAAACTTCTCACGAGAGACTCGCGGGGTGATGGCAGCGGCAGCAACCTTCACGGCTGCCTTGAACAGCTTTATCTTCTCAAGAAACAGAATCGTAATCTGAAGGTCCTGCTCTCGATAGGTGGCTGGGATTATTCTTCGAACTTCGCGGTACCGGCATCTACCCCGGCAGGGCGCTCAACATTTGCCTCGTCCGCCGTTTTCCTGGTCAAGAATCTTGGCCTTGATGGGCTTGACATCGACTGGGAGTACCCATTGGGTGATGCTCAGGCCCTGGATTATGTGCTCTTGCTTCAAGCCGTCAGAAGTGCCCTCGACGCCTACGGGGATTCGTTGGAACCACAGCATCGTTTCACGCTGACCGTGGCTAGCTCTGCTGGGCCAGCTATATACCAGCAGATGCGCCTGGTTGATATGAATCGATACGTGGATTTCTGGAATCTCATGGCCTATGATTATGCCGGATCGTGGAGTGCGGTGGCCGGGGACCAAGCAAACCTCTTCCCCTCCCCAAGCAACCCAGCGACCACGCCCTTCAATACTGAGATGGCAGTTATGTACTACATCTCTCAGGGCATCTTAGCCAGCAAGATCGTACTTGGCATGCCGCTTTACGGCCGGTCATTTGAAGCTACCGAGGGCCGGGGGAGGCCGTTCCACGGCGTCGGTCGAGGTAGTTGGGACGCTGGCGCGTATGACCTCAAGGTGCTGCCCCTAGACGAGGCACCAGAGGTTCACGATAACGAAACGGGATCAAGCTATAGCTACAGCGCTGCAAAGAAAGAATGGATTAGCTACGATACTGTCGACGTGGCAAAGCAGAAGGCGGCATGGATCCGGCAGATGGGGCTCGGGGGAGCGATGTGGTGGGAGAGCAGCGGTGATAGGCTGGGTGAGAAGAGCTTAATTCAGAACGTCGTGGGGTTTCTGAGTGGTGAGGGTGGCGGCCTTGAAAGCTCCCCGAACCAACTTCTCTACTCGGATAGCACTTACGAGAACCTTCGGGCAGGCATGCCCGACTCCGGACATCTTCCTTCAGCATCTACAGCCGCCTCGGTCCCTGGTACACGTTCATGTTCTTCTTTACAAACATCGGGCTTGCCGGTTCCTTCACCGATATCTGGAACCGTCACCATTTCTTTGAACTCTACATTAACCTCGACACCAGCAACGAGCTTGGCGACACGGAGAGATACGGATCAGACTCTCACCGCTAAAGGTGGTACGCTGACAATAACTCCATCGGCAATATACGCATCTTCGCCACCAGGTATTATCGTCGTTGGTACGACAACGACAACCATAACCCCTCCTTCGTCGCCAGCTACTCCTGCTTGTGGCTGTGGAACCTACTTCTGTGAGCTTGTGCACAAAGAATTCGGACTGCGGTGTTAACGAGGCGTGTCTTATAAAATGCTGCTGCGCTCCGGGAAGGGGACAGATCTCACTCGTACCGTAGAAGGGGCAATAAGGGAGTATATTTATAATATAGTTTATATTCGAAATATACCTCAATAAGTATTAGTCAGATGAAATTATTCCACTAGCTGCTCTTGCGCCGTGCTATCTGAATTTTTCGGCTGGGGTTGTAAATGGCTCGACATGATACCAATAGTGTGGGAGTTCTGATACGAGAAAGTAGATATGCTAAGGGCTAAGTAGAATGTTACATACTGTTAGAGGGAGGAAATATACCTGGCATATGTTACTAGGTTACTAGGTAAAGCTCTATTTAAAATTTGGATCTATCCAAAACTTGTTCGCTACGAAAACACTTCTAATCAAGAGCTCTAGAGCAAGCAAGTGGATCAGAGAGTATATTTTCAATAAAGCTAATTACATCCTGCAAATAAAAGTAGCAGACTCCGACGCCGGCCGGCCCAAGTATGATTTTGCCGGAGCGGAACAGTCGTGGTTTGCGACCCACAATCTTAGTGCATGCTATGACTGTCGATATCTGTCTGGTGAGGTGGGCTTGGTCGAGGCATAAACGGGGGGTGGTGTGCCATCTTTTGCCCAGTTGCGGGATGATTGATTGCTGGTCTCGGAGTGTAGTTCCGAGGGGGAAAGAGGTGTATCCGGATCGGCAGCTTGGCAGGGGCAGTACCGGTGATAATGATGAACTTCACGGTAGTGATGGTGGTGAACTTCGGTGGCTACTGGCGATGGGTCGATAACCTGCTGAAGGAAGTGCCTCTTCACGCAAGGGGAGCAGACGCCAGGTATAGGGACTTTGCCAGGTGTGAGAGGATGCCTAGAGTGATAGGATGAGGATCGAGGCCGTTTGCACGCAGCGCAGATATGCTCCATGATTTTAGCGATCGCTAGCTAGAAGGATGGTTAGCCTATTATTCTACTAAGCTGGCGTATTTGTAAGTACTCCTCCTAGAAACCAGGTGTGTTTGGAAGCGTTGAGATGAAACCGAGTGTAGTGAAGTGTTAGGCCTCTACTTAACAGGTTATTAACCTGATCTTGAGGTTCTTAAATAGCATCTATGACTGTCTTTCAAAACGAACCTATATCTCCCCGAGCCTAAAACAGAGGAAGCTAGAATAGTTTCTCCTAATAGAGGAAACTTTATTATATAGCTGCACTATAAATCTTACGCTGCCTGGGGTCCTACTACCTTTATTCCTTCTGCTTCAGAATTATGCGGCCCTGCAAGCACAGCAGCTGGCTGACTGTATACCAACAAGACGACGACATCACCCTTGCACACTCAGACCGAGCCCAGGTTTTACTTCACAACCTGCCTTACTTTGAATCGCAGAAACCCAGCCTTTTCGTTCTTATCGGTAGTGCTTCAAAAACACGAGCGCTGAGAGAATTAGCCTCGGCTAGTACTGAAAGATCCATCGGCAGGCGGGGATCCGGCGAGATCTGCCTCCACCTTGACCCATCTACAACCTTTAGTGATAGGCCCGTCCTCGTCGCCGATGGCGACATCCTCGTCCACAAAAATCCCCATCAGGCCGCCCTTATCCACAAATGCCATAATGTTACGCGGAGGATCCTCCCGGGACGAAGTGAGAACATCCGGAGCCGCCTCCAGGTCGCCGGAGATAGTCTATGTTTCCGGCTCCTCTTTCCATTCACCGACGTCTTCTGCTTCTTTGCGGCTGATCTAGGGGGACTGCAGCCCGTCGCGCGCCGGCTCGCGACATGGCTCAACACCAGACAGCCTTCGACACTCCCCGCGGCCACCCACCCCCAGATTGTGGTTGTGACGGAACCATCAGCAATAGAGAATCACGAGTCGCAACTTCTGGATCGGTTTCTCCGGCTATTAGCTCAAGAGACGGCAATAGAGCCTTCCACACATTTCGCAGGTATTAGGATCCTATGTCTACTTCCAGATGGAGATGTTTCAGCGCAAGCTCGTCATAGACGGCTCAAGGAATCCTTGATGAATGCCTCTGATCAGGTTCGGTCGGCTAGGGTACAGTGCAGGAGTCTCTTCTCAGCTCAGCACATGGCCTCCTTCCTAACTCAAGCCTACTCTCATTTCGCCGAGAACCCCACGGAGCCCTTCAGTTTCATCAGAGCCTCACGTATCGGTAATCCGGCCGCGCTGGATCTTAGGGAGCATCTCACCAACTTTTTACTTAAAGTCGGCACTCTTGCAGAGTTGAAGAGTTTTGCAATCCCTCTAGTCGCCTCTAGCTTGTTGCTGGACAATTACCCCCCTGGCTCGCACCGTGAGTCAAACACCTAACACAGATACTGACCGTTAACGGCGCAATATAGACTTTCGCCCCCAAGATGTCTTCCGAGCGCTGTACAAGGACGCTTGTTACCACGCCTGTAGAGATGGAGTATTCGCTACTAACGACTCGAGGTATCTTGTTTTGCCATCGGGGTTCGTGAAGCTTATCGAGGACGCCTTCTCCGACCTCGTCGAAAAGCTCGAATCCAGCGCGGCAGGCGCCGCGACAGACATTCACCGTCAGCTGCTCGTTGCGTTTGACTCGGATTGGCAGGCACTCCGGTCAGACGATACCTGCCTCACCTGCTTACGACGGCGGCCGCAGTATGGTCTACCCTGCGGGCACTGCGCCTGTGAAAATTGCGTTCGTGTTTTTGGGAAAAGAAGTGAAGCCGATCCGTGGCTATTTGAAGTGGATAGCTGCGTCTTCTGTGGGGCGGCCACATCAGGTATCGTAGTGAAGACCTTCCCCCCAACGGCCGGGGTTCGAGTCTTGACATTCGATGGTGGTGGTGTCCGGGGCATAGCTACCCTCCAGTATCTTCAAGAATTGCAGGACAAGCTTGGCTTGCCATATCCCGTGCAAGAGCACTTTGACCTTGTATTCTGTACTAGTGTCGGTAGGTTTCTCCCCCCCTCACGAACGGGCCCCGGGCTAACGGAGCAAGGAATAATCATTGTCTTGGGATTGATTACTCAGGGCTGGTCGGTAGAGCACTGTATTGAGCGCTTTGAAGACGTTGCAGAAGCAGCGTTCCAGCCACGCCTATCGCTGGGAAGGATAATAGGCTTTATTATATCGTACTTTGCTGACGGGCGCTACCCAGTAGACAATCTCGAGGCCGCCTTGCAAGAGGCATTTGAAACCGAGCGAACGCTCCTCGACTATTCTAGGGCCACTGAAACCGGCACCCGAATCGGGCTCGTAGTGGCAACGATTCGAGATACGTCAACATGTATCTTTACAAACTATAACGGGGTGGGAACACGGCCGCGGGGATGTGGTAGGATAGCCGCGTAACATTGATATCCCTCGACTGATATCTGTAGGATACTTCGTCTTGGGTTTGAAAGACGGCTCAGGACGAGTTCCGCTGTGGGAGATGCAAGTACCCCGATAGCTTGGCTTGGGACCCAGCTAACGAGAGGTAGTGCCAGATGCGGATCAGCCGCCCCCTCGTATGTAGCCACCTCGGGGAGCCGTCCCTCTACTGACCGGCAAGTTACTTCAAACCAAAGCACATCCTGGGACTGGGCACATTCCAGGATGGCGGCCTAGAGCACAACGATCCAGGAAGCCTTGCGCTTGAAGAGGTAGCAGCAATCTACCCTCTCGTGGATGGGCCTAGCCTTGTCCTCTCGCTTGGGACAGGCTCGCCGCGACTAGCAGATGTGCCACGGATGTCGCCCACTCGTGGAGTCTTTAGGGATGGCTTTATCCCGAGGCTTTTCCGCGCCTTTAGACATTCGATGGGCAGTATTAACGGGCATAAGTTCCGGAGTCGCCAAAGAGGAGGCCACAAAGAACAGTATTTCCGATTCGACATCGAATTCGACGGTCCTGAGCCAGCCTTGGACGATACAACCAAAATACAGGAACTAAAGGCCGCTGCCCGCTCTGCAATCCACGGATCCGAGGAATTGGATAGACTAGCAAGATGTGTAGTAGCCGAGCTATTTGTTTTTGAGCTTGATCATGAGCGCCTGCCCCTACCGGAGAATGGGAAGTACCTGTGTGCTGGTCGTATTCTGTGCCGGCTACGTGCTAATCACCCAGCCTTCCAAGTTTTGCTCGATCAGCTCTCGAAAAGCTCTGCTAAATTTCTCTTCCAGGGATCTCCACTAGCAGGCTCGGCCAAGGATGCGTCATATTTCGACGAGGGTGGGGACTTTCGCAAGAGAGTTACTTTTGAGGTCCCGAATAGGGGGGCACCGATATCTATCCACCTCCGGGAAGGATCGTCCGAACCGTCAAGTATCAGTGGTTCTCCATTCACAATTGATACATTGGCGGCCGCACTACAGCTCGAATGCTGTTTTGGAAGGCCGGACCACGTGAAGAGGAAGAGGCCGGGCACAAATGACCGTCTGTCGAGAAAGCGCCAACGCCGCTGAGAAAAGTCGAACTTCCGCGGAACGGATGCGGTACGACAGTGTGAGCCAAGGATAGACAAATGAGGAATGGTACGAATCGTAATAGGCTCTATAAGCGCGGGTGGTCGTCGGGAGTAGCATAGGTAAGCGAGGGAGGCTTTGGGTCGCTGAACTCGAAGGCTTTACTAATACTATTTAGCTAGCGCTGTTGCACTACCTTTTGCTCTCAAAATTAATAAAACATCTGTGCCGAAAAATTAGTCAAATTTCAAAATTCACAAATCGCTCTGTTAATAAGAACAGTGTAATGAACCTATTACTAACTTTAAATATAAAAACGTCTTGTTGAGCTACTAAGAAGTTATCAATAGCGTTGTGGCTGTGGTGTGGCTCAAATTCATGCAAGGTCGCTACTTTCGTCGGTACCCCCAACCCCGGAGTATCCATCCCACAAGCCTACCCCCCTCCAAGTATAAGTTCATCTATCCCCCTCCTCGACCTCTGTTCTCTCATCGCTCTTCTCTCCCACGTCCCCCGAGACGTCTGCCACAGCTTGCCTTGCAGCGTCTCAGTCTTCGCGATCGCACAGCGTGTCGCTCCTCAAAATAGCTAGCCCTCCTAGCCTTATCCCTCGTGAGTTTTCGCCTTCAGAATCTCTTCCGTATTTATTGATAACCTAATTCATCCCAGCACATCCTCACCAACGGTCGATAATATATATCGCGACGATAGCCCCTCACACTAGTCGGTATACGTGATGGGTAACACACCACGCTTTGACTGCCTTCCTTGCGAAATATACCTAGAGATAGGCTCCAATCTCAAGGCCTTCGATCTTGCAGCCTTAGTCCGAACATGTTCTCGCTGTCATGACTCTATGCAAGATATGCTCTACGACACTGCGCTTACCTATACACTCAACCAAGGAGTTATATATAAGGAGCGAACAGTACTCCAATGGGCAGCGCTTGAACCGAAACAACGCAAATACACACTAGCTGCTTTGGTAAGGAAGGGAGCAGATATCTACGTCAAAGGCGCGTTCGGCACACTCTTACACGATGTAGCAGCTCGGGGGGGGCGAAAGCGCTGTAAAACTACTTGTTAGATCCGGCATACACCCGTGGACACTTGCCTCTGGCGTCCCACCCCTTGTCTACGCATCAGGAGGTGGGCACGAAACGATCGTCCGATATCTTCTCTACGACGCTCTGAATATATGGCAGCGACACGCGCCTCAGCGTGCTCCGACCTGTGACGAATGGAATCAGCTCACTGAACCATGGGATGAGGCAGGACGACCATGGACCCTCCAAGATGCTCTTCATCATGCAGCCAAGGGCGGCCATCTAAAGGTTGTCGAGCTCTTGTGTCAGCATATAGACGTCTCGAAACCTAGTATAAGTGGGACTCTGTTCACTACAAGCGCATCTCAAGGAGGGTCGATAGAGATTATGCAGATACTACTTAAGTATGGGGCTGAGTTGGGTCCTTCTGCGCTCTATAATGCTATTATTGAAGGCCATTTAGCGCTCGCCTTGGACATTCTATCTAGGCGCCCAATGGATGCCTCTTATCGAGGTTCTAACGACTGCAACCAGACACTGTTACACTATGCGGCGAAAAAGGGACACGCAGATATAGTAAAGAACCTGCTTGACTACGGTGCTGACCACGAGGTAGTAGATTCGTGGGGTTACACTGCTCTTGACCTAGCTATCTACGGTAGCCATGACGATGTCATCAAAATCCTTGCCGACATGCCTGAATCAGCACCACCATTCACACACGACGACTTATCCGACTCCTACGACTCTTACGACTCTACTTAGGTTAACTAAGACCACGATAATTTTCTATTAGAGATTGAATCTCATTAAAGAAATAGCTAAAGAACAATGTCTAACGAGAAACTCTATGTGCCGAGACGAATCTATTATTCAGGGGCATTCAATTTCCCCTTGTAATTATTTGAATTTACAGTCAGCTACGTAGCGTTCGGTTCGCTCACATGATGATCGACATAGCGCAACGCTCCCTTTGCTATGCTCAGTCATCTGCAAGCCATTGCTCAGTGCATTGCTCAGTACATTGCTCGGTCTACCGGAGTCCCGCCGCCAGTCTCTTTATAGCGGACCTTACTTTGCTCCAAGCATTGTGCGCCTTGTCTTCAGTTACCGTCTCGAATCCCTCCAGAAAGCGCAGTCTCTTTTCCCGATCCTCCATTGACAGTTGAGGAAGTATGAACGGAGCATTGAGCTTTCCTGACCACAGTGCCTGATCGACGTACTCCCAAAAGTCGAGGTCAGTTGACCACATCTGCCAATCGTACCTCTGGTTAACGTGCACAAATCGTCGATTAATAGCCGCAAGCCGTTTGAGTACAAGGTCAAGGTTACGCGTTGCGAATATTGTCTGGATTGGGCCCGCGGCCAAGGTGTCGAATGGGGCGTACGTCGTGTGGAACAGGCTACTAGCAACGATCCAATACGCTAGTGGGTGGTGTCGCTGTTTCAATACCTACCACTGTTAGTACTTTGTTCCCACGGATCTCTATGTTTACTGACCTCCTCGACTTTATTATAGAGGTCCTGTGTTCCGGGGCGGTCCCGAAATGCTCTGCGAAGGCCGTCGCGCACGTCGCATACAGCATTCAGTAGACTCCCGACGAAGCGTTCTTCGGTGCTATAACCAAGCGCACACTTTACGAAGTCGAAGAAGGGGACCCGGAAGATCGCGCGACAAACGGCCACATGGAATTCGGTCGCGATTTCGGAAGGAGCTCCTGTGAGCGGCGGCTGCCAGTTCCAGTCCCATGGGGACCTGCTGTACCCTAGTGGCGTTCGGATCGCATGCCAGAGCTCGCTGGCCTTCATCTCGACCGTCAGGCTTGAGGGGTCTGCATGCTGCTTCGTGGAGGGGCTCTGGCGCCCGCAATGGAGGGCGAAGAGCGTGTCAAGGTCAGGACGCTCCTTTAAGTACCTGATCATAGTTGCTTGGTGCACTCCGGGAACGAGCGAGCATAACACTTCCACCTTACCGATGCTCGTAGTGGTCCTTAACTTTTGCTGGGCTTTTACTTCCCACCACCTGGTTTCAACGCGGGACGATTCCGATCCCATGGCGGCAAAGTGGCGCGGTGGCAGCGAACGAAGAAGGTAATTAGGGGGAGTTTGTTCAGAGCTGGTAGGAGGGGAACGGCTAATAAAGGAGAAGTGAAGGAGGAAGGGCAGACACGGCAAACTTATACAACGCTGCTCGTCGCTGTCCTGAGATCCTCGGATCATGATCCCTCGGTGGTGGAAGCGAATGCCCACCGAGGGGCTGTATGGGGTGAAGCAAGGACGCAGCATCAGACACCATCCCCGCCGGTGCAGTTAGGCCCCTGAATAAGGATCGTGTTGGATTATCTATGGGCTGCACCAAATTTCATCACAAGCAACTACTGGCGGAGCCCACCGCCGTCTGATCAAGCAGACCCTGTTAGTTTTGTTCGTGTTCATAGCCTCGCGGGTGTTCGCGGGGCTTTCGTCTTAGGCACTCTCGGTTTCATGTCGGCGAAGGAACAGATACCAGGAACTGCAGAGTAGCTTCTGCAATAGCTGTAGGCATTGAAGTCTTGCATACTTGATCGAACCTATCTTGGATCCAGAAAATGCCGCGGGCTATACTATTCAAAGGTAGTTTGGCGATATGTGCAATATTTCAATACCCTCCCAAACACAGAGTTCGGTTATGATGTAGCTGTACTATCCTTTTACTTATGCTCTATGACGTTTAGCCCTACTCCTGTAGGTGCCATGGGCGGGGAACATGCGTCACCTCATTAGTATCCGATATTCGTTTATGCTGCGTATATTTTGATACCTACATCTGTGCTCCAAGGTGGAGAATTTCATGATGGAAGACGTCTACCGCCACCAGTGTATGAGGATGGCTGAATAGAGTATTAGTCCCCGAGCCAACGCCTCGATTACCACTCAAGTGAAGATAGGCCATCGTCGCTAGATTAAGGGCATAAATAACGTAATTTTTGCCTTTGGAGGTAGGTACGATTTTCTAGAAGGCACCAAAAAGTGGTGGTTGACTCGAAAAGGGGTAGTCACGTGGCAAGGACGTTAAGCGACCCTCCTTCAGATTACTACGTTCAAAGGAATATGCCTCGTTCAGTCCTTACCTCCGGCATCCTTTGTGTGATCCATAGTAGGGAGGTCAACTATGATCACGTTTACAGTTTATATTGCACCCCCTCTACACTCTCCTTCGCGTGTTCCCCTGTCGGCAGATAGGGTGGCTCGACTGCCATGACATGTGTCCAGGTAGAGGTAGACGGCCTCCCCGAGATGGGGCTGTACTAATGTTACTGGCACCTCTATGTGCTTCGTATATGCAGTGAATCAGTTGGTTGAAGTTGATAAGCGTTACTTCATTGGTCTCGGGGCTGGAATGCCTCGGTCAGCAATTGCAAGGCTTGCGTTGTCCTTCAGCTTCAAACGTTGGAGTGCTACGGTTTGCTGTGGGGCGGGGGGGGGGGCGAAAATGGGCTTAGTCGAGGCGTAATTTATCCAACGAAAGCGTCACGTCCGGCCGGTACGTGCATCAGGGCGACGAGGGGGTGGGAGGAGGCGGATTTAGAAGGGGTACGATACGAGGACTTGAGGCAAGATCGATAGTCCTTGGACATGGGTTTCAATATTATAAACGCCAGCGAATTCTCGGTAGCACTCCGCGGTCCTCCACTACTCCCTTCATTTTCTTTTTTGTTCGATCTGTTTCGAGTTTAATAGAAGTATAGCTTCACCTGTTGATTAACAAATGGATACCCTCTAGTTCTCCGCCAGAATCCTCCATTAGGGCAAGTAATTGATTAAACTATAATCTAAGAGTTAATATGACTTAACTTATAGATATAGCGACAGAACCAGCGACCTCTTGCGGATACGGTATACGCCAACAGCATTTGATTCGTATCACAGGCTGCAGACGTTGGATGGGGGTCTCGTGCCTCCCTCTAAGTTAGTAAGTCCAGAACTCTTTTCCCTGCGCAGTAACTAGTCCGTTCAAGTATAAGAACCCAAGCCCCACCCCTTCACCTCTACCTCACTTCCATCTTCCTGATTATTCTTTCCACACTTGCCAAAACTCAAGAGCCCGTGAATATGTCTGCCAAGTCCGCTTTTGTTAAATCTCGCCATAATAAAGCTAGTAGGGTTAATAGCTACTTAGCTGCTGCTTCAGAGTCTAAGAAGAGGAAAGTAAGTCGACAAAGGAGTTCTCAAGGTAAGACGCCTACTTATTATATCGTTATATTTTACTAATAGCTAAATAGATTGGCCGATAATAATTGATGACTCCCCAAAAGCTCTCGGCCAAGGATCACCGAAGAAGCAGCGGAGGGGCCTGGGGATCCAAGAGCCGCTCCGGGAAATCCCTGCTTCCGCAGATAGCTTTATCCGTGTACAAGAGCTCTTGGAATTAAGTAAGAATGTCATCGTAATTAGCGGGGCAGGTATGTCGGCCAATGCAGGCTGTGAGTTAGACGTCATATAAATGCCTTGACTAGTACTAATATTTTCTAGTTCCTACCTTTCAAGGAATTCAAAAATCCAGACAGACTTCGTTTGATCGTTGCCTCTACTCTTCACCGGATGAGACTATCCGCTTCCATTCGACCATCTGCAGTATGTTTGAACACGGGCAGTCGGACTTATGTGAGCCTACACGATTCCACAAAGTCATGGACAAGCTAGCACGCGAGCGCCGACTTCTACGTCATATTACGCAGAATATTGATTGTATCGAGCAACAATTACCGGATCTCAACGCTAAGACAATCCGTCTTCATGGCCAAGTCGACCAGATGAGGTGTCAGATGTGCAACGGGGTCTATAAATTCCAGCCTAGACTCTTCCAAGGTACTTGTTTGCCAGACTGTCAAGAATGCGTGAGAAGGAGCCGGGCCCGAGTTTCGAATGGAAAACGACAACTACGAATTGGCAAACTCAAACCTGACGTACTCTTATATGGCGAGCCTCACCCTGGGGATACGGAGATCTTAGAAGCTGTTCAGAATGACCTAGAGACAGGTCCGGACCTGGTGGTCGTCGTCGGCACAAAGTTGAAGATACCTGGAGCCCAATCGATAGCTAGTAGTATCTGCCACGCCGCTCGGAGCACGGGCGGATTTACTGTCTGGATTAGCAAGGAGGAGCCTCCGTCAAGGGCAAGGAATCTTTTTGATTATATACTCAAAGGGGACTGTGAGTCAGTTGACCAGACCAAGTAATAGCTCTTTCAATTCGATTATATATCCTCCTCCTAGCGTGAACACGCCCCGCCTAAAGTAGGCGATACTCCCGCTTTCAAGCTCCGTGACGATTATCGGGATTATTTCAGGGGGCAGCATAATCAAGCCTCGAGTTGCGTAACCGCGGCGATATTACAGTATATAATAGGCGTGCGGGAGAAACTCCAATTATTTGTAGCACCGATTGGGCGTTGAACTTGCTCTCATCCAGGGTGCCAAAGTTGGGAATCGTACATTCCTTATTTTACGAGTACGTTGGTCACGTGATTACCCCCCCTTTTTGAAGCTCGGCTACCAACTTCTGGTGTGCTGGCAAAGAATAATTATCGAATCTAGATAGATTTCACAAACAGTTTTCTAGCCGGCGTAAGACTTTATTACGGGGAAATACAGGTCGTGTTACAAATATACGTTTAAGATTTCTTATATAAATACGCCAAACGTATGAAGAAAGTTATAACACTATGCCTAACTAAAACCACCGTGAATATCGATTATGACCTTACCCTCCCTGCTTCGAGGTACTTCCCTCGACCCTGGAAGTCCTACTATTTTGGAGCCACAAGGTGATCTAACCCTCTGGACTTCTTCAGATTTAGCGAGTCGAGTCTCGCAAATTCCGCCGCGAATTGAACGCGGGGTGCGAGGCTACTTGCAGGCTCGGCTTGTTCAAGGAAGGAATGCTAAACTATTAGCTATAGCTCTAGAGTTGGTTGAATGCGTTCTCTACCGTCATTATGCTCGCGATCGACCCGGACAAACAGCAGGCCTCAAACTTGAGAGCGTTCTCAGACCACCCTCCATCATTGGTAATAGGATATCGGGAGAGCAACATCTCGCCTACTATTTCAGCTACGTATGGCATGCCTAGAATGGCATGTGAGGCCGTTCCGCAGTCATCTACTGCTAGTCGTGTATATTGTTCGAGACCAAGGACTAAAAATGTTTAGTCAGGGACGGTGGAAATGACATAGGAGCAGTGCTCCAAACCAATCTTAACATTCCCCTTCGTGGAAATTCGTATGTCGGACATAGACAATTCTCTACATGATACCCCAGTAGATAAAAGATAAGCTGAGCCTTTGAGGACCTATTATTGTTAGCAGGCAGCATCTAGTAAGACCAAATTCGTACCTCGGCCAGTACGGTTGCTATCTCCCATTCCTCCAGCGGTAAAGACGGCAAGTCGAGCTCAACCAAGGAGATCTCAAGATACTCTGAAGCCGTGAAAATTTTGTCCTCATAGCAGTATACATCATAAAGGGTTGCGATGTTGGGATGCTGAATCCTGGAGAGCGCTCGGAGAAGCGGAACACCTCCAGCATCTGTACAAGCTCTGACAGCGACCTTTCGAAAATAGGCCCCTCGGCGGTAGGCTAATGAAGACCCCCCACATACAGACGCGGGCTGCATCGATGTGTAGTCCTCCCAAGGAGATGCTAGCCATAACCTGAGGAGGGTTTTAGTGGTTAATGGACTCGTTGGGTCGGGAAGCGATGTTAAAATATTTCGTTGCGAGGGATCCGTTCTCAAGTGCTCATGAAGGCCTGTGGAGATAGGCTCCACCCGTCGAAGGCGGCGGAATTCCGAGGTTTGAACATTCGACATCGTCATCGTACCGTGGAGCGAGAGAGAACTATACCAGCTGGGTTTCGACCCGGCCGAATTTATCCTTCGCAGAGGACGGCAGTCAAGGCTACAGCCTATTTAAAAGAGCCTGGATTGTGCTCTATTCCCCTTCTGAATTTATTGGGCGCGGAATAGGCTGCAGGAACGAGCCCTACAAATGTAAAGCCCGGACCAACATGAAGGGGGGCACTCGGATGCGCGATGATGTCATCGTTTCCCTTCCCTTATTTAAGCATTTACTAGTTCTTGAGAACGTAGTTTTCTGCGCCGTCCTAATCGGGGGGCAAGCATTGCGACTATCAAGGACACTCGCAAGATGCTTGAGCAATATTCTGTGCTGGTATGTCTCGAAGGCAGGTCCTTCCACGAGCCCACTCCCTCCTTTACCTATCAAGCCCTTCTACAGCGTTATGCATAATTCGGTTTGGTATGCGACTGCTATCGGCGCTATTGCCGCGTTGTTTCTCTGCTTCTACTTGCGCAAGAAATTGATCTATTTTATTGACTTCTTTATAACCTCTTACTGTTTAAAGAATATTTACTACCGCCGCATTTGCACCCACCTACGATGGTCAAACACAACTACGTGGTTTCACGGGCTCCTGGTGGGCATCTTTCTTGCTGGCAATGCGACATACCTCGTTATCAACCGCGAGCAACTTTTACAGCAGTCAGGGGTGCTCTCCGTAGTTAACCTTATTCCTGTCGCTCTAGGAGGACACATGAACCTTATCGTGGATGTCTGTGGCATCACATTAGAGGATTATAATCGAATGCATCGTTGGGTCGCGCGGGTCGCTGTAATTGAAGGCCTCCTCCACTCGGTACTAGCGGTGGCCTCTCAGCCGCCAAACCTGCACAAGCCTGGCGAAGTTGCGGCCGTCGTGGTGCGCTCCACGCCTCGTCTAGACTAGCCCACAGCTAACGATGAAGCAGGCTGCACCTGCTATGATGGTCGCGTTGGCGATAGCCTCCATTTCCCTCTTCTGGCGACGCTTCTACGAGACTTTCCTGCGGGTGCATCAGGCCCTGGCTGCGGTGCTTGTAATCGGGATCGGCCTCCACATCCCACGGGGATTTTTTAAAATCCCGGCCATGTATCTGCTCATAGCCTGCTGTGCTTGGTTGGGCCTGCGGCTCGTCCGAGTCATCGCGATATTGTTTCGGAATTTTTGGAACGGCGGATTCCCGTCTCACGCGGTCATCTGGTCAGTTCCAGATGCGGTCCATGTCCACGTCAAGGTTGCTCGGCCGTGGGATTATAGAGCAGGTCAGTTCCTGTATCTTTGCCTCCCCGGTGTCTCTTGGATGCAATCACATCCGTACTCTGTTTCCTGGTGGTATACGGATAACAAGGGGCATAACGTGATAGTGCTCATTATAAGTTGCCAGAGGGGTTTCTCAAGAACCCTCTGCGAGCACTCAAGCGGGAATCTCATCCTCGGGACCACTCAAAAGAAAGATAAAAGCCCTCGTCTACTCTTAGCCACCGATCCCGGTGGCCGGCCGGGGAAGGAGCTGTTGGCTCTTGTCGAGGGACCGTACGGGCAGGGCGTTCGCCTTGGCGAGTATGGGACGGTTCTGTTATGTGCCACCGGAATAGGCATAGCTGCTATACTCCCCTTGATCAAACAATTTCTCGATGAATTCCACAATTGGGATGTCAAGGCACGCAAAATCGCCTTGTACTGGGAGGTTGACTCGGAGCGTGAGTACGACAAAACCCCCAGATGGCCCCGGCTCACAGTTTTATCTAGGGCACCTTTTATGGACTGGAAATTGGATGACAGAGCTCCTCTCGCAAGATACAGAATACGTGAGGTACGCTACTGCACAACGGAGTTCCTACTAATGCTGGCTCGTAGATCATAAACATATACGTCTATATCACCGGGGACTACGTAACTCCTGGCGTAACACATGGTGCGGAGGGGGATGGGGGCAAGCACGGCAGGATCAAGCTAAGGTACAGGGCTTTGGACATAGAAGATGTGACGAGGGCTGAGCTCCGTGTGCGAAGGGGCCGAAGCCTGGTGCTATGTGAGTGCTAAAGGGCTTCTCTCTAGCAAGGCTAACTTTGTACTAGTATGCGTAAGGGGTTCAGTCGGGAATGACGCCCGGCAAAGTGTCCGAAAGATGATGGTCGGAGCCGAGGAGGAGATTCGCCTCATAGAGCTGCCATTTAAACCTGTATAAATAACTAAAATAGCTATCACCTTCGGAACCCAAATCTTTTTGAGATCAAGCAGGGAGGGAAAGTAGGACATACTAGCGGCGTTTAGCAATGCACTTTTGTCAACGCCTAAATTTGCTTCGATCGTAGTAATATTAGTCGGAAGCCCATTTAGCGATTCGCTTCCGCTCTCGGCGACACATCCACCTATATTCCTCTATTGAATCTCAAGAATGCTCTGTCTAATCCTCAATTCCGGGCGATGGACGATCAGCTTCGGGCGCAGGTCGCTGCTCAGGACCAGCGGATATACCATGAGAAGAAATCAAAGCATCGCGGCACAGCGCTTGTGGATCTCTCTGGTCTGCAGTTTGGGTTTGAGATCAGCAACCCCAAAGCAGTACAGTTTTCAAAGAAGAAAGTTGTGAAGAAGCTCGTAACAAACTTCAATTTAGAGGGCTGCCACCCTCTCGACGATGAGTGCCACGTATCCGCGCTAATCTCTACACATGAGCTCCAGGAGGCGGTCGACCGCTCCAATATCTCCATCGATGCCCTCCGGTCCGACACCCCCCCCCCGAAACTGATCATCCCCTCTTCTAGACCGCTGAGGTGTCTATATGGACGACACAGGGTACAAGCAGCAGGTCAGCATAGGCAAGGCTGGTGGGTTGTAGACTTATACTCTGACGGTATGTGCTGCATCCCCTTGGCTGGCTTTGGATAATGATAGCCTAGACTCTAGCACTGAGCTTCAAACCCACCTGCGGGAGGGTTTCTCAAATGCCACAAATTTCTGTGACGGGGAGATCCTGCGCCACATTTTTCTATACCAGGGCAATGATAAATTGAACGAGATGAAATGGTGGGCGCGCCTGTCACCGGACAAGCGGCGGGACCTTAAGTTCATCCTCAGAATTCCAGGATTCCCCGAGGTGTTTGCTGCCCTGATGACCATCACAGGCTTGTGGCCACCATTTCACATCGGTACCTTCCGGAGATACGCGACCCTTAACTGCCCTGAAGTATGCCTCCTGCAGCACAACCCTCTTCCGAAAGCTAACCTCTTAGCAACTCCTGACTTATCTGCGACGGATCCTCGCCGTATTTTCGTTCATCGCGGATTGCAATAGCGAGATCATGCAGCAGATCGACCCTGCGACCGTCGAGGCCATACAACTCCGAGCGCCGCTGGTATCGACCCAGGACGCGGCGTTCATCAACGACCAGATGGCATCCGGGACCCTCTTTCATTCAGTAACAGACCCATCAGCGCGAGAAAAGATAAGGTGCAATATCATGAGGGTAGACCACCTCATCCCGTCTCTATCAACCTTCTGCGAAGACACGAAATACCTTGAGCCCTGCGCAATTACGATGAAGCTCTTGGTTAAGCTGCAACCAAGGGAAACCATCGACCGGGCGTTCTTTCGGATCTGGACTCGTCCTGATGGGCCCTTTATCCGGCAAGATGGCGAGCAGCATTTCACCCCGATCGAGGGCGATGAGGCTAGCCGCTTCCGCTACTCTCTCTTGCAGCTATTCCTCATGTGTATGCGGGGCTTTCCGCAAATGGTCAACATTGCCTGCAGGAAGGATGTGGAAGATGTCAAACCTGCCGTGACGGAGCCAAACTCTATCACCATCTACCGGCTTGCGGCTTTTGCGCACAAGCTGGGCTTCGACTCGGAAGAGATCCGAAATCTATTGGCAAGTGATCCCGAGGTGCAAGAGATGTGCATTTGCCTAAACCGCCTCGAGTCAGATGGCGAGGCGGATGAGGCTCAGCTGAAAAGCGACGCTCGAGAGCTCCTCCACCTTTGGCAAGCGCAAAAGGGTCGACGATCGAACGCCACCAGTGCGTCCGAACCCAAACCCATCCTGGCGATTGATACCGTCGACCAGCAGCTGTTACAGCGATGCGGCCGCCCGTTTAACCGAGCCCACAAGTGCGACAAGAGATTCCTATTCCTGCGCTGGATTTACGAGACGAGCGAGTCACGTGGTCGCTATATTACCTCCTTTTTTGTCAAGAGATCTATTTTCGTCTCGTTCTTTGGGGAGGGTGCTGCCAGCGGCCCGACGCTGGTTAAGCCGCACCTACCAGAGAATGCGGCCACCGGTTTAATAACCAAGAATGCCCAACAACTACCTGAATGCGCGACGGCTCTGGTGCTGCAAGGTGACGGCTATGGCTCCCCGATGGAGGGGGCGAGCACGACGAGCTCACCTGCTGTAAATGCTATTGCCGGCGATGATATTGAAATGCCTGACAACAGAGATTACGCGCAAGTGACCCCGGAAAAGGCAATATTCATTGAGGGAGGTCCCGCGAGCATGGAGGTTGACTTTACGGAAAGCGGGGTGATTAAGGCGGAAAAGGCAATATTCATTGAGGAGGGAGGTTCTGCGAGAAGGGAGGTTGACTTTACGGAAAGCGAGGTGATGGCGGCTGCCAGCACGTTCGCATCTGAGAGATACCGCCTCATTTACAAAGGGAACGGGCACCAGTCAATTGTTCTCCCTAAGCAGTGTTACCATGCTATGCGTGACGGACTGAGGAGAGAAATATGGTGTCGAATTCTGCCTCAGGACGTTGATCGGGTTGAGGAATATGCGGGGAAGACCCGAAAAGTAAACGACCTGGGTACAGGCAAAAAATTTCTACAGATAACCTTTCAGGATAATGTCGAAACCGGGGCAGATGATGAAGAGGAACTCTAGTAAGCAGTAATGTCCCATACGCTTAAACAGGCTTATACCTAATTAGGGGTTTGCACAACCGGTAAAGGCAGCTTTTATAGAGACCCGAGGACCGTAGAATAATCCCCAGCCCCTTCGCCGCCCTCAAATCAGTCACAACATGGAATCTCGGAACCGCCAATTCCAGCGCGATGAGAACCGAAAAACAATGTTTCCTCCTATTGACCTCAAGTTCCTTAGCCACCCTCCTACTCCGCCCTCATCGAAGCCTGAAGTCCCCATCCACACCGGGGCAACGCCAAAATCCGCTCCACCAAACAGAGCCAAGCGGCAGCGAGCTTTGGACGAGCGCGACCCTCCCGAAGGCAAGGCCGAGCCCACTGGTCAGCTGCGGCATGGAGATCCTTGGTCGCTCTACAGTCCAGCAGTATATTTGGATGAAGCCGGCGATGTAACTGGAGCATACAGTCGCCAGGGTCTTGTGAGACTTATAATCCGGACATCTACACGTTTTGGAGGAGAAAGAATTCACGACCTGCTTCAGATCCGCCACAAACATATCGTACCATTATACGACGCCTTTCAGAGTACCGAGACGTATTTAGTGTACGAAATGATGCACATATCCCTTGATGTCTTGATTGGTTGTGATCTAGCGTTAAGAGAGCCACAGGTTGCTAAAATTTGTTCCGAGGTGAGTGTATTTTATTCTTATCTACTGTCCTAGCTAACCCCGTGAAGCTACTTCAGGCCATCTGCTATCTAGCTTCGAAGGGCCTTGTGCATGGCAATTTGATCTCCTCGAACGTGCTATTTAACAGATCAGGGGAAACAAGGCTTGGTAGTGTTTACCATAGGTCTATTAAACCGAAGGCTAACCTACCAACTTCAGCCAGGGTTCATGACTCTACTCATGCTCAACCAGCGTCCACTTCGAGCTCTCGCGACGTATGGTCCCTTGGGCGGCTTATGCTAGAGATGGTAGAACCCTGGAATACCATCGTCCCAGATTTTGAGGTGGGTGACACGCTTAAATTTTCTAATCCGGGAGACTGGTCGGCAGAGGCCACAGATTTTCTCCGTAACACATCAACGGTCTCTGCTCAAGATCTTACTGCTGTATGTTCAATTCACATATGAACTGAATCCGGCTAATTATGTTAAGCATGGGTTCTTGAGAAGGATTGACTCTGACGACAGTGGTCTAGAAGCTAATATGTGGCTTGGGAATCTTACTGTAATGAAATTATGGACACCTATTATTGAGTAATTCAAAACTAGCTATAAATAATAATTTTATAAACTCTTCAATTCCAACTATACAAGATGACCTATATAAGATGACCTTTCCAACGAGATGTCAGAGGGCGACGACCAGTCACCTACTTTCGAGAAGTGACCGGTCAGGGGCGACGACTGGTCAGAGGACGACGACTGGTCAGAGGGCGAGGACCAGTCACCTACTTTCGAGAGGTGACCGGTCAGGGGCG